ATATATTATGTCACTTTCAATGGCTATTGTAGAGAAACATATAACCAAAAATAAATTCGAAATAAAAATCCAATGTGTGTGTGACAAACTGTGGACATAGGCCGTCGGGAAAGAGGTAAAAAAGAAGGGTTACTCAAGACCTAGACCATAATGACCTAAGGCCACAAAAACTATTCAGGGCTAACCAAAATCCATTCTGGCCGCAGTGGAGACTTTTTAACGGTCTACCACGTCTTCTAATTATACAGCCACCTTTATATATATACTTACTAATAATAAATAATTAACAACTATAAATTATAGTAAATCTTTACTACAGTAAAAGTTTTGGTCAGCCCTGTTATTTTTTCCATTAGATTAGATTAGGTCGACACACAAAATAATAGCCGTATATAGTGGCCAGTATTTACCTGGGAGTTTTTAACCATTATCAAACTCAGTGGGAGCTATAGCTTTCTTCAACCCTTGCCTTTCTAATTAGCAGCTTTGATCATTAGTTTCATAAAAAATCACGCTGACTTTTTACCAAATTACATAGTTTTCTTCGTACTGTATATTGTATTACAAGGGCACAGTACTTTAGACTCACGTCGACAAATGTTTTAAAAACATCAAATATTTGCTGCACTTGGTTAATATTTATTTTTCTTATGTAAAAGGATTGATTTATAACTATTAAGTAGCTAATTATAGGCTCCTTTGAATTATTGGCGATTAAAAGAAAGGCTCGGTCAAATTAAAATTATAACGAAAAATTTATATTTTGATATAAATCATGTCGATAAGTGAATTTACATAAAACGTTCATACTATGGTACCGAAAAATGAATTATTCAAAAAACGTAAATCTAAATGATCTTTAACAAATATACATTCCGAATTTAAATAAATCTCTTGTAAAAAATATTACCCGTTACATTTTTCTATACTGAAAATTAAAATTAGCATATTCAGCGCAAATTTTTTTATGCAAACGATCCAATAAATATTATTACCGACCCCTTTACTGTGCCATCACGCCTGTTTTGCATTTTGAAATAAAATTTGTGTTGTGGATATAATGTATCTAAGCCCATTTCACAAAGGTTATTGATTTATTGCTTACAGAGGGTATGTGAGAATGTATCCTCCGTATTTTCACAGGTATTCAAATTTTTAACCCAGATATACATTTTTAATTTAATTATATTTATATTTTTGTTACGAACTCCATCTATAAAAATTAATCAAAATCAATCATATTCATTTTTTATCTCCCTAGGTTGATTATTATAATTATGCAAAATCTGTAACGGAAATATACAGGTTGCATAGTGTGTAGTTATACATAAACGATATTCCCAATTTTGATTATATAGAAGAGCATAATTAAAGTTAAAAAAGACAGATGACGTTGGTAAATCGATTTGGTGCGCTTCAAAATGTACCTGGGTGTCATTAAGTCATCAAAAAAAAATCAATATGCATGTTAAAATTTTGATTGATAGGAAGCGTTGAAGGGCGAACATTCATGCAGATATGTGCATATATACGTATATTACCTGTTACGCGCAAATACAATAAGTAGATGCTCGCACACCTTTTTAGTATACACACAGTAACATACCTCTCGTGAAAAAACAACCCTTTGTATTTGATGTTCGGTTGACGAAAGGCTTTGTTAGAGATTTCATCTCGTCGAGCACTTAAAAAAGTCCATGATACCCGATACTTTGAAAGGAATGTCTTTTGACCGCAGAATCGGTGTTTAATTGGGGATTTTGGAATTCCCTCAAATCGTTAATTCGAAAGCAAATTTCCTCGCAGCCAAGGACTGTACTTAAACAGTCATTTAGTTGATATTTAGTATTTCGACTAATGCATCGTAAATTTTGTATTAACGACTTAAAAGGTGCAAAGCCACCCCAAGAAACAAACAATGTGCGAAAATCAAAACCAGTTTTTAATAAAAAGATTTGTGTGGCTTTTTGGAAACCGCGCGCTGTTGAAAATTACGAACTGGTATTTCAGGATTTTTGAACAGAATCCATTCAATTGATTTATTTATCGAATATTTATTCAAAAAACGTTACAAACAAATTCTGGAAAAGAACATAGATTTTTGATAATTTAATTAATTGCTAATTAAGCGTATTTTTTATTATATTATATTAAATGACCTTAAATTTAAGATAAAAATTATCATATTTGCAAAGCCAAGGATAGTTTCAAAAAACGCGGCTTAATTAATATTAAAAATGTATATGCAAATTTAATTAGTTAATGGTTGGTGCGATAAGTTTTGGAGGGAAATTCATAAAATATTCATTCGGCGGTGTTGTTTAAGCCTAATAAGGCTGCGTGAGGAAAATTTGTCCATCCATCAAAATACTCCCGAAATATAAACTTCTTTGATGCATAACAATAAGCCCTTCTACCTGATTTTTATTTCATTCACTTGGCTTTTATAGACGTTTAAAACTTTTATTACACAACTTACCTACTATAAAAACTGTCATCTTTATACTAATTTATTATATGGATCGTGTAAAAAAAATGCCTATAAATAATCATTTAACAGTCGCGGGCATTATTATAAGCCTACGTGGTGATTATTTTAATAACGATATTGCCTATTGTCTATCGGGCCTAATTTAAATGTCTTTTGGACCGATAAATCCGTAGCCACTTGTCTTTGGAATTACGCAATAAATAAAACATTTGTCAAGCCAAATATTGGTTTTATATTGGTGTGTGAGCGTATTTTAGCCAACGCCCAAACTAAATTATTATTCAAAACTTTTAATTTGGACGATTAAAATCAGTTAAGTTGACATTTGAAATTATTGCCAGAGATATTAGAATCTACAATCTATTTGATATATTCGCGAAAGTTGTTTAAAATGACAAATAGCGAGCCGTATAGACGTTTAAATAAAAAAAGCTTCCACACCACTCCCTTTTAATTACTTTTAAAATACATCATTCTATATTTATTGCGGATAAAACAAGGAAAGAGCCAACTTGCATTTTCTCCGGGTTTTCTCGACTTTCATATCGCCATTGTCGCTTTATTTTTCATGCAGTCAATCTTAATCAAAAATCTCCACCTCGAGCTAATAAGTTTTTTTAATAAAGGTTTACAGTTATCAAGTTTACAGAGAAAATCGCCCGAAAGCTAATTAAAAAATAATTTGCTCCTCACATTGATTTAATCGTTTTTAAAATTAACCGAACCCACGTCGAGTCGTATTACTACTACCAAAATAGACAGATTTTCCGTAATTAACTTTTGTTGAAAAACAATTGTTGACTTTCACCAATAATAATGCATTATTTTATCTTGTACCAATCAATCCTAAGCATTAATCTCAACAAATTCTCATTGTGTTTCTTAGTGGTTGTAAAATTAGCATTTTCCTCAAGAGACATTCGTTTCTGTCCAAGTAATTATCATGATAAATTGGCTGTTTTTTTCTTATATAACTTATTTATTTTAATTTATTTACATTTAGATACTGTCGAGAATTCCTACGTCTCCATGATTAACGTATCTTCATTATACAACTAATATTTATTTTTAAGCGTTTTAAGGAGCCGAGCACGAAAAAAAGGGCCAAAGTAAATAGTAATTTGTAACAGCACATCGAGGGTAAAATTCATCAATCAATGTCACGTCCTTTGATAGAAAAAATAACGTATCTTGGGCACTTAAACATTCAGACATTAAATTTGCACAATAAAAAAAAATATCGAAACAATGAACGACAATTTATTACTTTACGCTTTTTAACTTAATAACACAACGCGATAAAACTACAATTTCATCTTTCCCTATTATATTTACTCTCCTTGATTGTTTATTTGACATTTTATTGTCTGTGTCTCTGATTGCTTATTAATATATTAGTATACAATTTATATTGAAAAAAAATCGTCTTTAGTTGAATACTGAATAAGTTAAGTAGCTAAAGGTCAGTGCACCTGGATTAAATATAAATACTGTATCTACTTGAAAAAAGACAACTTTGGTCATATGTTAAATAAATTTTAGAAATATTATCCAACACCAAAACAAAAGTGCTTAAAGTACTTTTATCTAAAATCGGCAGTAAAGTAGTCAACAATCCGCAGTAAAGTGCCGATTTAATACGAGTATTGTATGCAACCCATTTTACATTTTAAGATGTGTCTACTGCTCCTCAGCAGCAACTAAATAATATTTAAAAAAAGCACCGTCGCGGAGGTCGATTGGACCCTTTCATAAAAAGTTGTTTAATAAAAATAATAAGTTAATTTTATTAATTAGATTAAAAAATCGCCGCGGCGGGCAAATATATAATAACCGTCGCAACAAACAGTATACGTAGACACTTCCTACATTCAAATGACATTTGATTTAATCATCAATATTAATTATTAGGATTATTAAATGTGATTTCGAATAAAATTTAATATGCACCTCGGCATTTATTATTTTTTATCACTCACGTGGTTATTTGCCGAGGCGAAAGCCAAATAATTTCCACATTCGTGATAAAAAATACGACTTTACGACTATTCGCCAACGATGTTATTATTTTCAGAAGCGAAGTGTAACTATTTATTTCTTATATATGTATGTTTAAACATGTAGTATTCAGTATTCACTTAAAGACGGCTGGAGATGCTTACCAGTCGAAACGTTGTAATATACCTTAACACATTGCGTGCCACGTGTATATTTGGAAAGTATCCTAGGGGGCCATGAGCGATTATTGCTAAAACTTATAAATCATCGAAAAAAAATAGTAATTTTCCGAATTTGCTCGAACCAAATATACCAAAATGTTCGTGGCAGGCCACAAATTAATAACCCATAAGATAAAGCGTGTAGCGTCTAGCATATCTGCATGACGCGGCCTGGTAGTGAATATTGTGTCTTGCATATATGACACACGTGGCCCATCAGGAAGTAGTAGCTTATTCAGTAGTTATATCAAGAAAAACAAGAAATATAATGTGAATATATTTATTTGCAGAAAGCGAAAGGATAACTTGGATTCGAACAGTGGTTCCTCGAGTACAGGAGCCGAGATTTCCGTTGGTCAGCGTGGTATGGCCGATTTAGCAGAGGGGCAGGCTTCCCCCGAGGATCAGCAGACTTGGAGGGCGTACTACGAGCACCCGTTGACCGCCGCCACCACCGCCATGTTGAATATCGGCGGCGGCGCCGAAGAGCAGCAGACCACCATGGGACTGATCTACGAGTATTACAAGCTGCCGCCTTTGCCTGCAGACTCTAAGGATTCCAAGCTGAGCGATATTTGGCCGTAAGTAGTTTGACGATATTTTGAGAGTCAAGCGAGTAGAAAGTAATCCGGAGCGAGCGGTTTTAATTGATCGTCGAACGAAATCTTAGTATGCACAGATATAATTTTACACCAGGTGTACGGTTTTCGTGAGAAAATTGTTTTGGAAGCAAAATCAGAGCGCTGCCTTATACATTAATTAATACATTAAGCACTTTCGACGACTTTTTTCGAAACGGTTGTTTATAAATAAATAAAATTCGGGATCGCATCGAATGTTTTATTCATTTTGTTGAGAATGTGGGAAACCACCCACCTTTTTAATCTCATTAAATATTAATAATTCGTTTTGGCAAAAAAATTATAAAAGCGTTCTGGCAAACCTATTGAAATTAAAAATGTCGCTCCGATCGAAATTTATAGCCGCGTTCAGTATAAATACAAAGGACGCGGCCGAAAATTATTCCGAATCGTAAACCATATTTTGTGATGATGTAGGTAAAATTACTTACGGTGAAAAAAATAAATCTGTTTATGTAGACCCCTCGGTATGAATTTCGGTTAGGCTTGAATAAAATGTTTTGATTTTATAATCCGTACTACTGTATGCAAAACTATAAAGGTCTATCTCCTCGAGCAATCGAAATAATTTAGTGAGTGTAATGGTAATTTTTTAAATCCTCATTTCCCAAAGGGGCGTGTGTTCCTTCTTCCTATGCACATCTTATACCCTACATAGGTATGTTATTTTAATCCTGTGTGTAAAAATACTTATCTCTCGAATCTGCAACATGATACTGATAGTATCATGTTGATTCAATACCTCTTTTACAAATTATTTCTTAGGTAGAAACCCCAAGACATATCTGTTATTTTAACGCCTCTACGTCTACTTTTAATATTTTAGAATTCATATCGCCATATGCGACATCGAAAGCCGTAGGTACTGAATTGAAAAAACGAGAGTAAAATAAAAAGCCCGTGGGTAGGGAATAGGAATAAGATGTTAAAAAGAAAGAGTAATAGAAGAAATAGTACTGTTTAGTAGGTACTACTGTTAAGTGGGTGTTTGGGTGCAACATATCCTAGCTGGTCACGTGTTCATTTATATTGGCGCGTGGAGGTTGGCATTGTGAAGGTGACCGAGTACAGGTCGTTCTAATCACGATTAGTACCGTCCATCGAACCAGTCTGTTATGTTAGATTCTACGCCACGATATCTTCACACTCATTTATTCTAGACTAAATATAAGACGCAAAATCGCCGACGACATGACGCCGCAACTCTACATCCATTTCTTTTAACATGCTAATGACTCGTTACGGAAAATCAACGATTTTCACGGAGATACCTTATAAAAACCTGCAATGTCATCACTCATCCTTTCCATTGTCCCTTTTTTACCCCACACGATTCCACATACAAATTTCGCCCCATCGCATTCTTATTCATACACTGAAGAGCCACCACGCATATCCTTACTCTCATCGTAAAAATACTAAAGACTAGACCCTATCCTTTCCAATATTTTTATTTATGGGGATCTTTTATTACCATATTAAAAAACGGTATGCACTGTGATACCTACTAATATTTCGCGAAAAAGTGTGATATTTCGGAATGCCAGCGTAGTGTGTAGACGCGTAGACGAGTGAAAAGTGTGTAGAGCCCCCCTTCCAGTTTGATTAGAAGCAGGTATGACGTAATGTGTTTGTTACAGGGCGAGCTCCCAAACCGGAGGCATTCTAACGTCCCAGCTGAAGGCAGCCAATGGACTGGTTGGTGGGGCGGGCTTAGAGTTGTCGACTCCGCCTCTGACTAGTGCCGGTCAACTAAGCTCGCAAGAGTTGCAGGGTTTATTTATTAACCATAACGTTGGTTACGCACAGCCCGCAGGCACGGCCGGACAAAATTTACAAATTGTCAAAAGAGAACCAGAAGATTTGAGCCACCATCGCAAATTAGACTGTAGCTCGCCGAGTTCGGCCAGTCTTGACGGATCGATCATTGTCAGCAAGCAACGACACAAGGTGATTAGTTTTTTGTTTTTGTTTTTGTTTATGCTCATGTGCTCTGCTGTTCCACTCTGTGTACCTAATCCTGCAGCTTAATTAGCCTTATCTACTTATAGTGATTTCATGTGCTCGTCTTCATCTAAACCTAATCATACTTGACGGTACCTACCTTAGGGTGCAAGGTGGTTGGTGTAGGTACCTACTCTTTCTTAAATTATTGTGATATCGTGTTAGAATGTAAAATCCAAAGAATGAAAACTGTTGCTTTTGGACATTCTTTGGATTGTTGGACTATAATAATAAGTAGGAAAATTAGTGCATGATGATATAAATAATTGGGGTAGTTTGAAGTAAAAGTAGGTGTAGTAGGTTAGATCTCGGGCGCACGAAAGTAGGTAGTGCAGTAAGTGAGGTGTGCAACCCAACCCAACCCAACAGGAGGAGTGAGTAACAGAGAATTAATGGTGGTTATAGGTCGTGCTGGTGTCATCAGGCGGGCACCCAGGCGGCGGCGGCGGCGGCGATTTGGTGGTGGACGTGAACTCGATCAAAGACGAGAGCCACCGGGGGTTGAATTCCCCACAGCACGGCTCTCGTTCGATAAATGGTACGCCGACGTCGACCCACAGCAGCCTGTTAGCGGACGGCTCCAACACGGGGGGACCCATTGAATTCATCTCTGCGGATGGACTCAAACCTGCGATGTATACAACGCAGATATTCGCCTCCATGAGCAACGCCGGGCACAGCGGAAGCGGCACGCCGTCGCCGATTCCCTATTCCGATCATGTGACTCAGTACACGCAGAGCTCCATGTGCGGTGCGGGCGCCGGCTCCGCGAATTACTCCTCTTTGACCGGAAGGCCCAGCAGTTCGGGCGCCTTTTCAGTGTCCGATCCGTACTATCGCGAATACTTCACCACCGTCACGTCCGGCGCGGCCACCCCCGAGCCCGTCTACTCCACGCAGCTCAGGCAAGGACAGCTGGGCTACGGGGACGAGGCCGCCAGCGGTGGCGCGAACGCCAGTTTTGTGGAACGATACGTGCGCCAGTCTGCCTATCATGGAAAGGGAGTGATCGCCGCCGCGACGGCTGCCGGACTTACTGTCGATCTCCCAAGCCCGGACAGTGGAATCGGTGCAGATGCTATCACACCGCGTGACCAGAATACGCTGCACCAGGTGAGCCCCAGACCTACCTACTACCCACCTATCTACCCCAAAGTCCGATTGATTTGCGTTAAGCGAACAACAACTCTACTTCACTCACACAAAATCTTTCAATCCTTCAGCTTGCTAATAATGCATAAATACGACCAAATCACTAATCACTAATCACTCGTACCTAAGTATACCAATCGTATTTCCGCATTAAAACAAGACGTTCCTACACCCCCTTCAAATCGAACCCTTCATAACATCAAATGAAATCAAATGAAATGTTCATTCCAGTCGTTCGACTACACGGAACTCTGTCAAAGCAACGCCATCCTCGATCCGCTGTCTCTATCTCAACGAAGCAACAGCAGTTCAGCGTCTCCCGGAGCGCAGCCGACCAGCAGAAGTCGACCATGGCACGATTTCGGACGCCAAAACGACGCCGACAAAATCCAAATTCCAAAAATGTAAGTAGGTATACACTTTATCTATAAATATATCGTCGAGTGCTGGACATATGATGTCGCGAGACCAGCCGCGATTACCGAGAAGTCGTTTAGATTTTTATTATGGGGTGAAAAATTTGCTCGAGTTAAATTTAATGTTGTTTCGTGACGATTAAAGTACCTACCGAGAATTTCTAAGAAAGTATAATGGTACCTGCTTTAATATCGCTGTAAATAAACATGAGCTTGTACAAAGTGTGAGAATGTTAGTTTAGATGTCAATGTCGTTAAATTGTATCATGTCCAGTTTATATGAAGAAGCGTTTACACAGAAACGAGTGGATGCGTATGCCAGGTCCCTTTATGATGTTACGTGAGAACTTGTTAAATAGTTCTAGGAAGTGGCCTAAATTCCAACAAGTGGCCGCCTATAGAGTAGGAAAACAAACGGACTTGAAGAATTACATATGACCTCGCAATATAGTCCACATCAACTGGATAAACTCGATTTGGCCAGCGACACTTGATAAAGAACCTCATGTCAACGCGTGGTTAACAGTGTATTTCCATTTAACAATTGCAACCATTTTAAAATCACGCGCTAATAAATCAACTCTTATTAATATTCATTTTAATGTTTACGTTTTAATTAATTTATCCAATTGAATATTTATGGAATAAAATTCCACCTATCGCATGACGTTTTTCGTAACTCGATACTCCGTCCACAGTGAACAAAAATTGAACGTTTTTTACAGATTTTCTCCGGTGGGTTTCAAGTATCACCTCGAAACTCCGATATCCACCTCCCAAAGAAGAGAAGACGATAGAATAACTTACATTAATAAGGGACAGTTTTACGGGATCACCTTAGAATACATACCAGACCCTGAAAAACAGCTCAAATCACAGACTGTAAAGGTAAGTGACACTACGCTGATATAACATAATATCTGGAACAGGGGCAAGTTTATAATACATATATGTATACCTACATTTAAACATGCGGGTCTACCTAACTTCGAAATATAATTGAGGCAGATGGAATGTTAGTTAGTTTTTGCCTGGCGATAATGAAAATAGTGATTTAAACGGGTAAAAAATCCTGCAAGGCATGCCCTTGTAAAGCAGTGATACCTATAAAATAAGTTTTTATTCCTTTGCGATTGGTATGTACGGTGCAGTTGATATTTATAAAATTATGAAGAATTAGCGACCAACCAGCGCTCGTATACGAAGCAACACAGCCAATTACTGTGAGAGAATCTTAACCGAAAAACAAGCCTTGCTCGCATAAGATTCCCGATATGGGCATGTCGTTACGATCAGTGTCTTCTATCGTATGACAAATGTGGTCATTCTAATGAGACAATTTACAATTATGTACCTACTTACTCATTAACGACTGATCGACGGAATTGCCTATAATTATACCAATTAATAGGAAAGTTTATGGACGGTTCTTAATTATCAATAATGACGATAACATTCGTATAACTGTTATCCCTAAAAATAACCACCCCAAACTCCCGGTGGCCAAACAACAACAATCTTATATGATACATAGGTATGAATAGTCATTGTAACTTGCAAATTGCGAACCATCCAGAATCTTCCAAAACCAATACAGGTACAGGTACACAGTTTTAAAACCAGAAGTTGTGGCTAAAAAATAAATTATAAAATTATTTTTAAGCAATATTTCTCTAAAGAAAATAAAAAGTACGTACCTATGCTTGTGAGAACTGAACTAAACTGAACTGTCCAAAGTTGCTCACCATTGCTAACTTTGATATTATTGGGCTAATTTAATCGACTTGGTAGATCCAATAATAACAAAGTTAAAATGGTGAACAGATAACTTTGGACCCGGTGTATATTTATGACGAATTAAAAAAAAGTCGAATAATTTTTTTTAACAATATTTTCACGATATTTTTTAAGCCTACTTTGTTTTAGATTAATTTATAATATTATTCATAGAGGATGAATAAATAATTCATTGGGCGAGATTTAGTAACTTAGTTACCTCTGGTAACTGATACTTTGAGTTAAAAGTATCTTTAGTTACAAGATAGGTAGGTACTTTAAAAAGTATCTTAGTTACTTTAAAAAGTATCTTGGTTACTTCAAAGTATCTAAGTTATTTGAATGTATCTTAGTTACTTTACCGAATAACTTAGATACTTTTTAAGATACAAGTTACAAGATACTTTTCCAAAGTAACTAAGTTAAAGATACTTTCTGTCCAATATAAAAAGTATCTTAGATACTTTAAGTATCTTTTTTTTCAAGATACTCCCAACTCTGTGTGCAGAACACTAATCCACACACACACAATATACAATGTCAACGACAACTTCAATGTGCAAAGCGTTTGCCTAAAATTTGTATTATACAAAACAATTTGAAAACTGTGTAGGTATTTGTTTCGGTAACAAACATTTCAATCTCCTCATAAGAAGAAACTGAATATAATATATTATGTATCAAGTTTTATAAAGTCCATTTTAGTTACGAGTTTTATTAGGCACGAGCGAAGCTTGCGAGTGTACTTTATCTACAACGAACACAATGAAGAATTTAAATCCAATTTTATTTGTTAAACATTTGACATCTGTCAACTTTAAACGGATTTAACCTCACTTTTTCCGTTGATTTTTCTTCAGCTCGTCAATGTAGAAGTAGATAAAATATAAAATAGATCATCAGTAATAAACACATATTAATGTATGAGCAATAAATGTATATTAATTGCACCTTTTACACTGTAGGTAGTTGATCAAAGTTCATATTGGAATAAATAGTTTTTTAATTATTTCTTACACCATTCGATAATTAACCTGCTAATATAAAATGAGTGTAATTAATATTGTATGTCGCGTAATATGTTCCATTTATTGAACAAACATCAAAGATTTATTTTAAAGAATTACCTCGTCTATTTTCTAAAAATATTTATTATGTAACAAATATTCCATGAATTAATAATGAATTTGACCAATTTAGTAGATAAATCAGTATACCTAAAATATCTCGAGGCGTATTATAATTTAATAATAGTGAAATAGTTAATCCAAATGTAAACACATAATACCTACCTAATGCTCGATTCCGAGAGTCGGATTTTTTCATCTATAAATATCTCGGCACTTTGCATATAAATGACTATTCGAAGTGCACAACCTTGTTAAATCCCCTTTAAAAATGGTTAAAGTTGATTGAAATCTTATTTTGAATTAAACTGTAATTAGGTAATATGTCCTGTTATCAAATCAGTAGCGATAAAACTTATTTTGCCCATATTGTAATTAACAAGTTGTGTGCAAAAAGCTGAATCAATTAAAAATATTGCAATAATTAAATTTAATCAAAATAATTACATATTCGTCGAGCAAACTGGTCGATGTTTTTAATTGCAAACATTTCTTCTTCTTCTTCTTCCAGAGTATTGTTATGCTTATGTTCAGAGAGGAAAAAAGTCCAGAGGACGAGATTAAGGCCTGGCAATTCTGGCATGGCAGGCAGCATTCAGTGAAACAAAGGATTTTAGATGCTGGTGAGTAATAATAGTAATAATAATAATAATAATAATAAAAATCCAAATAGTCGGTAGTTGCGTTAAAATATATGGAAATATTGCATTTGGCACGTGGGCGTGTGTTTGACCTTTGCGAAACCATTCCATTATCAATTTATATTTAAATGAAGTGAGTATTTATTTGACCATAAAATATCTCTTTTGTCGAGGATCTAAAAATGTTTTTGTAATATCGCAAATATCGTAAGTCCCTCAGGTAAAAGTCCAAAAATAAACTACAAGCTTTATTTATATCCACAAGCCAACATAAATTCACACTGAATGGAATTAAAAAACGAAATACACGCATAAAAATTTTAATACAATTAATAAATAAACATGGCAGCCGAGTAATACAATTTCATATATAAAGTAGTATTACTATGTGGGATGACAGTGTAGGAAGTATTGATAATATTTTGTTCTTTATTTGTGTGGGGTTCAGTATAATGATACAAAATTTAAATCCATAAATTTCTATGTCAAATACTATTTTCCATGCTCTTTGATAATGATTAAAATCGCAATAAATAGAACCTTATTTTTGTTATTTTGTTTCAAGCTTTCTTAAACAACATTCGGTAAGTTTTATGTGAGTGCTAATGTCTCGTCTTAATTTATGTTTATCAAAAAAAAAATTGTGCTTGTACACCCAAAAAAAAACAAAATGTTTCTAGCAGCGTTTTAAGTAAAATAGCTTTGCGATGTATTACTTAATTTAAGTAAATATGTTGTTAAATTCACCTAAAAACTGCCATTCAAGTAAAAAAACTCCGAAGTACTTTAATGAGGTTTATTTAACGTAATTTTTACGAAAGTAAATTATTTATTGGTTAATTTATTTTAAGGTATTTTTAACGGTAAATTTAACGTACTTACATATTTAAACTCTAAACTAAATTTTACTCATTAGTCATATTTTTACTACTTCTATTAAAACAACTTTATAACTGTGAATAAATAATTATTATTTGTCTGGGAGATTTAAAGTGCCATAAAAAACTAAAAGGGTAATATTTCTGAAAGAATTATTAAATATGTCCAATATTTAATAAAAATTTGTATAATCATATTTTACACATTACCTACCTTAAAATGCTGCTTGGAAAACAATAAAGTTAAACGTAGATATTAAATACAATTGATAAGGATTTGATTCAAAACAAAAACATAATTTTAAAATTTTTGAAATTTGGACAATTTTATAAATTTTTCCAATTTTGAAAATTTTATAAATTTTTTTAAAATTTTAAAAATGTATACTACTGTGCGAATACCTTCCTTTAAAGTTTAAATTTATGCCATTGTGCGAATTTTGAACTACTTTGCGAATTTTCCCTATCATGTTTTAAATTTATCCTACTGTGCGAATCTGTCCTACCATTTTTTAAATTTATGCCAATGTGCGAATTTTTCCTACTAATTTTTAAATTTATCCTACCGTGCGAATTTGTCCTACCATGTACGCATTTTTTCTACTATTTATTTATCTCGTGGTATTGCAAAATAAACCCTTAAAGCCATCCTTGATTTAAAAATGTAAGAAATATTCCCCAACACCAAAACAAAACACAAAGTGTAACTGAAAAAGCCAACATCGTTGGCGAAATAGTTATTTGTTTTACAAGTGTTGAAAAGCGACTTTTTCATGCGAGTGTTTAAGTTCCTTGTGCATTAACACGAGCTTGAAGAAAGCATTTGTCACAAGTGAAACACAATGTTTTTTCTACGGCCCTTTTATTTTTTATCAAATACAAAACAAACTAACCTAAAAACGTGTTTGGCAGCTGTTAAAATTGCTTTAATCTTATTCTTTTAATTTTTAAGGTATAAGTTACTTAATATAAATAAACTTACCTTCTCAATTTAAATAAAGGCACTAAAATTGTAATTTATTATACCTACAAACACAATTAACTTGTGTTCTAAATGATAATTAGACATACATATATACAATACAAATTTTGAAACGAATGTCAAACGATGCTGTTAATTTCTTTTCACACAGACCTGTCACTTTACATTCATGTTTTGCCTTGCCAATAAAAAGATTCATTTTCTAAGCAACGATGCCATTACAAAATGTGACTTTTACGTAGTGGTCGTAAAAAATAGCATATTATGTATCAAGTTTGATAAACGCCATTTTATACACGAATTTAATTTAGGCACGAGCGAGCTTGCGAGCGAGTGCTTAAATTAATGAGTGTATAGAAAAGTTTATAAAAGAGGTGCATACTATACTTTTTCTACGACAAATACTTATTATTATCTTAAAATGATTTAAATCAAAAATTTGCATAGAGCGCCATCTATGAAACAATAGGGGAATCTGTGTGTCACCGTCAAATGTCAAATTTTAAAATTTTATACAAAATTATGGTTATAAATCGAAGTGTATTTCTTGAAAATGACAGTTTCTCACAGTGAAAGTAAATTTAATGTTTTATGAGCACTTTACAGTAAGTCCGTGTCCGAATTTAAGTTATAGTTTACTGCCGGCGAAATTAAAAGGTCAGTACAATGTTCATATAAACTTTTTAAATATTGGCGTTGAGAAACTATTTAATACTTTTGTATTTTTGTATTGAGATAATAAAATAATGTTCACATTTAATATTATTTTGCAAGAAAGGCAATTTATTTTAACGATTGTATAACATTTGACAACTGTCAACTTAAAACTAACTTCAGCCCGTGACTAAAAACCTGTTGGTAACTTCAGCCCGTGACTAAAGCGCCATAAAGCCACAACTTGTCAATGTGTATTTAAAAGGTCACTTAGTGTCATGGAAACATGTACGATAAAGGGCGTTTTAAAAGTGGGAGTAGAAAAGAAAAAGTACTAAGCACTTTGTGTTTTGTTTTGTTTTGTTCTAATATTTGTTTAACATATTACCAAAGTTGTCCTTTTTTAAGTACCATCTTCTATGTTTATTTTTTGTTGCACACATCGCACATCTCCTAATACTTGAGGACGATTAAAAGCGTTTCATATTTTCCCTGCTATAATTTTACTATCAAGGCACATAAAGAAATATAACTTGAATAAATCATATTAACGAACATTTCAGATACGAAAAACAGCGTTGGTTTGGTCGGATGTATAGAAGAAGTTGCCCATAATGCCATAGCAGTGTATTGGAACCCAATGGAAAGCCCTGCAAAGATTAATATTGCCGTACAATGCCTCAGCACAGACTTCAGTAGCCAAAAAGGTGTCAAAGGTCTTCCGCTTCATCTACAAATCGATACATACGAAGATCCAAGAGATACAAACATTTTCCATAGAGGATATTGCCAAATTAAAGTGTTCTGTGATAAGGTAATTCAGTTGATATTGGGTATACCGTATACCGTATACCGTGCAAGTTATACATAGGGAAAATACATTGTAGGTGGAACAGACAAGTCGAATTTAGCGCGAAACGAAAATGTTTCCAGAAATTATTTTGACGAGTGGATGAGTAGACTAACATGCGACGTAACAGGTGACCTTGTTTACTGACGATTAAAATTTTATTACGTCCATATAATTTCTAAGAACTTTTTCGCTTTGCGCTGACTTCAACTTGTCTGGTCCACCTACAATGTATTTTCCCTATGTATAGCTTGCAAATGAAGGTACGGTATAGTATTTACAGTATTATTAATTTGATGAATGTGCTTAGGGCGCTGAACGTAAGACTAGAGACGAGGAGCGTCGAGCTGCTAAAAGAAAAATGACCGCGACCGGAAGAAAAAAGCTGGACGAGCTGTATCACCCGGTGTGCGAAAGGTCGGAGTTCTACACGATGAGCGATCTGAACAAACCGCCCGTGCTATTCTCGCCGGCGGAAGACATCGATAAGGTAAGTCGACGATTAAACAAGCGAAAACAAGTAGTTTAGTATACTGAGTTATAGTTTTTTCCGCAGCTGGCGTCGATGGAGCTGCAAGGGTTCTACACGCCGCACGATACGGACGGCTCTTTGACCGGGGCCGTCGACCACGTCAAGCCCGGCTCGCAGTTCTTGCTGCACACGGCGACAAAGCAGTCCACCACCCCGACGTTGAAGTTCCACAACCACTTTCCCCCCGAGGCCGACAAGAAGGACAACATTTTGGAGTCCAGCTTGACGACGGACGGCAGCGTGTTTTCTCCTCCAATGAAAAGGCAGAAGATGATGAGCGGAGGGCCGGGAAGCGTCGGGCCTCCTCCGCTGAACGAGAGGGTGATGCTGTATGTGCGCCAGGAGAACGAGGAGGTGTACACTCCGTTGCACGTGGTGCCTCCCAGCACACAAGGCCTGTTGAACGCGGTAAGTGAAGCCCGTTTAGTAACGCTTAGCTTCTTGCTTTATGTGCATGGACCTGGACGTACTGGGCTTTTACACATATCATTCGGTTTAAAAAAATAACAAACAAATAACTAAAACGGCATGTTGGATTAACATCATTTTTTTTTGTTATTAAATCACCAACGTGGGATCAGTTCACTTTTGCTACCTCCACGTATTTACCAAAAGCTCAGTACTTCTTCTAAATCTATGCTAAAATGAAGAAAGACAGAACTTTATTTATTATATTGCAATTGGAAAATTAATTCTGTTTTCCTTATTTTGCAGATTGAGAATAAGTACAAAATAAGCGCTTCGAGTATTAATAACTTATTTAGAAAAAACAAAAAAGGGTAAGTTAGATAATTTTAAATTAGAATCAATTATTAGATAGATATGGAGTAGTTTTCAACAAGTGAACTGGATACTAACTGTCTAAGCACTAACTGTTCGCCGTTACTAAGCACACGAGCTTTCACTCAACAACTACATTACACATAAATTCGGGCTTGAAAAAATGCGTTAGTGCTTCTATTGAAAAATATTCAGTTCAATCCTTCATCCAGTGCTGTCGTACAATCCAAAAACTTAATTTGATAAATGCATCAATAGTTTAAAATAACTTAACTTCATCATCATCATTGTCCAGAATCTTGCTGGGTTTTTGGGTTGCAAGGCAAAGTATAGTAAACTAATATAATAAATACATTAGAGGCTTAAGATTATTGAGAATGTTTTGGAGTTGTGAATTTATTGTTATATTGTTTTTGCAGCATTACGGCCAAGATTGATGATGATATGGTAGCATATTACTGTAACGAAGATCTGTTTTTGCTAGAGCTTAAGGCAGTAGATGAAGAACTGTTTGATATTACTTTTGTGGAACTGATGGACCATTAGATAACCGCCATTGATATTATTTTATTACGTACTTATCATTTATCATTTGTTGTGATTGTTTTTTACGATTTAATGTTAAGAGCGAACTTTATTTTTGTTTATAGATTTTAGAATGTTTTATAACTGTAGTTTTTGTTTTTATTTTTTTAAGTGGCCACATATCTGTATTTTAAAAATATCGGTGTGTCCATTAACATTCAATGTAACTTTAATGTTATAAATTTTTATATTTGGTGGCAATGTTTATTATTGTTTTCAGAAATTAGATATTTTTATTGCATTTAGTAGTTAAGGTTTACATCATTTATTATTTTATATATTAATAATTGGTCACCAATGATCTCAAAATTGAAATGTGTAAATGATCTAAACACATTTATCAGTATGTACAGAACCATTATCTATGGGAAGGGTCAAGGGAAAAACTCATCACTGTATATAGCTTTAGATATTATATGATTTGTACATAGTGACCAGCCATGACGTAGATAAAACACATGAAAAGTGTTTTGTGATAAGCAGTACTGAAGAATGTAACGCAAATGTAATAATTAATGATTTTTATTGACTGCTTGAAGTCCGTCAATTATATTTTTTTATTTTTACGTACATAATAACGAGGACTTCGACTAGTCGATTTTAACTCTCAAACATTCCGTATTTATTATTAATAACATGCCCACAATTTTTCTATTGTGAGATCAAACAAAATGCCATTCTCGCATAAAATTTAAATCGTACCTGACTTATGCTTTATCAATTTTCTGTTTATTTTTTTTTGTTTAAATTAAAGCTGCCATTTACAAAACGGCCTTTATCGAAAATCAAAACTACTTTTGAGGTACACTTCTTCAATCAACATTATTATTTTTAACGGAATTTTTCTATATCCTAGAAAATTCTACGTGGTACTGATCTGAGATTTTGTCTTGTACATTTATTTCTCATAATTTATTATCTGTATGCAACTATTATAGTCAGTCGCATACAACATTTTTTTTCAAATGATATTAGAGTAGTTATATTAGGATAAATAAGATAGCTCTCTTTATCAAACTTTTTTTAGTTTTATATCAAAGAAATGATTGTTATGTTAGAGTACTGTAACCAACGACTTTGTCTTCAATGAATATTACTCATGTAATCAATCATTGATTGTCATATTCGCAATATTATTTAAGGTTTTTTATAAATGTACGATTTGAGTTTATAAATAAAATACTATATCTATTTTTTAATCTTTTACTTAACATAACATCATCCCTACCACAAGATAATTGCTTGATAAAAAATTCACTTGTTATTACTTATAAAAAATAAATAAAAAATGCATCTTTAAAATTATAATTTATTAAACTTTTCAACATGGTTTGGAGCGTCCACCTTTTTATTTAAAGTAATGGTGCTGCAGCATGTTAATAAACATATATCAAAAATATTCAAATTATTTGGTAAGAAATTTACTGAGCAAGTTAAAAAACAATATAATCTAATATATAATATATTAACTAGAAAATGAATCTTTTCATTGGAAGGTAAAACACGAATGTAAAGTGACATTTCTGTGTGAAAAGTGACAGGTCTGTTTGAAAAGAATTTGACAGCATCGTTTGACATTCGTTTCAAAATTTGTATTGTATATACATATATATGTATGTATGTCCAAATATCATTTAGAACACAATTAATTGTTAGAGCCTTTATTTAAATTGAGGAGGTAAGTTTATTAATTTTAAGTAACTTATACCTTAAAAATTAAAAGAATAAGATGAAAATAACTTTTTCTACTCCCACCTTTAAAGCGCCCTTTATCGTACATGTTCCCATGACACTAAGTGACCTTTTAAATACACATTGACAAGTTGTGGCTTTATGGAACTTTAGTCACGGGCTGAAGTTAGCAACAGGTTTTTAGTCACGGGCTGAAGTTAGTTGACAGTTGTCAAATGTCATACAATCGTTAAAATAAAGTGCCTTTCTTGTAAAATAATACTAAATGTGAAAATTATTTTATTATCTCAATACAAAAATACAAAAGTATTCAATAGTTTCTCAACGCCAATATTTGAAAAGTTTATATGAACATTCTGACCTTTTAATTTCGCTGGCAGTAAACTATAACTTAAATTTGGGCACGGACTCCACTGTAAAGTGCTCATAAAACATTTCCTTTGCTTTCAATGTAAAAAACTGTCAATTTTCAAGACACACAGATTTCCCTATTATTTCATAGATGGCGCTCTATACAAATTTTTGATTTAAATCTTTTTAAGATAATAATAAGTATTTGTCATAGAAAAAGTAAAATATGCACCTCCTTTATAAACTTTTCTATACACTCATTAATTTAAGCAATCTAAATTAAATTCTTGAATAAAATGGCGTTTATCAAACTTGATACATAATATACTATTATTGGTATTTACTTAAAGGTTAATAAAACTTAAAAATTAAAAACATAAAAACTATTTATTCAGAATATTTAACTGTTTTCATTTAAATTTTTTAATCTTAATGTACACTGTACAAAACCAAGTAATCAAAACATCATAAAAAAATTCAAACTGTGATAGTTGTGGGTTTGGCATCAGCCAACTCAGATGGTTCATCTGGGTGCTTACCATTTGGCGGGCTTGTCAGGACTTTGTCAAGAATTCCAAACGTTTGCGCTTCAAACGGACTCATAAATTTGTCTCTTTCCATACTTTGTTCAATCTTGCTTAACTCAAGACCAGTGTGTCTTACATATAAAAGATTTATTTGCTTTTTAAGCTTCAGAATTTCTTCTGCTTGAATTTGGATGTCAGTTGCTTGGCCCTAAATGACAAAAAATGTTATAAAATAATGATAACAATAGGTTTGATCCTACTCAGCATTTGGTCTGCTGAATGGACATCAGGGACATGCAAAATACCAAAATGCTCGCTAGGAACAAACCCAATTATGAGTGTTTCAATTTCAAACAGGCAAGGTGAAAAAAGATCTTTTGCGTTATATGTACAAAAAATATCAAATAAAAAGTTTGCAAGCTTAATAAACCTTTGTTTTGTTAAATTTAAAGTGACTTATATTTATATATTTACAAAAAATTTAACCAGCATTGATATAATTTTTCTTAGCCTTTTGGAGTAATCCAATAAAATTTAATTTATTATTATTAAAATTTTCTAATACCTGAACACCTCCAGAGGGCTGATGAATCATAATTCTAGCATTGGGCAATGAATGTCTCATCCCTTTAGAACCTGCCGCCAATAATAAAGATCCCATACTACAAGCCTGTCCAACACACCTAAAAAACAACAAATTAACAACTTCCAACGAAAATTCTTAACCTACCACATACCAAGTAGCCACGGGAGGCAAAATATACTGCATTGTATCGTAAATACCCAGACCAGCAGTCACACTACCTCCAGGAGAGTTAATGTACAAATGTATGGGTTTTGTGGAAGATTCCGATTGTAAAAACAACAATTGGGCTACTATTAAGGAGCTCATGTCATCGTTGATGGGCCCCATAAGGCATATTATCCTTTCTTTAAGCAGTCTTGAGTAAATATCATAGGATCGTTCACCCCGTCCAGTCTGTTCAACAACAATTGGTATAAGGCCTATATTCCGTTTTAGTTGTTTAATGGGAGTGCATACATTGTTTTGGGTTAAAACCTATAAAAAAACTACTGTTATTCCACATATTTGACCGGATTATTACGCTTACCCTCGTTAAATTCGACACTAATCGGGGCAACATGTTTCTTAGCCTATATTTTGTATGTCACCGGTTAAATAATGTCGATACACTATAAATACGTCTGTGAGATACGTTTTATGATAAAAATGCCCTTAGTTTTTTTTAAATTTCCTAAATAAATTTAAATTTTTCAGCGACCTCTACATCGACATTTTTGACAGATGAAAACTTGCTGCCAACATAATTTCCCCATGTGAACTCCCTAGATTATTTTCTGTCGCATTTTCATTATCGCATTTTAAAAATAGAAATGATTGCCGCTTTTATACTAACGAGAGTACAAATTTAGAACATCATATTCTATTTTAAAACAAAACTTTGGATGATACACAATTTTTCGAAAATGCGTCATATTAAAATTACGGCAGCCATATAAAATAACAATAGGATTTGCTGACGTATTATCCCACATAATCTTTTATTTATTTATTTACGATAAGATTTTTATAAATTTATCTTTAAAATTACGAAATTTTTCAAGACTGGAATACTGGGAATTTTCATTTGTCACGTTGGCAGTGACCAATAACGGAAATGTTGCAAGACGTTGCCGATGCTGATAAAAATTTGGTAAAAGCTGGGATTTTTTGTTTTAGATAAATAAGAAAATCATCGAAAAATTATGGAATCAAGTATTTTTAATAACAATAAAGTATTAAAAAAAAAGTTTTTAGAGTAACTTCTTGTAAAACAAGTATTTGGGGCGATTATTATGAGATAAAAATGTTCAAATATTTTTTGTTTATGTTTTCCACACCAAAATATGTGTTTTATAACTTATGGGATACTAAATGGTAAATTGAGGCTTGCCGTGCATTTAAAATTCTAGAATTTATGTCAAGAGCAACATGAAACTGGATGATTTTTTCGAAGGATGTGACAACATTGCGTTACATCTATCTCCTTTTTATTACCGGATTGCCGCTCAAGGAAGATAAGTGTCGTTCTTGATTTTTAAGTGTAAATTCTGCTGTTAAGGCCCAAAAACCGTAAGTAGAATGTTTGTTAATGGTGTGGGAATGATTTTTATTTTATTTGGTATGTTGTCACATGTATTGGGGGGTAATACATCGGGTTAAACGAACATGTTGGATTTTCTACGGTATCCGCCATTATTAAGTCCCTGCGTGACGGTTTGTGAACCCCACATTGATCTTGTAGTCTTGTTCTAGTCCTTGTTCATGCTAGTGCTCGTCTCGGCAATCCGGCTGCCTAGAAGTTTTTGAATTAAATTGTAAGTTGTGCTCTATGTGTATGATTTAAGCGAATTAAGTGATTTAAAGCGAAAAGCGGTGTTAATCTACTTGGTTTTAACGAAAAGGCAATTGTAAAAGCGAAAGAAGTAAGATTGACCTTCAAATTCATCATTTTGATAACTTTATCGGTTTATCGTAAAGACGGTTTTAACTTATTTCAAAGATATTTCAATGAATAATTCCTCGATTATTTTAACGGTTTATCGTTCGATGGAGTGATTTTACAACGAAATTCCATTGAAATTAATCATGTCTGCCCACAGTTCGCCGAACGTTGACATAGGCTCAGATATATATAAATATATATATATACCTATATATAAATTCTCCACCAAGCAATTTCGGTCGATAATTGTGGCGCGTTTTCCCAAAATCCAACGACCGAGCCGGTAATTTCCCAAAATTCGGAATCGTCGTACTACGCATTAGATCGAAAGGTGTGGCTTGACGCCATATTGTAAAACTTTGCCTCCGCGCTTCACTTGTTATACCAGTGAGTCTCTGATAGGCCGGTGCCGGTATAGCTTACTACGTTTTATCGACATAAGGGGTGGAAGTCGCTCGCTCCCTTCCTTCGGCTATTTTTAGACCTTTTTTAATCCCGACAGTGTTAGTTGACATTTTTATCAATTCTTTACGTTTTAAAATTTTCCGACGAAACGAAAATCCATAACAAATTTTTGTTAATTTTTCCTCAGATTAGAATAATAGCACAAGATGTCTGCCCCCGACAAAGATGAGCTAGTGCAAAGGGCGAAACTCGCCGAGCAGGCTGAAAGATACGATGATATGGCATCAGCAATGAAGTCTGTAACTGAGACTGGTGTCGAGCTCAGCAACGAGGAAAGGAACCTTTTATCAGTTGCATACAAAAATGTCGTTGGTGCAAGAAGGTCCTCATGGAGGGTGATCTCCTCAATTGAACAAAAGACTGAAGGTTCTGAACGTAAACAACAAATGGCCAAAGAATACCGGGAAAAAGTTGAAAAGGAACTGAGGGAGATCTGCGATGATGTTCTTGTAAGTCTCATTTATTTAAAATCATGTATGTATTACCTGTATTAACTCGACCTTTATTAAAGGCCATATAAATATCCAAGGTTTATTAAAAAATCAATAGCTCAACGTAATAATGTCTGTTGGAATGTTGAGCTTGAATTTGGACAGAATCAAATCAAGACAATAAGAGTCAAAACCTTTATGTTTAATTCTAGCCTGACATTAAAACAAACATTAGCTTGAGTTATTCATATAATGATGTTATTCATAACTTTCGTTCTTCCGAGATTTTTTGAAGATAATTTCACAACTGATTACTTGAAACACAAAGGTTAAGAAAACCCTTAAAAGAAAAATCTGATTGCGTTTTTCTTACAGGGTCTTCTGGACAAATACTTGATTCCCAAAGCAAGTAATGCAGAATCAAAAGTATTCTACCTTAAAATGAAGGGTGACTACTACAGGTATCTCGCGGAAGTTGCCACGGGAGACACAAGAAATAGTAAGTACCTAGTAATTTTTTTCTCATCTAGATTTTTGTCGCGATTTGTTGTTGGGTGAGTTGTACCATGTATAAAATTTCAGCCGTTGTCGACTACTCACAGAAAGCATACCAGGATGCTTTTGAAATTTCAAAGGCCAAAATGACACCTACACATCCCATCAGATTGGGTCTGGCACTCAATTTCTCAGTTTTCTATTATGAGATTTTAAATTCGCCCGACAAAGCTTGTCAGTTAGCGAAACAGGTTAATATAATTTTTTTTAATATCCACAGGGGCAGAATTACGTCGAATGTTACCAGTCAGCACTTTTTATATTTGTTTATTTTTTCTTAATCTTATTAATATTTAAATAGAATAACACTATTTCTCTTGTGTAGAAGTGGTTGAAGATTCACAAAAAGCGTATCAGGAAGCCTTCGATATAGCTAAATCAAAAATGCAGTCAACCCACCCGATTAGACTGGGACTGGCCTTAAATTTCTCGGTGTTTTATTACGAGATCATTAACTCGCCAGCCCGTGCCTGTCATCTCGCTAAACAGGTTAATTCATTGTTAATTTTATTGTTAGTGTGATTTTTTTACTTAGAATTTTTTTGAGTGACCTAACATCACATGTAATTCTGCCTGTTTATTTAATACTAACTCCTCGTGTGTAGTAGTTGATAAATGATCATTAATTAACCCATTAATAGATGTGAATGTTATTATTATTTGATGATGATTTGGTGGGTGGTGTTCTAATGTCTCTGATCTCGTTCGTGTAGGCCTTCGATGATGCAATAGCAGAATTGGACACATTGAACGAAGATTCATATAAGGATAGTACACTCATCATGCAGCTCCTCAGGGATAACCTCACACTTTGGACAAGTGACACACAGGTAGGTTGTCGCTGCTAAGGCAGTCAAAAGGGCGTGATTTCTAAACTTGCGGTTGTTTTGCTTTCAGGGTGAGGCAGATGAGCAGCAAGAAGCTGGTGATAATTGAAGTGTGCGTCCGTTTTTAAAATTATTCGTTAATAATGAAATTTCATGTAAGTTAACGTTCTTGTGGAACTTGGTTGTGAAGTTTCATTGACAGTTTAAGTTTCAGAAGAAACTTTTGATATTTAATAATGTTTTTAGGAGATATGTAAAATCGTTAAATAATTTCATGTCACACAACCAGCTAATTTCCGCAACAAATTACTTATTAAGCCATATATTTTTTTTATTCAGCTGGAGTATGTGTGATTAAATGTCAATTCTTTTCAACTGTTTGTATTATATTTTATGAGGTTTTTTATTTTATATAAATACAACATATTGTCTATCTCCTTCCTAAAAATCGAGAAGATTTATTTGAAATTTCAGGCACTTTTTTAAGTTCTAACTTGTTAACTATTAAAATTATTATTTAATAACATTGTTTTAGTTTGTATTATTTCTTTTTTATATTTGTCCAGTTGTTCAGTCTCCAAAATCATACCTGTACCCCTTTTTACATTAAAAGACGCCTATACCTTACCTACCTAAAACAAACCTTTAGTCCACTAAATTATTTTGCACTCCGCTGCATGCCCCTTGCAGGGCTGAAGTCGGCCTTTACCCCCCTTATTTACCGTCAACACTCACTTTGGATGTGCTATATATAAATGTATGAATATGTATTCAAATAAACTGCTATCAAGCTCTATTTGTTTTCTGTTGTATCTGTCAATATATTTGTCAGATATCAATAAATTTTTCAAAATCTTTCAATTGTTTAATTTTTATTCCTCAAATATTCAAAATTATTTCAGGGAGTCAAAGCTAATGGACTAAAGTGTCTCAACTTAAACAGCATTTTAATGTATGTTTCCAATTACTTAGTCCTTGTCCTTTTATATTCATAACACTACCAACTTAAGCTACTTACAGGTAAGTAAACTTATAGCAAAACTACTTACGACAGTCTGTAAAACTGACCTTGGCACAAACTGTCGTTGAAATAACAAAAATAAAATCGTATTTAATTGCGCCTTTAAAATCATAATTACAAATGTGGAATTTTTATTGACGAGTGCGTCATAGAGCGCCTAAAATTAGTCGAACAAACAAAAAAATCTGCCAAAAATATAAGATTAATCATGGTTTGCCACATATCTGTTTATTTCACGGTCTAGACGTTTTACAGGGTATTGATTTTCTACCACAACCTTCCCCTCACCTCGCGACCCATTACAAATTTGCTTTCAAAGGTCGTAAAATATCAAAGCGATGTTTTCACGAATTTTCGAAGCATCAAATCTTAAAGGGGACAGTATTTTCGATAACACTAAAGAATGTTGTTTATCGGTGAAATTTACCTGGCTCCAAGGGTCACTCGTAAAAATCCTGTTTGGAGTTTGAAGTAAAATATATTCCTTGTTTATCAAACGTAGTAATCAAGGCTAATTTATTTTAAAATTTATCACTTTGCGTAAATTTCTCAAAACAGTGACACAATTAGCATTAATTTAGTTAAACCAATAACATTACTTAACGGCTAATCATAAATTTGCAATAGCGTAATAATTAATAAAGAAAAACCAATATTTAATTATATTATAAGGACCATCTTAATTTTTACACAATCCATTGTGCCTAGGTAAATTGTTCTAAAAATAGGTCATTCTGCATTTGTGCATGATTAATGCACCACAATATTTTAATTTAAATAAATGAATCACCTAGAAAAGAGCTTAGAAATTTACTTAGGTAATTGGTTTTCTTTAAGAACTATTCTTGGTAGGTAATTATTTTAACAATTAACAAGTAGGTACCTAGGTATACTTTAGGTATAAAATTTATATTATAAATAGATACAAAAAGAAAATAGATAACATTATTCATGGAAGGTGTTATCCGAGGATTTTTTTTGGGATTACTCTTAAATCCTTTCCTACTTAGATAATAGAAACTTGTACATAGATAACCAAACCCGTATCATTTTATCGTCATGATAAACAATAGTATATTACACTACAAGGGCAGAAAGTGTGAGATTCCTGCACTGCGCGCCATGATGCCCGAGGCGAAGCCGAGGGCATCATGGCGCGCAGTTCAGGACTCTCACACTTTCTGCCCGTGTAGTGTATACTATTTTTCTTGCTACCCCGCAGAAAATACGGGAAAAAATTAAATGTATATAAAAAAACTTTTGTCAAAATTAAAATCTGACGTTTAATTTAATTCTGACGTTTACATTCAAAATCAATCAAACTGTAGCGTTGTCATGGTAATTCAGCGGTGCCAATACAGTAAAAATAAAAGGTTGTATTTTAATTAACAAATTACTACTTTATAACAAATAAAAGTACCATTAAACACTTAAAACCACATAAAAAGTAAAAAAGTAAAAACATAAATTGTTTATTTGTTGTTATAATTGCAAAATTATGGTTTAAAACTGTCATATTTTTGTGTTTCTCATGTTGGCAGTACGAAATTTGAATTGTGCTTAACGACTAAAAAATTTTTACTCCCGCTATTAGAGTGTGCGTGTATAGCTTGACCAATGCAAGAAACGTAAACTTTCTGCCGTGAAATCGGGGACGAAACAACGTATTTTGAGTCGAGGTAGTAAGAAAAACATTTTACTTACTTTACTACTGTAGTCTTGGTTGCCTAACATAAGATGGCATTTTTTAGGGCGCCATCTTTTGAAATATTTCTCCACGTATTTACATTGACTTCAAAAATCTTTTTTTCTATTAATTTTAGAACAACAACTAGTATGCCTATTATTTCAGTGATATTTCTTAAACTTTTATATAATAGCAAGAAAAAGTATATAATTTTACCATAATTTTTATTAGTACTTATCTGTTATGACTAGAAAAAAAATGTTGGTGCCTAAATTCAAGTTATATTGCCGTTAATGTAATAAAATACAATTTAAATAATAAATTAATTCATAGAAAAGCCTTGTTGCTGAAATGTATTTAATTACACGCTAACCTATAACAAAATTGCGTCTCTAAAATAAATATAAATTGCGATTCTCTCTTAATTTAAAGTAGTAGTAAAAAAATTAAAATATTATTGTTAAAAAACGTATTTTTACTGAGCAATTTTGTTGGTAGTATTGTAAATTTGACTGTTTCTCTTAATGCCTAGTCCTAGCTAAAAATAGCCAGTTTATTTTGACTTCTAAATTAATCTGCTCTTCTTTTAGTACCAACTAAACTCAATTAATGATGTAAAAAGTGAATATGTTTTCTTTAAATATTTCCAATATTTATTATTTATGCTTGTTACTGGTATTTGTTTTTACATTTCATTTCTCAAACTCGAATAATTTGCAAGGGGAACAGTGAGTAAATCGCCAAAAATAAAACCACGTTGTAATTTTGCTATTATTTAATAGGGTGGCAAGATGGGCTGATGAAATAGGGGATGAACTTTATAGGCTTGGAAAGGCCAATACGAATTTTAGGGAAATAACAGAGGTAATGAAACAAATTTTAAAATATAATAATAATATAATAATTTTAGACCTACAAATACCTAAACGCCAAAGTTGAGATAAAAAATCCTCAAGAATTGTTGGATGAGGTCAAGGAAAATATAGAGCGCATGATGGATAGGAAAATGGATGCCATAAGGGTATAAAAATAAATAAAAATATATTTTTCAAAACTAAATATTTATTTTAGTGCATTCAACAAAAAGCCGAGGAAGTCTCTGAAACATTTCAACACAACAAAACCTTTTATAAATATTATAGTTCAAAGTATTCAAAATCCGATAACGTGCACATAAAATTTCCAAAATCCATAAGAACTAATACCGCAATGTATTTGAACATGTCGGTTAACAATGACACGCATTTCTACAATTTACCAGTAAACACAAACCACAGCTCTGTCCATGTGCCCACAAATGTATATGATAGAGGTAAAAAATATAACATATAGGGTGATCCACAATTTTATGATGAAAAAAATTGTTGAATCTTGCCTCCACATTTTGTACGTGATTATGGGGCCGTCCATAAATCTCGTGACGCTGGAGGGGGGGTTAAAACGTCACGCGATAAATCCATTTTTAGTCAGATTATTACAAAAAAAATCTGAATAAATATTTAAGGGAATGTGATAATTCGCCACATGACCCTTCAAGGGGTCTCTGTTACGAGGGAGGGGGTCAATTTTGACCATTTTTTAGCGTCACGAGATTTAGGGGCCCTAAATAATAATATTATAATGTCCTTATCAATCTCCAGACCTCGGTATTAAAAATCTCCGTTCATTGAAAGACCTGAGTACATGTACATGCATCTATTCAAAGAACGTAGCATCCGTATCATCCGATTTATTCTAATCATTTTAGAGGATGACGCTGCTTTTGCGATTCAGTGGTCAGAACATTTAGATGAAGTATTTGTGAGAAATTATAATTCAGACCCAGCGTTATCCTGGCAATATTTCGGCTCGTCATCCGGTATAATGAGGCATTATCCTGCGAAAAAATGGGAGGATTTAAAAAAGGATCTGTTCGATTGTAGAAAACGGACGTGGTACATAGAAGCAGCTACTTGTACGAAGGATGTGGTTATCCTTATAGATAATTCAGGCTCTATGGATGGTAAAATGTTAATAGATAGAACTAAGCACATACAATGTTTGTTGATTTAGGTATGGGAAGGCATATAGCGGCTTTAACGGCGTTTAGTATCCTGGATACTTTTTCCAATAACGATTACGTAAACATAATGAATTATTCCGAAACAACTAATTACACTGTGCCTTGTTTTGAGAATTTGTTGGTGCAAGCTACTAAGGAAAATATACGCGTTTTTAAGGACGCTATAGAATCCTTGGACCCACTTGGCAAAACCAGACTTAACCAAGCTTTGGAAAAAGCCTTTGATCTACTAAATTTTGTAAGATATGTTCTATTGTGGTATAATAATAATTATAATTATCTATTTTAGTACAGAGATAAACGAAATTGCAGCGACGGCAACAACACGGACTGCAATCAGGCCATAATGATTATCACGGACGGCATTCAAGCAAATTTAAGTGAAATTATAATGAAACACAACTATTTGAACAACGGGACTAATATACCGGTGCGGTTATTTACGTATTTAATAGGAAAAGAAGTGACCAACGTTCCTGAAATAAAGTGGATAGCATGTGCAAATCGCGGCTTTCACACTCACGTCCAAAGCTTGGAACAAGTAACAGCTTCAGTTTTAAAGTACATCAATGTTATAGCTAGACCTTTAGTCCTACAGGAAAGTGAACATCCTGTATCATGGACCCATGCCTATGCAGACACAACAGTGAGATATTTTAAGTTGGTAGATTAATTTTGGTTAGTAATCGTTTATATTTTTAGTATGCCGATACGGATCAAAAGGATAACAACGAACCTTACAGATTACTTACAGCCGCGGCCATACCTTGTTTCGATAGAAAAACCAACTTGCAGAATGATACGCGGACGGCTTATTTACTGGGTGTAGCCGCGACTGATGTGCCTATAGATGACTTTAAGAAACTTACATTCCCATATAAGGTATTAGTTACCCATTCAACGTTGGTCTTTGGACTGAACTCAGGATGTATGATTTTTTCTGAAAGACTAAATTTAACTTCAGCATTAGCAAGACTTCTTATAAAAGGTTTACAAGGAAAATGCATGTGTCCTGATGTTAAGAGGCAAACAAGCAAGTTGAATTTAGTCTTTATGAGTATGAGAACGTATGGCTGGCCCCATCGGCATCGCCTTACACTGATCTTCCAGAGTAGTGTTTTACCAACTTTCAGTTCTCATACGTATCAGAGCCCTCCCGGAATTTTGTCGCCAAGCCGGGCCATACGCCCGATTTAGGCTAGTGGAGTGCGGGACAAGGAGGGAAAACATGTTGGTTTTTGGGGGACATCGGACTGACCCAAAACTAAGTACAATCCTGAACCCCCCTAATCCAGGGATTTAGTATTAATACTGGGGTTCATGAATGGGGTTTTGCTGGTTAGTTCGCTGCTTGGACCTATCCTTGATGGTCTTGAAGTACTATATATTTGTTTGCGTCCGTGTCTGCTGAAATTTACTGTGGTGAAAGTTTGGACACTGCAGTCCGCAATTGTTTGCCCCACTGTACGAAACCGTTTCTTCAGTCTAGGATCGAGAACCATCGATAGATAGTTTTCGGTAGTCGGCAATGTGACATAGTTAACAATAGTTTTTTTGTTTATAACGAATTATACGAAAATTATCTGTAAGGACAAATTATTTGTCCCACGTGCATAAGCCTTAGCTTTATTTCAGTAAAGACTTAAGTCTTTACGCAATTGCGTTAAAGACGCTTAACCTCTTCGGGAAAATGCAAGATTACTTTCTTAGTAGAGAATGCAAATTAAAGCTATTAAACTGTCCACTTGACCCTCTCTTTGGTTCCTTCGGATGACTAGTACATTAGGTTCACCTGTACAGGTAGTGTAACTGATTTCTTACATTCTTCACTTGTATTGCACTGCACTACTGTATTAGCGTTTTGCTGATTCTGTAAGACATCGGGAGAGAGGTACCTTGATTTACCTGCACAGGTAGGGGCCATGGGCTCTAATTGCACACTGTATAAACTTATCAACTTAATGTAGATATTTTCTAATGGTAAGAGGTCATGTTCATGTGATTACGTTTTTTTATAAATGTATATATTTACTTAAGTGGTTACTTTATTGCCTCTAGATCGGGGTTAACGGTTACGCTTTCATCGTAAGCAACAATGGTTACGTTTTGATGCATCCAGATTTGAGACCAGTTTTTCAAGGGATGCTGAAAGAAAATTACAACAGCGTAGATTTAACGGAAGTGGAGCAGTTGGATGATGGCAAAGGAGCTAGAGAAATCAGTGATACAATGCGTCGATTGCGGGCGGCTTTGGTGAATGGGGAAACAGGCAGCATGCACAATATAACGCTCAAGTTTCACTACGATAGAATGAGGAGGGTTTCCAAGGAGACCTATGATTATTACTTCTCCCCATTGGAGGATACACCATTTTCGATCGCCATAGCTTTGCCCGAGAGATACGGTAATTACTCGTTGAAAGTCGACGATATTATAAGTAAAAAGAAACATACCGGAACCAGACTACCGGAGCTACTAACAGGAAAGTGGAAAATTCACCCGAAATGGGTGTACTGTCGGTATCATTATCTTGAAGGGCACGAGTACGAAACGCCGGAAGAAGAGCTAATTGACTTTCTTGGTAGGATGTACGAAAGGGACTTCAAGTGGAACAGGCAGTACGAAGCCTTATCGATAAGCAAAAACGGGTCGTCAAAAATCGAAAAAGAAGATAGATCCAAAGTGGAATGCGGTCGAAAGACGTTGGACACCAACGATTATTACTGCGATAGAAAGCTAGTGGAAAGACTTATTTTCGACGCTGAAGCTACAAGAAAATTCATCGAAGGTTGGAAAGACAATAAAGCTCCAGTGGAGTGGGACTTGATCGACAAGTACAACGTCTCGCTACGTTTTGTCGCCACCATGAGCGGTTTGACGCGATGGGATTATATCAATGAGGAGGTAGAAAGAAACACTAAAAAAAAATTCGGGGACGCGCACTCTTGGGCTATAGATGAAACTTGGTATAAAAGCGCCATTTTGCAAAGGCAATACAACAAGGACGCCTTTGTGTATTCCGTTCCGTTTGAGTCGTCAAATGATAAGGATGTTTCTGTTACTGGTAGTTACGCGATCTTTCCCTCAGATGCCGGCAATGAGGCGCCTGGTTCAGTGGTTGGTTATCAGTTTTCTCATTCGAAATTAAAGAAGAGGGTTGCAGAGATTTCTACCAAGTTAGCCGTAATATTAATACAATTGTGTTTGTATATTCTATTAATAATTATGGTTGTAGAATCTATGTTCGGCCTGTGGAAGATGCAATACTACTATGGATTGTTACGTGGTGGACAGTAATGGATACGTTATAGTTTCCTTGAAGGAAAATGAGAATGATACTGGGAAGTTCTTTGGTGAAATAGAAGGTGACGTTTTGCAATCGATGATTGAAGAAAAAATATTTGAAGAAGTTATTATATATGATCTTCAAGGGTGGTGTAAGAATGAAAATGCTTCTGGAAGTAATGCCAACACCCTATTAACAGTAAGTTCACATTAAATAAAAACATTGGTCCTAAGAAGAATTTTCAGCCTTTCAGGTACATACAGCACAGTTTAAACTGGTTCTTTATGAAATTTATGTTATCTCTAAACATATACAACTGGTGGACTCCTTACTATGTATTTGCTGAAGATGAGTTTGATATGTATGAAGATACTACCAATACTACTGACGAAGCAATGGGTGATGATGACGATGATGATGACGACGACGACGACGATGATGACGACGAAGAAGAAGACTTGTATTATGCATGCGAAAAAGAAATTCGTTTATACGTGTTACAACAACTGGCAACAAGTGGCGATACAAAAATTGTGGAAAACAAAAATAAGAGGTCGTATTTTGTGAAGGGGATACCTTACAGCAGTTTAATATTTATTGCTATAAATAATACGTTTTTGGTGTCGGATAAGAAAACGTACTCTACGGTACCACAAATAATGGAGAGTGAGATATTGTTGCCGTGTCAGAAAAAAGATTTGAATAATTTGCCGCGAAGAAGATTGGCTGGTTGTTTCAATGAGCATCCTTTGGAACACGAAATCAAAGAGTGTGGTAAAGGAGCTGTAGTTAAAATTCATTATGCCTTACTACTAATCTGTTTGGTTTTATTTTGTATATAAATCGGTAAAACAATGTATAAATGTAAATATTGTAGAGCGGGAAGAAAAATAAAAGATTATATTAATTGTTATGCATTGTTTATTTATTTATTTAAAAACTTTTACATTGGTGTTCGAATCGGACATTTCTTTCGCGCGATTTTTTGTTCATTTCACGAATTGCGTTGTTGATTCCAGTAACGACTGAAGGTGATGAGCAGCTGAAAACCCCATAACGTGACACCTTAAAAAAATAATTAAAAAAATTATAGTTATTTATTTATCAAGGCAGTCGTATTTTTTATCACGAATGTGGAAATTATTTGCAGAGGCAAAAGCCGAGGCCAATAACCACGTGAGTGATAAAAAATGACTTTAATACCGAGGTGCATATTAAATTTTATCCGAAATCACATTTAATAATACTAATAATTAATATTGATGATCAAATCAAATGTCATTTGATGATCAAATCAAATTTCATTTGAATGTAGGATGTGTCTACGTATACTGTTTGTTGCGACGGTTATTATATATTTGCCCGCCGCGGCGATTTTTTAATCTATTTAATAAAATTAACTTATTATTTTTATTAAACAACATTTTATGAAAGGGTCCAATCGACCTCGACCGCGACGGTGCTTTTTTTTAAATATTATTTAGTTGCTGGTGAGTAGCAGTAGACATATCTTAAAATGTATAATGGGTTGCATACAATCTTCGTATTAAATCGGCAGTAAAGTAGAATTTCTTTTACTTCACTGCCGAATGTTGACTACTTTACTGCCGATTTCGGATAAAATAAATTTTATTGAAAAAACTTACTTCGGTATGGATACTTTCTACAGTTGTAAAGAAGCGCGCAAAATTGGGTCGACCAAAATGAGTAACAGCTTGTAAACCGGTAAAAAGTGACTTGCTCGAAAATTTTTGATAGTGTTTCTCGCACATATACATTATAGTGGTCCTTAAATCGAATTTTTCGTAGAACTCGGTTATAAATATGTGGCAGCTGATGAATTTTTTTGTATCGCTATTCTCCACTTGTCTCAATGTATCCACCATCCATTCGAATTGGCGTTGCGTCTTGCAGACCCAAATAAAATAAACTTTTTTACAGGTAAAAATTTCTTTGCTGGTAGCTATATCCTTTAAAATACTGGCGAATGGGGTGACACCAATACCGGAACCGATCAAAATTGATACATCGTAGGTGTTCCAGTCCTGATAACCCTCCCCAAAAGGCCCATCCAGATAAATTTTCGGTAATGGGGCTTCCGGCATGGCGTTCTGGTAAACGTTTCGTAAATTTGAGGTCCAAGGTCCGACGGTTCTTATGTGAACAGTTAAATCTTGCTCTTGTGGACTTGAGGACAGCGTGAACGGATGAAACTCGTTTTTGTTCAAGTTCACGCAGGCAATCCTCACCCATTGACCAGCTTTGTATTGGAAATTGTATGGTTTCTTAAAACGCAACATTGTCACATCTGCAATTAGTTAATATAAGAATGTTGTTGTTACGAATATAAAATGCTTACTCGAAGGAAGTATTTCAGCCTGCAGTACTGGTATTTCGATTTTTTTCCTATTCACACTAATAATCGTGTCGATGGTAAATACTGTCAAAGGAGCAACAAGGTAATAAAATAAGTAGGGCGCCTGTACAAGTCGTCCAGCACCATGAATCGCCAATAGTATATAAAAGACGGGATACAAATTGTGCGTATACCAAAACCAATGGTAAATTTTTTGCCGGACTATTTGAGGGAGGGAAAAAGCGTACATAATGGAGCAAATTAAGACTAGCAAATTACCGGTAACACCCGTTATAGTGCACCAACACCAGTAGTGGAATTTCGGCAGCTCATGTGTTCTAAAATTAATTAATATGATTTTGGTTCGACCATTATGATTGATTAATCGACTTACGCATGGTGGAAATTCCTAAATAGACAGGACAAATCGTCTGCAGTTTGTGTAGATATGTGGTAAAAATTAAAGGCGTGTCCGACTATATGGATTACTACGAATAAAGATTTACGTTTTTTTTTTTAATTCAAGTTCTGGAGGAGTTTCTTGAAATTTCAAGAAACCACTTCTTAAAACATACCTGTAAAAAATAGGGCCCAACGGGCGATATACTTGTGGAATGTGACGGACGAATCAAACGGAATCCATTGGTTTAGAGGTGTGTTTTTAAGGAAAGTTATGGTGTTTCGGCACATTGTTGCTAGTAGTGAGGAATATGTGAACATCATTCCTGAAGCAGCGCCTCTGGTGAAACTCATCCCATACCATAGAATCCTTCGGAACCCTGTGTGCTCCTTTTCCACAGCGTAATCTTAAAAATTTTTTTTTAAATTATCGTCAAGGATTTAATTTTATGTACGTACAATAGGCACTTTCAATAAATATTCCCAGCAAAACCAAAGTGTATAAAGTTGTCCAAAAAATTTCTTTTGACCTAATTTCCAGAAATTTTCTTAAAGGCGATTTCATTGCTACCGGTTTAAAACTCTTCAAGATTGCATCTTGCTCTTCATCAACAAGTTTACTGGCTTTTGCTTCTTCATTCGCACTAAAGTCGTTTTGGAATCTATTCAACTCGTTTCTGAAACTAATAAAACAATACTATTTGATGTAAATTGTCAAATCATCATGCATGCGTCTATACAAGGTCCCTGATAGCACACTTTATTCTAAGAATGCTTTTTAAACCTTCCAGTGAGAATATTCTTAGGATCATGCTATATTTCTTCTAAAGAACATGCTTAAAAGACATATAGCATGATCCTAAGAATATTCTTACTAGCCTATAGGCAGGTTCTTAAAAGGTGCAAATTTTTAGTGGTAGTAATTAGTCTACTCTAAACATATGCTTAGAATGTTAAGAAAGTAATTGCTATAGAAAGTTCATTTAGGAATATTCCTGTTAAGCATATTTAGTTCAGTTACCTATATAATAGTAAAATATACCATAAACTACGTATAAAGGTATATACCTATACCTAATTAGTAATACGTATTAAATACTAAGTAAAAAACACAATCCAAAATATTTTTTTATAGTTAGGTATTTGTCAAATAAAAACAATATTCGATAACAAAAATACTTTTACTATAGGTATTTTATTTTATGTTAAAAATAAATATTTATTAATTTGTATACCGATTTTTTATTTTTGAATTAACATTTTTATGTATAATAATCCTATCTATCTTCAACTTCAATCTAATCTGACTTATCCCACAAAATTTTTAGAAATCAAATTGTTTATTTAATATTTTTAAGTAAATATATATTAATATGTCGCAAAATTTTTTGAGGGGACGACAAATACATTTCACTGTCATGTTATGACAGTGAGGCGTATTTGTCGCCTCCTGAAGAATTTTACGAATGTAGAATACAACATATTAAAACGTGGGTATCTGACATATTTGGAAATATTCTCAAAAGCTTTCTAGAAGCTCCATAAGAAACCTTCTAAGAACATTCCAAAAACGTATTCCTAAAATGTTCTTGGGATGCTTTTTAGGAAGGTTTTAAGAAGCTTTTAAGAATCTAATTGCATCATTAAAAGGGTATCTATTGAATGTTTTAAAAGTCCCTAAGAACATTCTTAGCAATAAGGGAAGGTTCTAAGAATATTCCATTATTCCGGGTCATATCTTCTTAGAAGATTCTTAAAATCAAATTTTGCTATCAGGGGTGTCACCTAATAAATTTTGGTATGTACCATCACTCCCTTAAAGGATGACAACTTCTTCGGTAACATCCTGTATATTATGTAAATTGAGGACTAACGCAACCTTCAATGTAAAAGCACAAATACAAATAAACAACGTACATATAAATGCTTTCGAATTCTTTGACAGTTTTCATCAAATGTGAATCTTTTACGCCTGGGAAGCCCAATGATGCCATGTTCAGTGATTTTATGTCTTCACCAAGAATTTTTTTAAAATCCTCTAAATTAAAGGAAGTTTTTCCATCCAGACCTGCATCATTCACCATTGATTGTATAGTTTTTTCCACTTCTCTACCTTCGCAATTTTCAAAATACGATCTAAAATGACAAAACATTTTCTATACCTAATTGTTTCTATGATCAACAAATCTGGTCTTGAAGTTGTCACATACTTTTTCCTCATATGCTACTACTCTATAAAAAGCTGTATTTATTTCACTGTAATCTTCAATTCACTGTCAAGTAAATACAGTCAATATTTTTTCCAGACAAAAATCACACCTAGAGGGTGTGGATTAACTTCAAGGCGAGAGATAAGTATGCATCCGGAAGGAACAAATGAAAACTTACCTTATCATATCCCTGAAGTCGTCGCGAGAAATTTGGCCGGTGTTATCAATATCGTACATTTTGAACAGCAATTTGGCTTTTTCATTCTCGTCCCCTTTAGCAAAAATAATATACAAATCGACAAATTCTCTGTAGGAAATAAATCCGTTTTTGTTGCGGTCTGTAACTTCAAACAATTTTTGAACAAATTCATTTGACGGCTTCATTTGCAACGATTCCGCAAATTCCAACAGTGTCAGCTCAATGTTGATTATGTCTCTGGCAACATTCGAGTCCATTTTCAGCAATTCCTTGCTGGAATGTTGAATATTGAAGGCTTGAGCGAAAACTACTCTGAAGAACATTTCGACTTTTTTCTGGCGATCTTTTTGAGTGGTGATTTTAACAGCTTTGAATGGCATTTTGGTCTCTTTTTGCCTATTTAATCCCAACTTGGTGACGAAATTTTCCAGTTTCGTTTCCAGTTGACTTCTCATATAATGCGTTTCAAATTTGAGCACCAAATCAGAGCTATTATTCGATTGTATAATTAACGTTGGTTGATCGCATACGTACACCAAACGAATATCGTCGCCTTTTTTGTATTCCAGTGCTCTCATTAGAGTACCGTTGATGGATTCCACTTCGATTTTGGCGTTGGAAATTTTAATAACCACCCTTCTGGGCGGCGTTTTCGAATCCGTCCAAACTGTTCCTGAAACCACCACATCTGCCTCACTCTTTTTTGATGTTTTATGTCGTTTTATTGCTGATTTTTTATAGGCATCGTTCAAATTTATACCCATTTTTCTAAGCTTTCTTTCTTGAAGTCTTTTCAGCAAGAAAATAACTCCTATGGTTCCGCATATGAACGAGAACAGGAATGACAATGTAAACCCAAATGAAGCCTCGCTGTTGGAAAAATAGTCATAATACATAATATTTTCTTCATCTGAAGATCCAGTTTTACAACGTTCCAGATCTTTTACCTTTAACGAAGGCAAATGATGGTAAATTTTATTTTCATACGAAAAATTATGGACAAGGTTGCACTTATTTATTAAATCGATATCAACATTTTGAATTGGCACCTTAAACGGATTATGAGGTATATCATTTTTTGTTATATTTGTAACTGCTAATATAATGTCCCGAATTTTTATGTTTCTGATTAAGTCAACTTCCTCTTTTTTAAATAGTTTGTTCATCTCGTAGTTTTCAAACCAAAATCTATCACCATTTCTAATGCGGTTAAACTGATCCACAATCACAGTCGAAAAAAATTCGCCCGGGCCTTTATCGGTGGTTTCCAAAATTCCACCAACCCATGCATCAATTTTTTCATAAAGATTGTCATTTCCGTACAGCGTTAACAGCATATTGTGTATCTAGAACAAAGCATTTTTATGTTAATCTAGTTAATCTTCGAAATTTACTTACTTTTAATTCAAATTTGTTTACACCCAATCCAAAAGCTCGTCTACATGCACTGTAGCCTGGCAAACCATGATCTCTCCCTCTCTGTATGTTAAGAGCCATCAAATCTCGTCTGGGAAACTCCAAAGGTCCAAACACGTTCCCTCTAAGATCTTCAACAACATGGGAATCCTCTTTTTCGCACAATTGGACCGTCATGCCCATGATCAATCTGTCTACATTAAGAAAGTCGCCCTGTTCATCGCGAGCTAATATTGGATCGTTTGGACGCCAAAAACTATTGCAAGTCCTCACCACACTTTTATTCCAACCTTTAAAATTTTTGCCGCAACCTTTATCGACATAATCCCGCAAATATACCCCTGGTGTCACCAAGGTGTGCCCAAAACGAAAAGCCGCAGATTGAAAAACCTGATCAATCTGCGGATCAACGCTAGGATCATATTTGTAAGTCGTCAAATTTTTTCCCACAAACTCCGGCAACCAATCATACACAATTATTTTCTGCTGAGTTGCTATCGTCCACTTTCTAGCTTCGTTGAAAATCTTCTCGCTACTCCAGTCTTGGTGTTTTTTCCGGAAATGTCCAGCTAAATGGTTGTGCCAACGAAACCATATGATTCCCATGGACAATAGAAACGGGTTCTCATTGCCTCTCGGATTGCCCAATTCTAAAAAACAGGGATTTTTTGTTTTTCATGCTCTTAAAATTTAAGCATAAGTTTTGAAAGTCTTACTTTCTCTTAAAAACTATAATAACGGGAATTGTTAAATTTCGCGGGTTCGGACCCTCGAGGGTCCGGTTGTCATAAAATTCTTTATTATGTTCCCAGATATGAATCGTGCGTCGCACGTAGGTCGCACGGCGTGAGAACGCACACGTGTGGTCGATTTCACACGCATATGAGTAGCATAGCTGTGCGCGCTCACGCGATGAGCGCAGTATGAGCGCACGACGTGATCAATGATCTCTTACACTGTGCTTATCGGTAGTGATGCCAGATTCTATCAAAAAACAGTAGATTTCGTTTTTATTCACCTTATAATTACAAAAATGATACAATCAATAATAATTTCAATTTGCATTGTTTCACTAGGTAATTTCAATTAAAATGACATGCATCAACTGATTTGTATATATATATACATATATATATATATATATATATATATATATATATATAAATTATAATGTATTATATTGCATTTAAATTCAAATTTTAAAATTCGCGCGTAACCGGTCAACGCGGTAATTCGACAAAAACATAACCTTATTACATTGCTGCAATCGAGTTGTGTTTGAATTGTATTTATTTTTCTGTTGTGTTTTCTGTGTCCACGTGTTATTATAGTTAGGTATAAATTGATAATAGTATATTCTGTAACAAGTTTCGAATACAGCATATTCCGCTCGAGTGAAGAGTGTCACACGAGCCGAAGGCGAGTTTGACGGTTTCCCGAGAGCGGAATATGCAATTCCAAACGTGTTTCAGAGTATACTTTTTCTACGTTTTCAAAAAACACCATAGAAAAATAATTTAATTGGAAGAAAGTGAGGTTGGATCGGTCTAAAATTTGTTAGCCATTAAAAACAGAGATGTCGCCACAAGTGTTTATTCTGTCATCAGATGATAGAATATTTCATTCTGTAACACTTTACGGAATATATGTCATTTCATAGATAAAAGTGATATTAGAAGGGTAAAATTCCGTAATAGGATTTCAGGTAAGTGTGAAAAATATATAGATTAAATCATAACAAACATTTTCCCATCATAATTGATTATTTTTCTTGGGATTTCACAATAATTTAAATTATGAACCTGTGCATTTTTATTTACTCCAAGAATTTTATTTGCCTTAGGATTTTGTGATTTTACTTTTGTGATTATTTAGTTTAGTATTAATTAATCACTTGATTAATTAATCATCTGCTTTTTTATTTACATTAAGATTTTTTTATTTTACATTTGTGATATTTATTTATTTTTTTAAAGTGATTTTGATTAAAATTTGCGTTTTTATTTACTTTTTTCCTTTACTGGAATATATGTATTGGTGGTTTTACGGGATCTGCTACGTGTTGTCGGTTTTTGGTTCTTAGAAGAACCGTATCTCTGACGACGTTTCGCTACAATCTCATGTACTATGGTACATGAGATTGCACCGAAACGTCGTCAGACATACGGTTATTTTAAGAACCAAAAACCGACAACACGGAGCAGATCCCGGAAAACCACCAATACATATAACGCCCGCGGAAACCTAAAACAGAATATATATATATATATATCGACGGGTTTAAGGCAAAACGACACAAACGCCAAAATTTTTAAAAATTTGTTACAGGTCGATAGAGCTCTAGTTAGAGAATTTAATTCTCTATCAACCTGTACTTCTAACAATTTTTCAAAAAATTTGGCGCTTGTGCCATTTTGCATTAAACCCGTCGTTATATATGCATTTCCTTTGGAAATATACAACTTTTTTTACTCATTCATGTGCGCTGGAAATGCGTCGGCACACGTGCGCTTTAAATGCGCCGGCACACGTGCGCTGCATATGAGACGCATATGTAAGCGCATCTGTGTAGTAATCTGCGCGCACGCATGCCGTTTAAAAAAGCACGCGTGCACTCACTGTGCGCGCATCGTGACTACATTTTGCTATCTGGGTTGGGATACATGCCCCCGAAGTATGATAAAAACTTTAGCTGTTTTCATTGTTTACTTTTTCTGTGGCAGCCGCTAAGGTTAGACGTGTTTTATGAGCTCGGCGATTTATCGTTCGTTAAAAGAAATGGGTCAAAGAATTTGTATCCAATTTTGCTTAATGCTTAAAAAATGAAACAAATTCTGTGAAATGTTAACAAAGGCCTATAGTGAGTCTGCTATAAGTAAAACAAGAGTTTACAAGTGGTATAAGAGTTTCCAAGATGGCCGTGAAGACGTTGAAGATGACGAACGCCCCGAACGCACAAGCACATTAACAACCGATAAAAAAATGGAAAAAGTGGAAGAAATGGTTATAAACCATCAGAGAAGTCGCTGATGATGTTGGTATATCGATTGGCTCATCCCATGAAACTTTTTAGAATGTTTTGGTTATGAAATGCGTGGCAGCAAAATTTGTTCTAAAATTGTTAAATTTTGAACAAAATTTTTGGCCAAAAACAATACTGTAATGATGCCCCAGCCTCCATATTCCCAAAAATAAAGAGAACCTTAAAGGGCCGTCGTTTTGCAAGCATAGATGACATTAAAAGCTCATCGCTGAAAGAACTAAAGGCTATCTCAAAGATCGAGTTTTAGAAGTGTTTCGAGTATTGGAAGAAGAGCTGGCACATGTGCATAATATCCAATGGGGACTATTTTGAAGGCGACAACATTAAGTAGACGAATAAATAAATATTTGTTTCAAAAAACGAAAATTCCCGATCCCTTGCGGCCTTGAGTTTACGGTGAATTCACCGTTTGCGTGAATTCACCGTGAATACACCGTTTATGTGCAGTGAATATACCGTGCATTTGTGACATTTGTAGACGGTAATTAAACGGTGAACTCACGCTGTTTTTGCGATAAATTCACGGTGATTTCACGGTGAACTCAAGTTTGCAAAATCACCGCAAATTCACTGTGAAAGTACCGTAAATTTATCGTGAAATCACCGTAAAAGCGCTGTGAGTTTACTGTGAAAACACCGTAAATTGACTGTGAAAACACCGCAAATTGTAAGTGTGTTAAGCGGTTTAAGCAATACATCTCACGGCTGCTTACGCAAGCGAGCTAACTATAAATAGCGTTGGGTTGCAATATTTAGTTGGAAGTGTGCGTCTGTAATGGCATAGCTGAACATTAATTGTTTGAAGTCCCTATCTCCATCCTCATCTGCTCAGTAACGAATAATGGCTAGCTATAGTCGATTGTGTTAAACCTATAGGATATACCTACTTTTGCGGCCTTGAGTTCACCGTGAATTCACTGTGAATTTACCGTGAATTCACCGTGAATATACCGCCAAAATACGGTGGATTCGCAATTAAAATACTGTGAAAAGTGCGTGAATTCACCGTCTAACTACCGTTTACAAATGTCACGAACAGACGGTTTATTCTCGGTGAATTCACGGTTAATAAACCGTGAACTCAATGCCGCAAGGAATATTATCTGAACACAACCCACACAAGGTCTGTTCTTTAGCTTAAAAATTTAAACCAAAATCGGTGCAGTTGTGCGCACCTACGTCATCAAACACTTGCCGACATCTTGTCGCGGGTAATTTAAAATCCCCGAAATAGAAGTTTGATACCGGCCGTTATCTTACCGCGGGTAGTTTAAATTCCCCGAAATTATAGTTATTATGTTATTATTATTTATATATTATAGTTTGTTTGTTCATAGGTTCTATGGTTTGTTAAAGAAATATGTGGAACAAAATATAACCTCTAATCTGTCAAAATTAAAAATATATTTTTGTATTTTTTAAGGTTTTTACTTACGCTTTTTTTACTTTTTAAAAAGTTTTTATACCAACAGTTATAAAAAACGTGCTAATTTTTAGAATTTGAATTTACTTACTGGTTAAACACTAAGATTTGCACAATTGAGGTTCAAAAAGGTACGCTAGTACAGTCAAAACACAAATAAACAACTAAATAACTGGTTCAAATACCTAACAACGTTTACAAGTCTGTATTAAGGCAAATAAGGCACAAAATCAAATACAATAAAGCACACAATTTAACCAAAACAAAATCTACACGCTTGAAACGTAAACAAACAATATGGCGGCAAGTATTTGGTAATTTTCAGTCTGCGCGAACTGCTAAAGAACAGACCTTGTTGTGTGGGTTGTGTCTGAACACACCTCGTATATATAATAACATATTTAAGATGTAATCATTATAACAATTATAATTTTTTACATATGATGCGCTTATGTTGCCACTGTGCGTTTTATTTTAATACTTTCTTTTTATATTTATTTAAACAATTATTCTAAAACATGTGTTCTAGACGCAATATCAATTTTCTCACTTAATAAGTCTTATTCAGAGTTTTTAGGAGAAAGCAACACTTACTTTTACTTATTCAAACTTTTTCAGAGAAAAATTTCCACAAGCGGTGAGTCAAACAAGAAAAAAACTTACTGAAGAATCTCTTAACACTGTCAGTTTCGTGTTGTTTCACATAAATGTCGTGGTTGGTTGGTGGAGGTGGATTGGCCATGGGTAAACTTTGGTTGTTGTATTCAGGGAATAGGCCGTTGTGGGAACTAGCCAGCTTTCCATTTTGATCCAGGGTTCCATTGGCGTAGGTTCTTAGTTGGTCGCTCCATTGTTTGGTGATGCCGTAGAACAAACCTCCATCAATGTATGGGGTAATTTCGTTTAACTGTTGCCTTGGATTGTTTGGACTGAAGCCAGTTTTCTGGTCGTATCTGGTTCTGAGAAATGGTTTGACTTTTCTATGTGGATATTTTTTGTGGTTTTCCGGTATTTTTATATTAAAATATTCAGGCGGACAGGCCGGCCTTTGCGCGTCCAAAATTTCTTCCACTACGTGCTGCCCGAAATAAACTAAAAATGCGTTTCTTCCTGTGGTCGATGGGCGCCATTCGTTGTCGGCCAAAATTGCATCGCTTACTTCAAACGGGTTGGGAAGGTCGTCGTCGTTTGGCTCGTAAACACCATCTTTGTATGAATTTGGGGTTCTTCTTAATAGGGGTTGATCTTAAATTTTACTTGGAAGGTTATTTGGTTATGGAATATCTGCTTACCTTACCTATGGCTCCAAGTTCTGGTTTCCCTAAGTTGTTGTACCAACCATCATAGCCAGGATATTCATATTCTTTAGATGTTGATTGTATCTTGTCTAAATTTATACCATTGCATTCTTCAAAATATATAATTAATCAATATTTGAAAACGTACAAAATAATAATAATAAAAATAGACTTTATTGAAAACTACTTTAAAATTAATTAACCGTAAAAATACATAAAAAATTTTATACAAAAATATTACATAGAAGCATCATTGATTTATAAAGAATTATTTACCTTTTCTTATAATATGAATAATAAAAAGCAATGTTGCTATTTTCAAGTACATTTCAAAAGGAACTGAAATAAATAAGACAGGACATGGTTAGGCTATCTTATCATACTTTTTTTGCGGTTGGGATATAATTAAAACAGTGTTTATTTTATAATACATATATTGCTGTTTCAATTTTTAATAAAACAATTAAAGATAAATAATAAAAAATCTAAAAAGTAAAAATTAATATTTCTTACATTCATTAGATAAATAAATTAATCACAGAATTTTAAAGTTGTATTAAAACTTAGGTTTCTTAGCAAAATATACAGTTCAATTTTGATTGTAGCATTTAAGATTTTATTAAATAACATTGTGATGTGCCTACCTCATAAGAGAGTATTAAACAATTCTAAAAATTCGGTATATACATGAGGAACAAAATTCAATATAAATAACATATTAAAGGTACAAATTTATACAGGATAGATTAAAAACATTGGAACGTTTTGAAACTACGCTGTATTAGCAACATTGAGAAATTATGTCTACATAAAAATTTTATAATTATACAACTAACATATCTTTGGACATTTTCACCATTCTTTTTTTACTTATCTACATTTAAAATATCAAATTAAATATGTTTAATACTTTAATCCTTATTCCTTATTAACATAAAAAATTCTATTAACCAACTAATCCAAGTCAAAATTTAAATTGTTTGAACTAAAAAGCATTTTTACCAAATTTGTATAAAAGTCATTATTATGTTATGTACATAATATGGCAAATCTCATCGAGGTAACTCAATTAAAGAGACAAACAAAAATCGATTAAAAACACCTCAATAAATTAACCTAAAACATCAGTCCCACTGTTTAATTGAAAAAACACTTTGATCTTGAGAGCTGAATGAGTTTTAAAAAGAATGGCTTTTTACTTAATCATACATAGAGTCTTAAAATTTATTTTCATTGAGCAACTAAAATTAAAATCACTTTTTTTAAACAGGTTCACTGAGATTGGCACTAGTCAATGGCTGTTGAGCCTGGAAATTAAAACAATAATTAGAATGTTTAATAATATTATCCTTAAAGCACAAAACACTACGCATGCATATGATAATGTCAAATAAAAACTAATAACGGTTTCAAAAAGTTGCTCTTTTAAAGGGACTAAATTCCAAAAGAGCACTTTTAGAATGAAATGAAAAATAACAGTAGTTACAAAAAGCATTAATTACTCACCAATATATTTTGATTCATGACGCGTGTAACAAAATTAAATAAAATACAGACTGAATGAAAATGGTAACAAACTATAATTTACACCCTAATTAGAAATGTGAATACAAATTGTTAATTCTTAAATTAGTTTAGTACCTTTAATTTTCGTTCGAAAACAATTGACAGAAATTTCGGATTTATAACAAACACAAACACCGAAATGTATATTTGTATTCACTAGACACACTTAATTTATTTAATGGACATAGTTTGTATATACACAGTACGATAATGTTAAGCACACATACATGACATAATTTACTAATATCCAACTATCAAAAACGTGTTTTATTAATATTATTGTATAAACTAAAACATCATTTTATTAAATTAGGTGAACGGTAAAAAAAAATTGGCATCAAGAAAGCCTGATAAAATTATTTAGGCTTCGGTTTTTAATCAGTTCTTTACCAATGTAGTAACGGTTCTCAAAAAATGAAAAAAGGTTATCAATCAAAATGGTTTGATAAAGTTTATTATGTTTAGTTTTTTGAGTACTCAATATTTTATTATTTTGAGCATAAAAACGTACAGTAATCTAAGCGGCTTGACTCTCTTACTTTATTCATAAATAGCGTGACTGACTGTACTGCTCTTTCTATACTGTGTATAGAGCATAAATATTAATAAAACATTGTTAGTTGGTAAATTTCTTATAGAAATAAGTATCCTTATAATAATAGCTGTAGGTAAGCTATAGTAGTTGTTGGCACAGCATTTTATTCAATAAATTGATTACAAAAATATTAAAGGGCAATCCAATAGAAAGCTAATACTGACGACGGACAATATTATATTTGTTATTATATAAAAATGTTATGCTAATAATACTTAGTAGGTAATGTAAATAGCTGTCTTCTATTTTTTATGAAAAATAGTGACTTCTACTACTTCAGTTGACTGCTACTTTAGAAAGAGCGCAGCGAATGAAATTTTCCTGTCTGAAATATCAAAATATCCTAAACACCTTTTAAAAAAATTGATGTTTTGTGTAAATGATAGTTTAGGGATAAATTATAGGTTTCTACAAAATGTGTGACGTGTACAGAAAATCCTAATAAATTTTTCTTCTAGCTAAAAATGACGTAAACCTGACAACTGCCTGAAATTACAAAACTGTGCTTGAACGGGTAAAATTTGGAATAATCTAATAAAAGCGTGTTTAATAATTCAGATTCAATCCAAAAAGAATGAAAACAAAATGTATGTATGTATGTATGTATGAGTCTTTGAATTTCAATTAATTGGACTGATTATCTGGTGCTATAATTCAATGCTAGTGTGCTAGTCTTACCTCCTCTCCCACTGTACTTAAATACGGCCTTGGCGTCTGAAATTGGTTTTTCTCCAGCGAAAACTGATCTTCCGTCGTCTTTCTATAAACCGGATTGTCGAAGTTCATCGAGGTTATGTTACGGTGGTTATAGTGTCGATACAACAAGTACAATCCCTGAAAATAAGATGGTCAGTGTCTGCGCAGCACAACCTAATTATCGTGCGCATCAGTCATTAAGATTTGATACTTACTCCTCCAATAATGCACGCCAAAAGCAAGAAAATTAGAATGGATATGCCAGCTATCATTCCGTGGTCAGACGCGTCCGATATAATACTTGTAGTGTGACTTTTATTTGTAGTGCCTAAAATGACAATTAATAGATTTTTCTTATAATGTATGAGAATGTAAAGGAAACAAAGAATAAAACTATATACAGAAGTAGTTAGTCACTGGAAGGTATCGCTATATACAAGTAAAACAAAAAGCTTTAAAAGCACAATAATTGTAGATATTAGTCATGGAGAACCACCACCGAAGGTTTGAAAAACGCAAAAACCTTTATGTACTCACTCTCTGTAATATACTCTGTTTGCGCAGTGGTATAATCAGTATATGTTACTGATATTGGTGTTGTAGTGGTAATATTTTCTATTGTAAAAAATAAAATTAGAAATTAAATAAACAGTAAAAAAACACGGCAAAACAATAATACTTTTTATGAAAGTGAAACTTACCATCTTGTACGCAAGTGAGACCATTTGGTAGCATTCTTAAAGTCTCAGGGCACGCACATGAAATCTTAGGCGACTGAGGGTTGATTTGGGGCGCGGGTAGACACAAATGGGAACAATGTCCATTTACTGCTTGACAATGATTTTCGCCATCCGGTTGACGGTAGGGGTGATAAACGTGAATCACCATTGGATTTTGAATCTAGACCAATAGGTACGACTTATAAATATATTTACATAATATTCCAAATGAGACACCCAAAAACCGATGTATTTTAACTTTCAGTCAGTCAAAATACTACTAAGTTTTTGATGGTCTTTTTTGTAAAATTTTGAGCGAAAATTAATACCATTTCAGTAGCTGTGACAGCAGAGACGTCTTTTCCGGTAAACTTGTTCGCTTTGAAAACTGCCGCTTTGTCCCAGTCGGTCCAGTAGACCCAATCCTCGAAGGTTGTGATGGAAAACGGATGTCTCAGGGAATCGGGTGAGAATAAAATGACGCGCCTGTTCCTGCCGTCGTAATCGCAAGCGGAGATGACGTTGAGCTTGGCGTCCACCCAGTAGACCTTCTTTTTGACGATGTCCAAGGTCAAGCCGTTCGGCCATTTGACGTCGTAGCTGACTATGGTTTGTCTGTGAGAGCCGTCCATGCCGGACCTCTCGATTTTGGGTTCGCTTCCCCAGTCGGTCCAAAACATCCAACCCTCGGTCGGATTCAAAGCGATGGCTCTGGGTTCTTCGAGCTCGTCTTTGATGAGGACTTTGCGCATTTTCCCGTCAAAATTGGCCAATTCGATGGTGTTTTTCCCGGTGTCCGTCCAGTATATGTGGTTGTAAATCCAATCCACGGCCAAACCGTCGGAGGTGGTTATATCATCTGTAATAACGACCTTCCTATCGTTACCCTCATCGATGGGCGCTTTGTAGATCTTCTTGTCCGTAACATCGCTCCAGAAAATCATTCCGGTACGAAAAACGAAATCCAACGCGGTGGCGGAATTGGTCTCGTTCACGATACTAGTCATCTCGTGATGGTCCAGCGAAATCTTCCTGATATCTCTCCTGCGCGCAAACAATAGCGAAGCATGCCCTTCGATCGCCTTGCATTTCGTCAAGTCTCTCGGATCGCGCTGGTAACCGCGCTCGCATTCGCATTTAAACCCGCCTTTATCGTTGACGCACTGCTGCGAGCAGCTGCCGGGGATCTCGCACTCGTTGATATCCTTGCAGGTTTTGTTGTCGACGAGCTTGTAGCCGTGATTGCAGTCGCAGTAGAACGAGGCCGGCGTGTCGACGCACCTCTGCGAACAGCCCCCGTTGTTCTCGTTGCACTCGTTCACGCCGCACTTGTCCTTGGGCTCGTCCTCCCAACGCGGGCAATGCTGTCTGCCGTCGCAGACCTGCGAAAACGGAATGCATATGCCGCCGCCGCAATCGAACTGCGTCTTGCGATCGCACTTCGGTATCGGGGTGCCGCAATTCAGCTCGTCGGAACCATCGAAGCACTCGGCCTTATCGTTGCAGTGCAAATAGCCCGGGATGCACGTGCGATCTTTGCACTGAAACTGATCGGCTCTGCAGGACTTGTTGACGCAATTCTCGGGGGCCTCGTCGGAACCATCCGGGCAATCCTTCGTTCCGTCGCAAAGCCACTCTTTGTGGATGCACGTTAAACGGTCGGCGCATTCGTACTCCTGAGGAAGGCAAAGATTTACGGTGACGGGCGTTTTAGGACAACCCTGCTCGTCTCTTCCATCAATGCAGTCGTACTCCGAATCGCATCGCCACTTATTAGAAATGCAGAATTTCTCGTTACACTGGAACTCGTTCTCTGTACACGTTACGGACGGGCAGTTAGCCTCATCCGATCCGTCTCCGCAGTCGTTATCCAAATCGCAAGCCCAGCGCTTCTGTATGCATTTACCATTCTTGCAGGTGAATTCGTCAGATCTACAAGTTTCATCTACAAACAAAACATGTTAGCTACGTCACGTGCTTTTTTGTTTGCTACTTACTGCAAGCTTTTTCATCGCTACCGTCCGAGCAATCGGCGTTATCATCACACATCCACGTCAATGGTACGCATTCGCCCGGCGCAGATCTACATGTAAACTCGTCCACTCCGCAAACCTTCTTTTCTGCAAGAAAAAGAAAACATTGACATAATCGCGAAAACTTTTCCAATTTTTCCAAGTGGTACAGGGTTATCTGTCCTATGGAGCTACATCAAATCTGGCAATAATCTTTCGATAAACATTTATTTATTTATTCGCTATATTTTGTATAGATCACCTTGTTTCCTTTTTTGAGGAGAAATTTGTGGATTTGCCGTATATTTTCACATACTTCCCCACATACCGTATTTTCATTTGAAATATATACACTCGAGTGAACCCGAACGCCCCTCCCCGAATGCATTGTAAGCGGGTTGCCGTAGACGACGATTCAGTCATGTTTTGCATTTGCTAGTGCCTATTTCGAGAGTTTTAACATACATTAATTTCTTTTATTTAAAATTATAATGCTCTACACATTGCAAGAGAAAATTGACGCGATAAGCTGGTTTTTAGCGGGAAATTTTCTACGTCAAACAAGATACCTATTCTCGGTTAATATTTCGTCAATGAATTAATTTATTTATTTATTTTAGTTTTTTTATGTTTAAACGTTTTAAATAAAGATTTTACACCTTTAATTATAATAATTTACTGTTAAAAGTGATTAAGTTAAACTTTAAGTATCTGAATCATTTTAAAAAATAAATTAACTTAATAATGCGTAATTCGTATAAATAATCCAAAACAAACTTCAACTATCACCCAACGCCGGTGAAGGGTCTACTGCTGAATTACGAAAACCGTCTCTCGGGCCGAAATTCTCGGCATCTCCCACAATTAAAAAATGTTCTCCAACTCCAACCGAATGCGGCCTGTCTACATGTAAAATAAAAGTACAATATACACATAGAAATAATACTAATCTACTACATATAGTATATATATAGTATAGTTTCCTTTTCGTGGGGTTGAAGTAGGAGAAGTGAAAATCACATTGACGGTTTAAAAAAATACCATATTTTTTTCCCTATTTAAGGAGTATAATTAATACTTTTTAATAAATTGTATATAAATTGTATGAAAAAAAGCATTTAACAATAATAAATACACAAAATGATGATATTTCAGATTTTATAATGGCATGTTTATAACAGCAAGAATTTGGCAACGTCGTATTTCTACCACGATAGCCAAAAGGTTTTTATCATAGACATATTAATATGTAGATTGTTTTTATAATTAACCGTTTTGTTTGTTTTCTGTTGTATACCAATTGTTTTGGCATTGTTTTTTCCACTGTGTTTACGAGATTTTTAGTGGCCTTTACATAATATGCATATTATGCTACTTTTGGCTTTTTATACAGTCAAACCACAGAAATGTATGTAAGTTTAACCTAGGCGATATAAGCAAATGATTTAGAAAATTTTGATATAACCTAAATTTTATTTAGTTGACAAATCGCATCTTACGAGGACGTATTAATATGTCTATGGTATTATATATTTAAACTGACTATGCGCATAAGGTAAAATGATACGGCAAATCGACAAATTTTCCAGAATAAGCGGTATATGTGTAGAAGTATGTGACAGCGAATTTTTAACTGGTCATCTAGTACCTAGCGTCCAAAGTAAAAATTACAGTTACCTGTAGGTAGGAATAAATACGTAGGACAAATTCGAACAGTGGGATAAATTTAAAAAAATTGTAGGACAAATTCGCACAGTGGAGTGAATTTTAAAATGGTGGGGCAAACTCGCACAGATGTTTAAAATAAAAAAAATTGTCGTTAAAATTAGCGCAGTAGTATAAACATAAAATATTGTGCCAGATCACGTCAAGTGGACCCCCCATTTTCCACTTGGTAATAGAATTTAAATTTTAATACATCAATCGTTAGTAGTCATTACTAACAAATATTTCCTTTTTTGTAACAAAGATTTTTCTCACTTTCAATTAAAAAATTAATTGAGAAAAAACTGTTAACAATTAATTAATTAATGTTTAAAGTAATGCCAGTACATGTAACCATGAAAAAAAAAATTGATTATTTGATAGACTTTATCAAAAATTTTAATTGTATATTTCAATGATCAAAAAAAGTATAAAAAAATTAAAAAAAAAAAAATTTTTTTATACATATATTAGCCTTTAAGTCCTGAAAATTTCACTACGAAACTTTTAACAGTTTTTTCACAATGCAAGGGAGAAAAATCTTACAAAAAAATCTGTTAAAATTAAAATTAAAAAAATATATATTTTAAGGAAATATTGTTACTAATAACGATTGATGTATTAAAATTTAAATTCTATTACCAAGTGGAAAATGGGGAGTCCACTTGACGAGATCTGGCTCATTAATGACATGAAATTTTTAAAATTTTAAAAATGGACAAATTAAAAAAAAAATCTCCAAAATTCTTAGTACAAATTCGCACAGTGGGATAAATTTAAAAATGGTACGGCAAATTCGTACAGTGATTCAAAATCAAAAAATTGTGGCAGAAATATGCACAGTAGTATAAATAAAAAATATTGTGGGACAAATTTTTAAAATTAAGCAGAATTGATAAAAAATATTGCAAGAAATTATCGAGAAAAATCGCAATATTGTACTTACGACAAATTGTCTCCTCCTCATCGCTCCCGTCGCTGCAGTCTTTATCATTATCACATTGCCAGTGGCCCGGTATACACCGCCCCGTTGCGCATTTAAACTCATTTTTGGCGCAGGTGACATTTTCTAAAAACAAAAAATAAACAATTGACGAAGAATCCGACACAATCACACGGCCAATTTATATGTTTGATTAACCTTGGTCTTGCTTTAATGGATGCCGATTGAATTGACCTGGCGATTTATTAAATCGCTTCCATTTGCTGGCGAAAAACGATTTTCACAGAATTTCAATTAACGCAAACCGAGATTCGACTGCGTGTTACCTTAGCTCAGCTAAACGTATTTTTGCCACGAGATATAAATAATACATTATTGCGTTGAAATAAGAACACTAAAAAACACTTAGCGCTAACAATTACCATTTTTTTAAGTTTGTTTTGGACGAATTTTTGACGTATCGTTTGAAGGTTAACAACAACAAGCTGTTTTTGTTTTAAATGCGATAAATTTTCGCTGCACCAGCAATTCGACTTGTTTTTCTAAATTTCATAATTACGAGATCGATAATTTAAAACTTTATTATTGATTAGGAATTCATTTTGATCCAGGTCAAACGACAAATAAAACTATTTATATTGTCATTGTTAATTTATTTATCATTTATTATTGAAGACATAAACGTTCAAAAAAACTAACACCGAAGTCTTTTTTGGTATATTATTGGGAGGTTTTCAACGAAATGATGGGGGAAGGAGAGCGCGGCTCACACAAAGGTGTTTTCGGCTTTTCTGAGGGGTTTAAATTTACATAAATTTACAAACTTTTCGCCTCGGTGTGTTCTATGCAAATTGAAATTCGAAAAAAATTGCCGTCAAGGGGAGACTTCAGTAATTACGCTGGACAAGCGTCCCAAATTACCAAACTGCACAAACATTAGTTTTGCAAGAAATATTATCCCATTTAGCCCCCCCTAGATGGTTATATTAAACCCATGGGTATTTTTTTTTATATTATAACACTCATAAACGTATACTTATAGAAAGACTTCATACAAAATGAAAAATCATTGAAATAACATAGAAGTTTTAACACACTTTTTACACTTTAATTTCCCAAGTAGCACAACTGGTTAAATAACAATTCCAAGCATTCCAAGTAAATTAACCAAAATCTTAGTAAAATAACGTTTTTTTAAACTTGTTTTTTAACCAATTAGTTGTATTTATCCATTAACATTATTTTAAGGTTACTATAAACTAAAAAATATAAATATTACTTATAAGTTTAAAAGCAGGTTATTTTAGAAGTTACATATTAACTTAGTTAAGACTAGTTTTTTAGTCATATTTTGGTTTAGTTTAACTTTTAATATAACTTTTTGGTAAATTAACCACAGCTTTGGTTAATTTGGATATATTTTTTTAACCAACAAATTATATTTTACAAAATATATTTTAACTGGATGGTAAATTAACGTTACTTAATAAACTGGTTAAAAAAGTGATGGTTTTGCAGTTTTTATTGTTACCTGCATAGAAAAATTAGTCTCAATGCAGTTTATATATAAACCCTAGGGTTGTGAGTTTTATGTGATAATGGAGCCTAAAAGAAATAATTTTTTCTACTCCCACCTTTAAAACGCCCTTTATCGTACATGTTTCCATGACACTAAGTGACCTTTTAAATAGACATTGACAAGTTGTGGCTTTATGGCGCTTTAGTCACGGGCTGAAGTTAGCAACAGGTTTTTAGTCACGGGCTGAAGTTAGTTTTAAGTTAGTTGACAGTTGTCAAATGTCATACAATCGTTAAAATAAAGTGCCTTTCTTGTTAAATAATACTAAATGTGAAAATTATTTTATTATCTCAACACAAAAATACAAAAGTATTAAATAATTTCTCAACGCCAATATATGAACATTGTACTGACCTTTTAATTTCGCCGGCAGTAAACTATAACTAGTTCGGGCACGGACTCCACTGTAAAGTCCTTATAAAACATTTTCTTTACTTTCACTGTGAAAAACTGTCAATTTTCAAAAAATACATTTCGATTTATAACATTTATAATCTGTGTTTTTATAAAATATAAAAATGTGACATTTGACGTTGACACACAGATTATCCCCTATTGTTTCATAGATGGCGCTCTATACAAATTTTTGATTTAAATCATTTAAAGATAATAATAAGTATTGTCGTAGAAAAAGTATAGTATGCACCTCGTTTATAAACTTTTCTATACACTCATTAATTTAAGCACTCGTGTATAAAATGGCGTTTATCAAACTTGATACATAATATACTATTATGTTAAAAGTAATTTAAATCAATTTCAAACGAAATAAAGAAAAAATAAGCAAACAAATATTTTTTTAAATTTAAGTATTATGTACTACTTCATCAGAAAAAAATGTCCCATTGGTTTTTTCCTTGGAACTATCTCTTTAAGATATCAATTGATATATATACATAATATGTATACGATATATATATACATAATATGTATACGAGTATTAATATTCAGAAGCGACATTTTCTTTTAAGGATTTGTCATATCTATAGATATACATAAACCATAAATTATAATTATATATAAGGGGCATTCCTCGGTAATTTTTGTCCCGCCCGTCACAATTAAAAAATTGTGAGTAAAAACCACTACTTAGTTATTAAATTAATATTTATAATATTAGTTTTATTGTGCTTATAAGCTTATTACAAGCATAATAAACAATATTTTAAAATAAATTTTATAACGTGTAGTGTTTGCTCACAATTTTTAATTGTGACGGGCGGGACAAAAATCCCCGAGTATCGTGGAATGACCTGTAAGTCAAAATAAACTTAAACCGGTTAATTATAGTTTAAGTTGACTTGAGAACTAAAAAGTATACTTAGTATACTATAGTAGTAAAAGTAGTAGTAACGTTAATTTAACGTTGTAGTACAATATTAACCAGGCAACGTTAATTTAACTAGTTGTGCTACTTGGGTTGTAAATATATTAATTAGGAAAATGTTTGTACTTTTTCAGTAAATTTTTGTTTTAGTATTTTTTTTTAATGTATGTACATTCGCTAAAACTTAAAAATGAACAACTAAACATTATTATTAAAATTAAGAAATAAATAAATAATATTTAAAAATAAATATTTAGATCATAAAATTTGTCCCCTTAGAAATTTTTTGTAACTCCAGTAGTTTCTGAAATAAGTATATGGACACAACCTTTAATATAACATATGACAAACGTCAAACCTGAGAAAATATCGCAAACTTGATAATTTCAATGTAAGTAAGTACAGCAATATTAAAAGCTTAAAAAATAGTATATATAACACGGCGGAGAAAGCATATTAACTGCCTCGGCTCAGAACACTAAGCTCGGCTCAGTATTATTAAATATTAGATATAATAATTTTAAATTTGACCTTTCAATATAAACGATGCAATATATTTCCTTAATTAGAGTAAATAAACATTTAATGTCGACCCAAATTAATTATCTAAAAATATCTTTTGCTTATTTTACGCCTTAACATTTATTTATCGTCTTTATTTAAGCCTGTTTTGACCTAGACACAAAGCGACTGAAACTCATAACGATATATTGCATAAACTGTTATCCGCCCGTGTAAATTGAAATAACGCTTTTAATATTTACGAAATCCATATCAAATCAACAACAGGTATTCATTAATTTTTTAGATAATAATATCAACGGTTTTAAAATAAAAAAATACTCTAACAATTAAAAATGTTAAAGATAAAACCATTGAGTAAAGAAACTTCCTTACTCAATGATAAAACTAAGAACATAATACTACTTCCCAATAAGTTTTAGGTCTTGAGTTGCATCTTTTATTGGGTCTTTGAATATTGCAATTTGTCTAATATCGGGTATTTTTAATATCAAATATCTCAGAAGGGAACCACTTTAGAAATCCAAAATTTTCGCAAAACATTCTTTTATTGTGTTGTAACAAGTGGTTAAAATTTAATTAACTGAGACTTTATAAGTTTTTTAGTTAATGAAATTAAAATTAAGTCAATCTTATAATTAACATCTTCGATTTGTGCAAAAATTATAATAATCAAAATATTACCTTCAGTAGTAAGCATAAAGGCATCACAAGCGAAAAGATTAATGATGAAAATAAAACCGAACTTAATAAAGCGATTCATTTCTCAAATACAACACTTAACAAAACGATGCTGGTTCCATGAAGGTCTCAATTATTTTGAGACGATATCTTTAAATTAACGTTTCTTGAAGATTTGTTTACAAACTGATAAGTGCAGAACGCATGTCGATACTTATATAGACAGAAGGAGGTGAAAAAGGAACTGATGTAACTTTTACTTGGGATTGAATGTGCATTTTCTAAACACACAGTATTATTGCATGTATGCCTTTTATGGCCAAGTATTTTCTTGTAGACCTGATGGTATTTCTAGAATTGTCAAAGGTTCAGACTTGATTTAGGGTTAAAAATATGCGTCATCTCTTAAAATCCATTTTTTTGACTAGTTAAATCAAAATAAACAGTTATTTCGCCATTTAAAGATTAGATTAGAAATTTATATATACTAAATAAGTCGGCCAAAACGCACTTAAAACTAAATTTACTTCCTGTACAGTTTAGTTTTAAAAATATTGTGCGTACAATATGTAAATTTTATTAAAAACAAGCAAAGCTGTGCATATTTTTGAAATACTTACCATGGTTGTGTACTTGAAAATTTAATCAAATTCTCAAATTACCAATGTTTAGTCTATAGGTAGAAATAATATTTGTTAAATAAAAGATTTTGGACTCTAATCACGGTAAGTATTTTCAGCCATCTTCAGGTGAATACGGAATAAGTTAAGTAGCTACAGGTCTATTTATATTTAAGTACGAGGTGTGTTCAGAAAATATCGGGAATTTTCGTTTTTTGAAACAAATATTTATTTATTCGTGTACATTAATGTTGTCGCCTTCAAAATAGTCCCCATTGGATATTATGCACATGTGCCGGCTCTTCTTCCAATACTCGAAACACTTCTAAAACTCGATCTTTGGGATAGCCTTTAGTTCTTTCAGCGATGCGCTTTTAATGTCATCTATGCTTGCAAAACGACGGCCCTTTAAGGTTCTCTTTATTTTTGGGAACAGGAAAAAGTCAGACAGAGGCATGTCTGGCGAATATGGAGGCTGGGGCATCATTACAGTATTGCTTTTGGGCAAAAATTTTGTTCAAAATTTAACAATTTTAGAACAAATTTTGCTGCCACGCATTTCATACCCAAAACATTCGAAAAAATTTCATGGGGTGAGCCAATCGATATACCAACATCATCAGCGACTTCTCTGATGGTTTATAACCATTTCTTCCACTTTTTCGATGTTTTTATCGGTTGTTAATGTGCTTGTGCATTCGGGGCGTTCGTCATCTTCAACGTCTTCACGGCCATCTTGGAAACTCTTAAACCACTTGTAAACTCTTGTTTTACTTATAGCAGACTCACTATAGGCCTTTGTTAACATTTCATTTATTAAGCAAAATTGGATACAAATTCTTTGATCCATTTCTTTTAACGAACGAAAAATCGCCGAGCTCATAAAACACGTCTAACCTTAGCGGCTGCCACAGACAAAGTAAACAATGAAAACAGCTAAAGTTGTTATCATACTTTGGGGGCATATATACCAACATAATAAAGAAAATTTTATGATAACCGGACCCTCCGAACCCGCAAAATTTAACAATTCCCGTTATTTTCTGAACACACCTCGTATTACGACATTTCGACTGATAAGAGTATCTGCAGTTGTCTTTAGGTGAATACTAAATATTTATATTTTAGTCTAACCTTTCATTTTATAAAATAGCTCATATAATTGTGGAAATTAAATATTTTATCAAAGGAATATTTCCAATAGAATCGAAATTATATTAAATAAGTCAAGTTATTTTTCCTGGATCTAGTAAAAAATTCATAGCAGTTTCGATACCTATGTAATATATAAAATATTTACGTGAAACTTTGAGGGTGACCAAAAGTAAAAAGTTTCGGGCACTTACAACTTTCTTCATATACGGAATAGTTTTTCGAAGTTACCCCTATTCGGTGGTTAATACGGAGAGCTTGGGGGAACAATGAAATAATTTGAAGAGATTTGCATATTGATGAATAAGGAACAAATTTGGTCCTTAATGTTATTCATATTTATTGGGCTGGCAGATGTTTTAAAAGTAAAATCATTGTTGTAGAAAATAATTGCGTAGTTTATTAAACAAACTCTATTTGTTTAATGTTAGAACATTTTGTAAACACTATATTTCACAATTTTCGATATAATATACACTCACAGGCAAAATAATCGATCCACACAAATTTTCGATGAATTTCAATCGCAAATAACTTTTTTATTTGATGTCGGATTTAAACGAATATTAAAGAATATTGTAGATAAATTAATGGACAATCGCATCATATTTTAAAAAATTACTAAAAAATAGACGTACGTTTATAATATACAGGTTTAAACAAAAATATGTTTTTTACCATAAGTTTAAGACACTCTGTAGAGTGGCAAAACCGTATATTGTTCTAAATTAAGTTTTAATTATCAAGTCCCATCTATTTTTAACAGTTTTGTTTTTGGTTCACCTTGATATATTTATTTTTGTGGAAAATATGGATTTTTTTAAAAAACGTTGCAATTTCCAATATTTTTCCTGTATGAAGAACTAAGGTTGCTATGGTCCATCGATAACCTACGGAGGACAGGTGACAGGTTTGTTGAATCATCCCATACTTGGACATGTCATATACAGCTTTCAAAAGCTATCAAATTGTTTTTTGTAGATTAATGTGTTAATTTTAAGGTGTCTTCTTACTTTTAAAAATGACTGATGTTGCCCTTTGTACTTTACTTCTTGTGACGTTTAAAACACTTGCCACGTAATACTGTGACCGTCCATCCTGAATTAAATTAATGGCTCTGGCAACATCAGTCGGGGACAAATCCATTTTTTAAAGTGAGAAGTCACCTCAAAATTTAAACATAATTTGGAAAAAACAATTTGATAGCTTTTGAAAGCCGTGTATGACATGTCCAAGTATGGGATGATTCAACAAAACTGTCACTGCCATTCTCCATAGCATATGGATGGACCATAGCAACCTTAGTTCTTCATACAGAAAAATATTGGAAATTGCAATGTTTTTTTTAAAAAATCCGTATTTTCCACAAAAATAAATATATCGAGGTGAACCAAAAACAAAACTGTTAAGAATATATGTGACTTGATAAATAAAACTTAATTTAGAACAATATACGGTTTTGCCACTCTACAGAGTGTCTTAAACTTATGGTAAAAAACATCTTTTTGTTTAAACCTGTATATTATAAACGTACGTCTATTTTTTAGTAATTGTTTAAAATGTGAGCGATTATCCATTAATTTATCTACAATATTCTTTAATATTCGTTTAAATCCGACATCAAATAAAAAAGTTATTTGCGATTGAAATTCATCGAAAATTTGTGTGGATCGATTATTTTGCCTGTGAGTGTACTTAATAAGGCTTTGCCTAAAATCTTTTAGATGAAAAACTCTCTTTTATGTACAATTTTGCTATAAAAAAGCATTATTTTCTCTTGAAAGGATCAAATTAATTAATTTTGGCTTTCATGAAAGGTTTAAAATCACTTACTTGGGCATTTTTCTAAGTTTTCATCCGATCCGTCCTCACAATCGTTTTCACCATCACAGATAAATAATAGGGGGATGCATTGCATATTATTTTCACATTTAAACTGTGTGGGCGGACAGGTTGCATCTGAAAAATAAAATAAAATTTGTCCATTCCGTGAAAAGGTCTTGAATATGAGCAACAATGACGAAAAATATCGACTCACTCTAAAGTTTTTTTTTACTTTTATTTTTTTTCCTATGATAGACCATTCCGGAAAACCAAATTACAAAAAGGACAACGTATTAAAAACAAATTAAATACCACATATTAGCGTAAAAATTACGTTAAAATCACTTTATATCTGTTCTCTCTTTTTAAACCTTTATCATTTATTTATCTTTGTCTCTTCAATTTATATTTTAAAATGGTATACATAATGAAAGTAGGTAATAAAGTTTACCATAAATTAATTTAATTGATATAACAAATGAAAAAACTAATTATATTTAGCATTAAAACTCAATAGCTATGATATATAATAATATAAATTATGACATAAATAAAAAAATCTAAAAAACTTACTTAATTATATAAAAAAATCATTTAATTTGACCAACTTCGTAATACATATTACTTTTTTTAAATATTTATATTTATATATAATTTTTAATTAAATATTAAATTTCTTTAATAATTTAATATGGCGATTTTCAGAAATATTACCCTATTTTTAGTTTTATTTTTCACTTAAAGTTATTTTTTTCTTTTAAAAGTCATTATTAATAGTTTTTTATACCACTTTAAAAACCTTAAAAAGTTTCCAGGAAAAGAGGAATTATTTAAGGTTATAAAGTGGTTTTAATTTAGTCACAATATGACTTAAAAGTTAAATTTAGTTTAGAGTAAAAATATTTACGTCAAATTTACCGTTAAAATAAAGTAATATTGTTAATAAAAAATACGTAAAAAAGTAATTAATGATAATATGCCAAAAACCAATTAAATATTATTTTATTCCATTAAAATTATAAATTTTTATAAGAGTGTAATTATTATAATAAGCTATAGCTCATAAAGCAACAATTTAAATTAGTTTTACTTGCCTTATTTTATTTGTAAAAAAATATTTAAATTATTCCTTACAGAACTTACTAAACAAATCAATTAACGTTTTAGGCAGTTTACCTTGAAAAAAATACTACTAACTACCAAAAAAGTCCAAAAAAACGTAGTTAAAATCGTAAAATTTAAAAACATATCGTTTATTACGTTAACATATAAAATTTTATTTGCTTATTTATATAGTCGTTTCTTACATATGTTTATAACGCACATAGGAAACTTTAGAAATATTGCAGAGTAAGCAAAATAATTGACGAAACAAATAGTAAACAATTTTATTAACTTGTTATCTAAATGCAGTCACATACCTATTATTATTATCAAATTTGTCATTATTCGAAAAATCATTAGAATTCCAAACTCCCCGTTATATCACGCCACTTTCGTGGTAAAACAAAAGATAACAAAATAATGTATTTCTTGAAATCTGCGACTTAACTCTATAGAAAGCCATAGGCCAATAAGAGCGCGGCATTCTCCACGGCTCTGATTGGTTTATGGCTTTCTATAGAGATCATGTTCAAGAATCACGAAACGATTATCTACCGGATGCAAAAAAATTTTATCATCTAAATTTTTCATCCAACGATTAGGATGCAAACAAATTGTATCATCTAAATTTTTCGTCCAACGTGTTATCTGTACCTATTCGAAGTAAAAGCACATTAATTAGACTTTGTTTGATAACTTTACATCAGGCGGGAATTATAATTCTAATTTACGAACCCGGCCGTTATTTATGTTATACATACATATATCGAAATTTAACCTTTTGAAATATTTTTGCATGTTGATTTAATATTAATTTATACGTGCCTATACGTTATAGGTACGTTTAGTTTCAGCTAAAATGTCAGGGTTAACTCGCAAATTAAGCTCGTTTAAACCCTTATACCAATTCATTTTTATACAATGGGTACCTAATAAGTAAAATTGCTGGAAAAATATCGAAATTAAATTGTATGCAACCGGATTGAATAATAAGTTAATTTTTCCTAATTTTAGGTTTGTTTGTGTGCGTAGGTAAAATTGTTTATGTAGGCATTTGAAAAAAAACATTATTTTCCTAATAATCGACCCAAAATACGTATGCAATGGCGAAAACAAGGTATAATTAAGTTGTTTAAACTATTTTTTAATGTGTGGTACGAGAAAATATTATTAGTAATTAAGATATTAGACCGTGAAATGAATGGGATAATTTTAAGGGCCTATCCAATTGGAGTCAATTAAATGATATAGAAATAGAATAAATTTAAAAGGTAAAAGTTGCTACTTTCATTGAATAATATTAAGTTGCTGTCAAATTTATAGGAAAAGTGGTAAATAAAAATACATCAGGTGATTTGACGTAACATTATTGATGAAGTAAACAAGTTTTTGAGGTAAATCCGGGCGAAATCATGTATGAAACTTATTGGGGAATATGTTTATAGTGCAGAATTCAATATTTGCACCCCTATTCGATTGTAAAAACAGCGAAAATTCAGGAACTTACCCTGATCGCCTGTAAAATCTTTAGTGCCACTGGAACAACTCACTAAATAACACAAAATTATGCTGCTTAAAACTAAAACGTCCCATATTCGAAGTACCATGGTTTTTAAACGATGGGGTTAAAAGATACACGTGTGTTTAAGACATAACCAATTTTTGCGTACACGGTTTACTTATTTCACTCCTCGCACTATCTATTAAAATCATCTACCTAGCGTAGGAAGACCGAAAGTTTGCGCATGTCCAACATGAGCCCAGCCTTCTAGCAAAGAGTAACCGTGCACACTACGACTATACCAGCCTTTCAAAAATTAAAATAATCAACTTTATTTTCATGCACAATTTGTTGTTTTGTTCAGCCCCCCTAATTATCGACCCTCATACGTAAAAACAAAACAACTGCATTTTATTCACAACATAACACATTGCCAATTTTATTTATTATTTAGTTATTTAACGCGTCGTCAGGTAAGGTCAAACGAAAAAAGTAATTTATGCGAACAAAGACCTTCAAAAATATATTTTTACGATGTTTTTATTTTTATTATAATTTTTATAAACGCAAATATTTTATTAAAATTCAATAAGTATATTATAGCCATTCCCTACATTTAAAAAATCACCGTTTCTGCTTCTTGCCAATAGATGGCAAATTGCAGAAAATTATTAAAAACACCCCTTTAATATCAAAATTTTAAATTTGTCCTTGTTTTGGGTATGTTCGAGTCCTAAGACTGTTTAAAGTTAATTTAAAAAAATTTTAGCTCTTTTTTCAATAAGAAAATACATTATTTTTTACAATAAAACTTTAAATTTTTATAACTGGTAATAACTAAAATTTGATACAAATGTAGAAAAGCTACGCCCAGAAAGCAAAAACTACTTTTTGGTTAAAATAACATGGATTTCATGTCCCAAACATGTCATATATATGACATATGTCCGCCCTAAATATATTAACTTAACTATATTAACTATATTAACTTATATTAATTAACTTTCATATCAAAATAACGTTATTTTGGGATGTCATATTTGTGATGTACATAACGTTATAACATCACAAATATGACATCCCAAAATAACGTTATTTTGATATGAAAGTAACGTTTTTTTTAGGATGTCACATAATAACGTTATAACGTACGTTATTTCAATATCCAAATCACGTTATTTTAGGATGTCATATTTGTGGTGTTATTTAGGGCGGACATATGACTTGTTTGTGACGTGAAAAACATGTTATTTTAACTAAAAAGTAGTTTTTGCTCGTATATAGCCCTAATTATCAAATAAGGGAGGATCTCATTTTACAAGCATTTTAAGATTTAAATTCTTTTTTTGGAAACAAATTTGTTTCCAAAAAAAGAATTTAAATCTTTTATGCATAAATAAATTATTACTAAATTGTATCAAACCTATCACATTAATGTGATAGGTTTGATACAAAAATTTCTTTCCGCGTCCCCTAATTTCATCCCCCGAAAGGGGAGTTTATTTGCTTTTTGGCTCATAACTCGCTAACCGTGCTTTTTTCAGAATTTCACCTTCAATACTTTTGATTATGTACTAAATAAGGCACACGTTAAACCCCATTGCGCATGCGCCTATACGATGTATCCTTTTGCTATGCGGTTCTTTTTTCAAAGCTTTAATTTTTGTGGCGCACTTGCAATGAAAATAATTTAAAAAAACTACGGATTCGTTACGAGGATAAGTGTACCTAAAAATCTAGGGTAGAACGAACTGGCTCATTAAAGCCGTTTGAGAAATAAAAAATGGTTTTTTTGAAAAAAGAACCCCCTGTACATTGAAAAGCAGTTACTTTTGAAAAAAGTCTAGTACCTCAAAAAATCGTCCATTCGGTTATGTTTCATTACCCTATGGTTTGGGATCGATTACTTTTAAAATTGGGCTACAATAAAAAAAAACAAAAAAATGATTTTGAAAGCAACGCTCAACTTTGCACACTGCGCATAGCAAAAGCGCACATCATATAGGTGCGCAATGGGGTTTAACGTGTGCCTTATTTAGTACATAATCCTACGGAAGCGTCAAAGGCTCAAAGCACTTTTTTTCTAAGTCAAACGTTTGAGATAAAAAGTCAAACGTTTGAGTTAAAAAGTCAAACGTTTGAGATAAAAAGTCAAACGTTTGAGTTAAAAAGTCAAACGTTTGAGATTAAAAGTCAAACGTTTGAGATTAAAAGTCAAACGTTTGAGATAAAAATTCAAACTTTATAGCGGTCAATTTCAAGCAGTTTAGCAGTTCCTTGTTCATTACCTACGCAGGCGTTTCGCTTGTATTGTTTGGTACGCAAGCGCAAATTTTAAGGTTCCACGTGAATCGTGAAACAGTGAATCATAGAAAAAGGATTATTACATTAGTGCAAGTTGGTTAAATTTAAGTGTTTTGATAAGTGTTTTAAAGTGTTTTGGTAGTAATGTAAAGCCTATCTTGTTAGAGGATGGAGATGAATAATGACCTTAGTGACAATGAAGAAATGAGGGAATTTTTAAGAAAAAGGGGTATTAGAGAAATGCACTTAGTGCATGGAGAATGAAAAGGTATTCATTTAGATTACATTAATTAAATAATTAATTCATTTAATATTTACATGCACTTTCGGGTTTAAATGCGGTACTTTACTCTCCATTTGAGGGGGATTACATTTTTATGTATATTTGGTTGCATAACATCTAGTGGCACTCTTTAATTTTTTTAATTTACAAGATCAAATAAAATCAAATAAACAAGCAGAAGTAGTGTTTCTTCTAAATTTGCTTACATTATGAAAATATATAATTTATTGCTAAATATATTATATATAATATTATATATAATAGACCTATCACATGGATCGGATTTTCGGGTTGCGCGTGAGCGAATAAGAAAGAAAGAAATTGGATTTCGCTTTATCGCGCGTGCGTAACCCATTCAAAGGGGACTTTGGTATTTTATTTATTAGTTTAATTAAAAAGATCCCTATACTTGTAGATTGGCCCAGATGTGATTTTTCATCTGACTGATTCGCAGTTAGAGGAATTTATACCAAGATTAGGCGACAGAATTGCCCTTAGACAATTTCTAAAATTAAAAACAAATTGTGAGGTTCCAAACTCCACGAGAAAGAAACAGCTTATAGATAGACTTCGTCAAAAGCTAGAAACCAAAAGCTGTTTAGGGCAAAATGATATTGAAGGCATGTCAATTAAAAAAAAGAAAACAGGACCTCATTACCAAGACGAAAAACAAATAATATTGGGCTGGATATGTCGAATGAACGGCGAATCTAAATTTAAACAAGTGAGAGAAAGGGGGGGTGGAGGGGCGAGAAAAATTAAAGTTCCCAAACTGGCGAACAAGGAGTATCTTCAAAGAAAAGGAGTTGAACTGTTTTTTCCCGATGGAAAATCTCCCAAAGGAGCATTAGTGGATTTTGATATTGACTTGCTTGATTTTAAAAACAATAAAATTGACGAAGTTACCACTGTGGAAAATTTGTTAGAAAGCACGGGTTTGTCAGTCTTACGATTCTATTTAGCAACCACCCAAAAAACTGATATAGATGAAGAATCGGATGAAGAACGAGTATCTTTGGAAAAAAGTTCATTATTGGTAAGAAACTCTACCTTAAGATCTTAACTCGAGAAGTATTTTTTTATTTTATAGGTAAATGATCATCTGGTGTTAAACAAAAATCCAAACCTTCAACAAGACGATAAGAATGAAGAACGATATGGTCCATTTGAAACCTTGGATGATGATGTAAGAAATATTTTCAGTGGTAGTTTACGCGAACTAAAACCAATTTCGTTCTTCTTATTTTAGGTGGTCACTACTGAATATTCAAATTACCATGTGGTTTTGGGTAAGTAATTATTTCTGAATTATATATATAATAATAATAATATTCTGAATATCTGAATTATATATATAATAATAATAATAAAAGTGTACTTGGATACATATGTATCCAAGTACACTTTTATTTCAGAAAATGATTCTGACGATTATTTCTTGGATGCCCGATCTTTGCCAGGCAAAACCACTCAAGATAGTCTGAATGAGCTTATTAACAGTCTCCTTGATAAGAACGAAACTGTGTCTCAAATAACAACAAATGTTCCTGTTAATAATCTTGATGAAAATGAAAGTTTTCTTCACATGCAAAACGATTCTGTAATACCAGACAGATTAATTGAAAATGCAGAGTACCAATCAGAAGAGGAATTTAAATCAGTTAAGGATGTTTTAAAAACCTTACAGCAAAAGATCAATTTTGAAGAAATGAACAAGTTCAATATATTTCGCAATGATATTTTCCAGTGTTGTGTGAGGGCTATGAGACGTAAAACATTTGATCCTTTTAACAAGATATCTGTCAAATTTAGCGATTATGAGGGAAATTCTGAGGGGGCTGTGGACGAGGGAGGCCCGACCAGAGAAATGTTTCGTTTAGCATTAGAATACTTGACAGATAGTGAAATGTTTGTTGGGCAAAAGAGAAGGCACATAACTCTTAACCATAGATGCCTCGAAAAAAACTTTTATTTTGAAGCTGGAAGGCTAATGGCCTTGTCATTAGTGCATGGTGGTCCAGGGCCACATTTTTTTTCACCAACATTGTTTTCTTTAATGTTTTATGGGCATGCAAATACTACACCTACATTAGATGATGTGGAAGAAGAAATTCGGAGCAAATTAGCTAAATTAGAAGAATTAGTAGAACTTTCGGATTTGCAAGAATTTGTTATAACTGAAAATATCTTTTCCATTGCTGGTTTCCACTACATTACAAATTTGGATGAAAAAAGTACAATTGTAGCAGGTAAAGCATTCCAAAAAGTTAAAGTTCTTTACAAATAATAATATTTAATATTTTGTATAGGTACACTAAAATTTTTTGCTTTCAAACGTGTTGAAACAGCTATAAATCAGTTCATCGAAGGAATAAAGACTTGCAATATTTATGAATACATTAGACTTTATCCACATTTATTCCAATATTTATTCTGCGAAGAGAAATTACAGTTAACTGCGGATGATTTGGAAAATATTTTTGTAATCAAATATAGTCCAATGGGTTCCAATAAACGTTTGTTAGAAAATCGAGCAGTGTCTTACTTCAGGGACTACCTGGTCGACTGTGAGGGTAGGTTGCTAAAGCTTGGTAATAGTAATATTAAAACGATAATTCATCTATTTTTTATACAATTTTAGAAAACCTAATGGATTTAAATGATCCTGAGCGGATCGTAGATGAGGACGTCGAGACTTCTGTCAGTTTAACCGATATTTTAGTATTCGGTACTGGGGCTGATGTTGTTCCACCTTTGGGGTTTCCTCAAATACCAAAAATACTATTTTTACATAATGAAACTACAACGGCATATAAATATCCCATGGCAAATACATGTGCCCTTGAATTTAAGTTACCAACTTGTCATGAAAGTTACGAGGATTTCAAGGCCAACATGAATTTTGGAATTGCAAACTGCAAAAGCTTCGGTTTTGCGTAAAATAAAAAATAACCTTTCATAATAATAATCTTTCTTTTTGTTCATAAATAATTTTATTTTATATCTTTGTCTGTTTTTTTAAGTATTTTATAAAACGTTGTTTTGTAGAAATAATTTTTTTAGTTTCCAAATTTTATATATTTTTGTTTATGTTCGTTTAAATAAATAGACCAATGTTAATTCGTTTTTTATTTATTAATGTAAACGTAAATAATCTACAGTAGTGTCAAAATTTCATCACGTAGTTCTTTGTAAAGGTTTAGCGCATAAAATGGATCAGTCACTACCAAGCTCATCTAAAACAATTTTACACAAATCGTGTACGTCATTGTTACTACAAGGGCAGTCTAAAAAGACACATTCTTCTTCACAAATCTGCAAATGCTCTTCTTCTACTACTATAAGGTGGTCTCTAGAATTATGTATCTGTGGAAAATTGAAGATAACATCTGGACGTCCTGAGGGGCAGTTGCTGTGTCGATTTTTTCTGATCAAATGCATATTCCATTCTAGGACAACGTTATTTAATTCCTCCTAAAATTGCATTAATCTATATACCCACTTGGCATGTAATATTACGGAAATGTAATGTAATGTTGTGTTATAATTGAAATATGTCAGAAATATGTCGTGCCGTGTGGGTATAGAGATTATAATCTCTAGTTTTGGGACTAAACTTACTTGAATAATATCCATAAAACAAAATTGCAATATTGATTTATCTACAATGTTACCAGTAAATAGCCCATCATCTCTTAACCGGGAAAACAAATTCATCCAGTATTGACCACAATGTTTTCTCAAGATGGACCACCATGACTCAATCCTTTGATTATTTTGGCTGGTTCCATAAATAAAGGGCGGTACTGTGTAAGCGTCAGTAATTTGATTAACTGCTGCAGTTTCATGAAAGTAAATCTGGATATCTTCCACATAACCATTCTCTGTGCCCATGTCAGCCCTTACAGTTCGAGGGAAACCTTTCAGATATCTTACAGTTTCTATATAATATCCTGCTATTACCTTTGGATCATTGTTCGTGCTAGACGCTTTTAACCACAACACTTTTCGAGAATACCCGTCTATGCATCCACTGATGCATATTCCGTACGGCTTTAGTTTATCATATCCGTCCATGTGCCACAGAAAATTGGGCCCCTTATTAAAGTATTGCCTTCTATTTAACTTTCTCTTTCTTCTTAAAGATACACCGTGGGGATCGATAATGTTTAGTAAAAGACGAACCGTTTCTTGTGTAATGATGATTCCGGAGTGCAGGCACTTTAAATGCATCCACTTATACCCGTGCAATCTTCCAGATCCCAGAAGTTGTGATTCCAAAAAACTTATTACATCGTTAATTGAGGTAAAGTTTTTTCGACGGTAAAGGTGTAAGCGTTTCAAATGTCTTTTCAATGAAGACTTACTTAAGTAATAACCATGTTTTATAAGAAACAATAAAATTTCATCTTGTTTCAAACCCAAATGAAACAAATCTGTAATACAGTTATCCAAATTATTCATGTTCTTTAATTTAACACCTATTCACTATAACGAACAGTAATAAACAAAATACAGTGAACTAATAACGACTTATGTGCTTGCAATGGACCGCTATAAAGTATGAATTTTTATCTCAAACGTTTGACTTTTTATCTCAAACGTTTGACTTTTTAACTCAAACGTTTGACTTTTTATCTCAAACGTTTGACTTTTTAACTCAAACGTTTGACTTTTTATCTCAAACGTTTGACTTTTTATCTCAAACGTTTGACTTAAAAAAAAAGTGCTTTGAGCCTTTGACGCTTCCGTATAATCCAAAGTATTAGAGGTAAAATTCTAAAAAAATGCCCGGTTAGCGAGTTATGAGCCAAAAAGCAAAAAAAACTCCCCTTTCGGGGGATGAAATTAGGGGACGCGAAAAGAAATTTTTGGGGAATATTCTTGATTCATTATCAGCACCCCTGACTCTACATAAAAAAATAAAACCATCAAGTTATCCTTCTACAATCTTTGTTTCCTGGACTACATAATATAATATATTATCCTGATTAAATTAATGACTGCAGGCAACCCCGATTAGAGAATATTGTTTTTCAGTTGCCTACATATAAAATTAAAATTTAGTAGATATTTTATTTACATTTTTTTCAAATATTACTATTGTGTTTAAAAATCAATTGAACCTTTAAAAGTTTACAATTACAGTACAGTTCAAGGCTATAGTAGTGTTGGGGCATAATAATCTTTTGTTGCCTAATTATTTAACTGATAAGAAAAGAAGTAATATCAGTAAGCTTGTGCAATTAAAAAAGAAATATTCTCAAGATGTCACACACAAGAAGTATAAGCACTGTGTTTTATAAATTTTTAAAAACAAATCTGACTACTGTAAGTATAATTTTTATTTTTATCAACGCAGCATTGCATTTATAATTTGTAGAATAGTTCGACAATCAAACACATACATTCATCAAGATTATTAGAGAAAAATGTTGCTTTTAACTTATCAGATATTGGTGAAGGTATTAGGGAAGTAATTGTTAAAGAATGGTATGTTAAGGAGGGCGATAAAGTGGTTCAATTCGATAATATATGTGAAGTGCAAAGCGATAAGGCTTCTGTTACAATAACTAGTCGATATGATGGAACCATTACAAAATTACACCACAACATTGATGATGTGGCTCTGGTTGGCAAACCTCTAGTCAATATTGAAACTGATGAAGGTTTAAATTAATTTTCTTAATTTTTCCTGAATAAAATTAAATATGTTTTTAGCCGAAGATACTGGAGCAGTTGAAAAAAAATCTACACTAGAAACTCCTAAACTAGAAACAATAAAATCTTCTACAGAAATTAAAAAAGGTGATTAGTGAATGAAAATATTTTAAAAGTCCTTCTCAGATTTTTTAATATATACCAGGGGCGACTATAATTATCATTAAAATCGGGAGAAAGTGGTGTTATAATAAATTTTGTTACTAATGAAAATTATTTAATTGGGGTAGAAAAAGCATAGTATTACACTCGAGATAATGCGCATTTTTTACTAGGATGATTTACGTCTCTTGCCTGAAGGCACGAGACGCAAACCTCATCCGTAAATAATAGCCTGCATTATCTCTTCTATAATAATATACTATTTCAGATATTAATAATTTAGTTGAGACTGAATTTATACATACAAATTGTGATATAATATGCATTCCATCTGTAAGGCGTTTAGCAAAAGAGAACAATGTGAGTTAAAATATAAAGTAAAATTTAATTTTAAGTATAAAATTTCAGTTAAATTTGTCACTCATAAAAGGTACTGGTAAGCATGGTAGGATCTTAAAGGAAGATGTTTTGAAATATTTGGAAAATAATAATGGTGAAACATCTCATAGTGGTTCATTAGTGGATGAGAAGCAAGATTTAGAGGAAGCAATATCTGGTTTTCAAAGAATTATGGTGAAAACAATGACTGAATCTCTTGTAAGTATTTTTTTTATATAAGGGAATTAGTTTTTTCAGTATTTTAATCGCTGCTAAATAATTACGTTTGCATTTTTTGTAATATTCAAAAGTTTGAACATTAACTTCCCACATATGCGTCGAAAAATCTTGCGCGTGCGCAGTAATGAATATATTGTGCAGGCGTAAATTGGATACAGAAATGCCGCAGGCAATTTCAGAATCGCTGTTGCTAGTGCACCGCGTGCGGTGTACTATTCTGCACCGCCAAATTATATATTACGTCATAAACCCAAACCAACCCAAACTCAACAACACAACCCAACCGACCCCGCCCCAAATTTATGAAATAAAAAAAGTTCGACAACTTCTAGTAGATTTTATGTTACAATAAAACTAAAACAACCCAACCCAACCGAACACTGTTTAACAAAGAAACAACAAATTTATGAAATAAAAAAGTTCTTAGTATCGAACCCGGGACCTCTCGCATGCCAAGCGCCCGCCCTACCATCTGAGCCATCTAGCTTGTTGTCAAATATTAAACGCTCGGGGAACAAAAACGGATTATAATTATGACGTAATTGGCGGTGTAGAATAGTACACCGCGCGCGGTGTACTAGCAACAGCGTTTCATAATTCACAAGAGGTCATCATAAAAATTGGAAACTTGTTTCTGTCAAGTATCACTACCTATTTATAATTGTGAATTATAATTATGTCAATTGACATAATAATGATTGATATATTAATAATCTCAATTAATGTTATATTTTTACTACTTTGAGGTTCAAAAAAAAACGCCAAAAACGTGTATTACAGTTGAAAAAAAATCTTTTCAAAGATATATTAATTAAATCACTTAATTGATAAATAACCATATAAAATATCACCTTTTTTACAGCGTTTTTGAAGACTCGGAAAATATTCTATCGCGCTCCAGACGCGGTTTTATTTGGGAATAAGTGGAAATAATATTTTAAATACACCTGCAAGTTGCACTTTGAATTTGCTTCGGTTATTTGTTACCTAGGTTATGTCGCACTGTTTAACAACACATTTCAAAATTTTCACATGTGAATTCACTGTAAATGCGTATACGCACGCACGCGTGCTAGATGCGAAAATTCATAAAGATCGCGTGCGCCCAAAACTCAAGCCTGATTTATAGATTGCCTTCCTTTCTCCCTTCCGTTGTGCTGTTTATAGATTCCCGCACAGCATTCCTGAGTTAAGGTTTTTCTCACGCATTTTGCTTATTTGTGTATCACCTAAGCTCATGGCGTTTCAAAGAAATCGTGAGTTAATTTGATAATGTGTTGTGGGCATGCGCACAGAGGATTCATTTGACATTCTACGCATGCGCAAATGGATTTCGATTTTAGATCTCACTCTGCGCTCATTTGATCTCATGCGTTAAGAACTGTTAATATAACAAATAAATATAAATTTTAGACACATTAAAATGTATTAATTTTTTCAGAAAATTCCACATTTTGTTTATAGTGACGAGATAACAGTGACAAAACTGAGCGATTTAAGGCAATCGTTAAAAGCAATATCGGAATTAAATGAGACTAAAATATCCCTAATGCCGTTTTTCATAAAGGCAGCTTCAAATGCTTTGAAAAAATATCCGATTATTAATGCTACAACTGATCAGAATCTAGAAAAAATCTACTACAAAAAAAATCACAATATAGGAATAGCAATGGACACAAAAGCTGGTTTAGCTGTGCCAGTGATAAAAAACGTTGAAAATTTGGGAATACTGGATATAGCTAGAGAATTGAATAGGCTTGTGAAATCTGGAAAGAATGGTAGCTTTGCTCCAAGCGATATAAGAGGCGGAACATTTTCAATCTCTAATATAGGAAGTGTATGTTATATTATATTCCCCTAATGGTGACATAAACGTTTTTGTTTTTAGATTGGCGGTACCTACATGATGCCGGTGATAACCCCTCCGCAGCTAGCTATCATTGCCCTGGGAACCACCAAGGTAAAATTTAATGAATTAATTTTACTAACTGTAATGTGTTTGGTTTTATTAGGTGTTGCCAAGGTTTGATAAGGACATGAAGGTGGTGCCAGAATCCATTATAAATATAAGTGCCTCGGCCGACCACAGATTCATTGATGGCGCCACTATGGCAAACTTTATAGAGATGTTCAAAAGACAAATAGAAAACCCCAATTTACTGTTTCTAAATGTTTAAAGTATTGTTTGTCTTGTTGGATTAAATATATATTTTTTTAAAGATTGTAGTGTAGTGGTTTTTATAAATAATATAACTTTTTTTTATACAAAATATATATTAGAAAATATTGCTCCCTAACCATAATTAAAAAAATCAATAATAATAACCTGTACAACGGTTTGTAGAAGACAATATATAAAAAAATTAATTAAAACCACATAAAATAGTGATGTCAGTATAACAATAACTAATACATACATATATATTTATAAAAATATTTCAGATGTGAACTAAATCTATGTTAGGATAATAAAAATACATAAAATAAAATAATGTTAAAAACAAGTCTTGAATAATAAAAGCTAATGTGAAGTATACTATAGTAGGTATAAATAAGAAAGTAAAGTAAAGCTGTTTAAAATGTAAAAAAAAGAAAAATGGCCTGTTACATTAAGAATCACAGTATGTTACAAAACTATCATTGGATGGATTTGTTTGAAGTGAGCACCATTTTTTTAGATAAATTAACCACTGTAACAAACAAAACATTTTGTCATTAGAATTGATTGGATTATTTAAAATTTAACTGATTACTTACGTAATTTTTTTGTGTGCGAATTTGCAGGTCACATAGGGGTTCTGCAAAATCTTGGGTTGGGTTTCCATCACCCTCAATAGAAGGTCGTCCAAATAATCTTCAAGATCTTTAAGTTTCTTTTTTTGCTTGTCCAGTTCGAATTGAGTATCACTAAGCGCCAAAATGAGGTCCTAATAAAAATTTGTTATTAAAAAAATGTACATTCCATAGATAATGATCTTTATAGAACTTACTTCTCTGCTTTTTCCTTCGAATTTCTGGAGTAATTCGTTTGATAGTCGGTTGTTGTGGTTTCGCGCTAGTGGTACCACGTCGTCATTTTCCCCGCCTATAACAATACGTTCATGAGCGTTATTTCGCTGCTTCTCTAGTCTTGCGTCACTTTCAATCTTATCTAAAATGCAAAAATGGTGCGTGCACTACAAAATACCTAGGCTGTACGCGTGTTGCCTACCTTTTCTGAAGTTGATGAATTTCGAGAATATTCCTTCTTTTTCGTCTTTCTTCGCTCCTACCTCCGGGGTGGACTTGATGCTTATGTTGTCTTCTTTGGCCTCCACTTCTACTTCCGCTGGATCTTCTTCTTCAATTTGCGTGGAAGACAGTTTGGAAGAGTCCCAAGATCTTCGGTTTAGCGATTCGCTACTACCTGGTTTGAGAAGAGCTAAATGTTCATAAATTAGTATTGTAAAAAGTGGTAGTGAGAAAATTCTTACTTTTAGGTTTGCTGAAGAAGAGTTTGGAGTCCCAGTCATCTTGCGTTTTTGGTTCCTGCCTTGGAGGTTTAGCTGGAGGTGTGGTGATTTTTTTCTCAGACACATTGTCCAATGATGAGTTAACAGGCTGTATATTTTGACTAAGTGAACTTGCGGAGCTTTTGTGGGATAAATCATCAAACTGCAACAATTTATTCACTTATAATATACACTTACTTACAATTGTTACTTATTACTTACAATAAAGTCCTCGTCTTCACTGACCACGCCTGGATCGGCATCATCCCTAGTTTGTTTACTTTTAAACTTATCAAAACCACTACTGTTATTTCTCACTTTCAAACTCCCAACACTTCCAATAGAGGAAGCACCGTCGTCAAACTGCCCGTCCTTCTTTTTACCGCGCAAGTGCATCTTCGAGCCTATAGATTTGGCGAACTTCTTCAAACCCTTGCGTTTCTCCACACTGCCGAGGCTCAATAGGCTGCCGCCAACACTTTGGGCAACTGAGGAAAGTTGCCCAATCGATGATTTATGCTTCTCTTTCTTGCTTAGCTCTGTTAGACTGCCGGATTTCACGATAAAACCGATTTTTACCTCTAGTTTACCGCGTTCTTTATGTTTTGAGGTCTCTTTGCCTAAAAAAACAAATTTGTATCTGCCGTCTTCCTTTAAAACAGTTATGCAGATTATTGTCTACATATTTTTAAGTTTGCAACCAATTTATGTTACTAAGCAATTACTTAGCTTAAGCTTAATTGCGCATGCGCAGAAAGTGCGCGCACAGGTATAATTGAGGGTAAAATTATTATTACCGTTACCATTTATTGAATCATTTCTAAATAGAAAACAAAAAATCATGAAGTTTGAGTGGTTACACGGCATACTTATGTCCAAAAACAAAGAACTTGTAACAGAAAAACAAAAACGAATCGATGATGCATTTTCGAGGTATCTTCGTTGGTTCGAGAGTTAAATATGCCGTGTTTGGGCTTGATTTTCAAGATTTTTTGGTAACTATGCAATAAAAAAGTTTTATATGCAATATTAAACCTATTTGAATTACCGCAAATGATTACCATTTATTAAATCATTTTTGAATAGAAAACAAAAAATCATGAAGTTTGAGTGGTTACACGGCATACTTATGTCCAAAAACAAAGAAGTTGTAACAGAAAAACAAAACCGAATCGTTGATGCATTTTCGAGGTATCTTCGTTGTTTCGAGAGATAAATATGCCGCGTTTGGGCTTGATTTTCAAGATTTTTTGTATCTATGCAATAAAAAGGTTTTCTATGCAATATTAAACCTATTTGAATTACCGCAAATGATTACCATTTATTAAATCATTTTTAAATAGAAAACAAAAAATCATGAAGTTTGAGTGGTTACACGGCATACTTATGTCCAAAAACAAAGAAGTTGTAACAGAAAAACAAAACCGAATCGTTGATGCATTTTCGAGGTATCTTCGTTGTTTCGAGAGATAAATATGCCGTGTTTGGGCTTAATTTTCAAGATTTTTTGTATCTATTCAATAAAAAGGTTTTATATGCAATATTAAACCTATTTGAATTACCGCAAATGATTACCATTTATTAAATCATTTTTAAATAGAAAACAAAAAATCATGAAGTTTGAGTGGTTACACGGCATACTTATGTCCAAAAACAAAGAAGTTGTAAGAGAAAAACAAAACCGAATCGTTGATGCATTTTCGAGGTATCTTCGTTGTTTCGAGAGATAAATATGCCGTGTTTGGGCTTAATTTTCAAGATTTTTTGTATCTATTCAATAAAAAGGTTTTATATGCAATATTAAACCTATTTGAATTACCGCAAATGATTACCATTTATTAAATCATTTTTAAATAGAAAACAAAAAATCATGAAGTTTGAGTGGTTACACGGCATACTTATGTCCAAAAACAAAGAAGTTGTAAGAGAAAAACAAAACCGAATCGTTGATGCATTTTCGAGGTATCTTCGTTATTTCGAGAGATAAATATGCCGTGTTTGGGCTTGATTTTCAAGATTTTTTGGGATCTATTCAATAAAAAGGTTTTTATATGCAAAATTAAACCCATTTGAATTACCGCAAATGATTACCATTTATTAAATCATTTTTAAATAGAAAACAAAAAATCATGAAGTTTGAGTGGTTACACGGCATACTTATGTCCAAAAACAAAAAAGTTGTAACAGAAAAACAAAACCGAATCGTTGATGCATTTTCGAGGTATCTTCGTTGTTTCGAGAGATAAATATTCCGTGTTTGGGCTTGATTTTCAAGATTTTTTGGTAACTATGCAATAAAAAAGTTTTTATATGCAAAATTAAAACTATTTGAATTACCATTTATTAAATCATTTTTAAATACAAAACATAAAATCATGGCATACTTATGTCCAAAAACAAAGAAGATTTTTTATGCCATGAGGCTCATGGCATGAGCTCAGGTGATACAAAAATGAACCAAATGCTAAATAAATAGGTAAACTGAGAAAAATCTGAATTTAGAGTTGCTGTGCGGTATTTTTTTATTATTAATTTATTTGTAAAATCCACAATTTTAAAACAAAAGGAGTGTATATTATTTTGAGATTAAATACAAAATGTTATAGTACAGTACAACATTTTTATATAAACAAAGATAAACTTGTATTAGCCATACCACAAAGTATTGATAAAGTGGACAAAAATTTAAATATTTTAAGGTTTAGATAATTTATACCAAATAATAAGAATGTCAGTATGTTAAAGATTGATAATATTTTATATACTTATTATTTAAAATATTAACATTTTTCTAGAAACAATGACACCAATAGTTGAAGGTCAAACCTACCTATGTACAATTATTCATGCAATGAGAAGAGAATATTTTACACCCATACATTGTTGATGCAATTTAGATAAGTCAAAAGTTCACATGATGATAATTAATTACTAGTTTGAGTCAGAGCTACAAAAAAACTCACCTTTTTTGTTTTTTCCTTGTAGAGTATACCATTTGTTTTTGGGCCTTTCATAGATATCTAAACTGTTTAATGGTATTTTTGTACGACCTAAGAACTCGTCAACTTGCAAAAAACTTCTGTGGTAAGCAGTCAGCACTAATTCTGCTGTATTGCCTTGGTCAGGTATTGGCCTAAAATAAACAATTGTCATTACATGTGCAAAATATTTTTAATAAACAAACATACAGTTCACATTCTTCCTTCCATTCCACCGAAGGTCCAGCTTTGTCTTTTATGGAGGTTTGATAAATAGTTTTACCCAATCCAATGGTGACAAAGCAGTCATTTGTGTTGTTTTTTCCTTTGGTCAGAAGATCTACACCTTTGATTACTAAACAAAATAATTAAATTAAATAAACAATCAAACAAAATAATAGGGTCAAATTACCAGTAACTTGAACATGAGTAGGCATCCACATTTTTAGCGCTTCTTAATTAATTAACTTGCACGGGAAAATTCTTAATTATGACAGAGGAAATCACTGTTTAAGGCACTGGGTCTGTTATATTGTTGTTGATTCTATTGGATGATGATTAATCATTACAATTTTTGTAATGCAAAGTAGATCACAAAGTAACTGTTTTGATCCTCATCATTTTTTGTAGGTTATTCAGTTCTTAAATCAGATGACGTTTAGCCAAATAAACGTCAAGCAACTGTCACGAATAAAATAAAATCGAATAGAAAGTTTGCTTGGATATAATTTAATCATCGACAAGCAAGTCACGTATTATGTGTTTGGAATTAAAATTCTTATCTCGCTGGTTTTTCCTGATGCAGCTCTAAATAATTTCTTAACATTATTACGTTTTATATACAAAAATGACCGTATAACTTAATGACAGATGATTTACTTTTTGACAGCAACCGATGTCAAAATTACAGGAACCTACAAATACACTGAGCGACAAAACAAAACCTTTTAATTGGTGTCTCTGGTATATACACTAAACAAATTAAATTTGCATGACAACAATTAAATTAATCATTTTAACACGATAGATTATTCAGGTTGTCCTGAAAATGGCGCATTAACGCAATGCGCATGGATAGTGCTTATTTTGAGGATACAAAATGTTGTTTTAAACTACTTGCTGCATTATTTAAATTGTTCCCATGCACAATGTGTGAAAAAATCAAAATTTTTAATAATCATAACTTTATTATTATTAACAAATTTTAACTTTTAACTCTAATCAATTAATTTTTTTCCATTACTAAATAGCAAGTTGCATACTATACTTTATTTATGAACATAAAGAAGAATTTAACGCCAATTTTATTTGTCTGTTAATTGTCAGACGAATTTAACCTCACTTTATAACAAAGCTAACTTCAGCCCATGACAAGGACGCCATGGTTACAGCTTGTCAATGTGGGAGTCTATAATAATATTTACGCTGTTGCTAGTACACCGCGCGCGGTGTACTATTCTACACCGCCAATTACGTCATAATTATAATCCGTTTTTGTTCCCCGAGCGTTTAATATTTGACAACAAGCTAGATGGCTCAGATGGTAGGGCGGGCGCTTGGCATGCGAGAGGTCCCGGGTTCGATACTAAGAACTTTTTTTATTTCATAAATTTGTTGTTTCTTTGTTAAACAGTGTTCGGTTGGGTTGGTTTGTTTTAGTTTTATTGTAACATAAAATCTACTAGAAGTTGTCGAACTTTTTTTATTTCATAAATTTGTTGTTCCTTTGTTAAAGTGTTTTATTTTTATCGTAACATAAATTTGCCCATTTGAGTTGGGTTTTTTGCTCAATGGGGCGGGGTCGGTTGGGTTGTGTTGTTGAGTTTGGGTTTATGACGTAATATATAATTTGGCGGTGCAGAATAGTACACCGCACGCGGTGCACTAGCAACAGCGTAATATTTAAAACACACCTTGTCAATGTGGGAGAAAATAAAATGTTTTGTGTCATGTTCATGAATTATAATATTTTCGAGGATTTAAAGGAGGTTGACAATAAGGTTTTAAAAATAAAGTTAAACAAAAAATGGTGTATAATATATATATGTATGTATATAAGTATTTAATAATGAAAGTATCTGCTGTACCCATATAACTCTCTTAAACTATAATATTTAAAAAAAATGATAACAATCAAACACAAAAATGGGTCAACAAATATTCTAAATAAAACATTAAACAAATATAACAAAAATATTTTTTTGTAAATTAAATGGCTCTGTTCCAAAAATATTTTACGTAAAACAATATTAAACACTAGTCAATTTTCAAACACTCCAAAAAATATTACAATTTTAATTTAATTTGCTAAATCTGTATAAGTATTTTTATGTTTACCATTTTAATATATACAAAAAATAATTTGTCTGATTTATGTTTCGGCATATTATAAAGTACTTAGTCTATAATAATACCAAACTACATTAACACATAATACAATTTAATTCTTACATAAATGTATTTGTATGTAAGTATTCATCGAGTAGTTAGTTGAAAAATTGTTTAAACTAATTTGACATAGATAAATATGCATTTGTATAGATAGATACAGGGTGGTCACAATGCAAGCACACCCTGTAATATTAATTTATACAAAAGAAAACAATACCTAAAGAAACTAAAACTAAAATTATCCAAATATATCAAATAATAGAAAATACAATGCTTATTTTTAGTTGTCACAGCCTAATTATGTATTTACTGTTTTGTTTTACTTATTTAGCTATTTAATGTGCTTTTAATTACTTTAAACTATTTGTAAATAGTAAAAAAAAGGCACCGATTATCCTGTAAAAAATTGCTAATTAAGTAAATTTATAGTGAAATTATTTCGAATATTGTTTATTAGTCAGTACAGTTGAGTTCAGTTCAGTTCAGTTCATAGTATGAGATGGGAGAATAAGGGGGTTTAAAATGTTTAAAAGCACAGTAATTTTTATGTAGGCACAGGGTAAACCTAGAAAATGACCTACCTATAAAAATTTTATTCACACCCTGTATTTTTTCATTCTAAACACTTACATGAAGGTGGTCTTTTACTTGGTTCACCCTGTTTGTGTGTACGACACTTATGGCAATCATAAAAATTCAAATCTAAGTACAATAATACAAATGACACTTTAACCGTTTGAAGGAATTGATGTGAAAAAGAAAATACATTGCATTTTGAAGGCTGATGATGGGAAGTTGCGTGTGGCTGGCAAAATATTTCATTCGTGTCTTTGGCATCACTAAATTAATAAAAGAAAATAATTTATTTTTTAAAAGAAACAAAAAGAATAGCGTTAGAGATTGGTTTGAGATCACTATTTTTGACTTGAACATTACATCATCATCATCAGTACACATTAAATTATTTTTAGTTGTTTATTATTTCTAAGCATAGATAAAGGTTGTTATACACAGAAGATCGCGCAAAATTTATAAACGATATACGATATAAATATGCCAAACCAAAGTATTTACATAGATTTGCACTTGCGTAAATCATCACAGGTTTTTTTGAGGGTTCGATTTTTAGTAGATGGCAAAATTCCGTGCATAACTCACCAAAAATATCTCACGTATTTTTAATAAACCTTATAGTCAAACTTACAATCTAGGTAGTTAGCTATTATAAATAAAAAAAGAGAATCAGTACTACATAAGCGTATTATAGAAAAATTACATCTACAAAGTACAGAATTAAAATAAGATAGTAATAATGTCACACTACTACTTACTATGGCTAATTAAAATTGAAAGAAGCAAATTATTCGATTCCTCTCGCGCCGTCTATCGGCATTGTGTGCAGAACCTCGTCCAAGAGCTGAAGGGCGCGGTGAAGATGAACTTCTATCCAACACGGGGTTTCTTTGATCGACTGCCGGGGGTAGTCGGGACCCCAACCTTTGACGAAACTAAGCCGCAGTATGCAAAGCCTCCTCAAATCATCCACGCCAATTCCGGTCGAAGCTGACAAACCTAAAAACAACATTATCAATGATATATATAATATAATTTTTTGCGTTATGTTACTCACTTATGGCGGGAGCTATGCCGCCCACTGAATGAGGGCCCGGTATATGGCCGGCGACAGCGGCAGCCTGTGCGGCTGCAGCGGCCTGCGCAGTTGCCGCCTGCGTCGTCATCTGGTGATGGCATTGCCGCAAATCAAACACCTTAAAAAACAATTCACAAAAAATTGGCAAACAATAATAATAGTCAATCTGTCGGACAAAATTGACCATAATAGTTATTTATGTCATTAGGTTAAAAAGTAAGGCTTTTTGTGCTAAGCTCAAGGTTTGAGCTTAGCACAAAAAGGCACTTCTTGGCCGTATGGCATACAACATTTTATCTTCAAAGCACTTTATATAGGTCAATTTAATTCAACATCAAAGCGGCCTAACCTTACTTTTTTAGAATCTCATTTAGTTATTAGCTAAAGATTACATTAAATGCACAATAATTATTATTGCTTTTAGAAGCAGTAATAGTTTGACAATACCTAGCTACATGATTTAAGATGAAATGGATTTTTGCTATTACATTGAATTCAATTAATTGTTTAATAAAGGTAGGTATCTAATTTCAATTTGTTTGGATTTTTATTTAAACAATAGGTAGTTTGGAATGTTTAAGCTGTGTTTAAAATTTAATTTCACTGAAAACTTAAAGCAAATTAAAACTTAAAGATAATTTAAATCGTAGAAAAAGAATCGTGCGTTTTTTTGGTTGCCTAACCTCACTTTTTGTTTTATTATTCATAATTAATTTAATGAAAAATATTAAACATTAACAGTAGAACAAACAAATTAGTGCTTAAATAAATTAAACCAGTTTAGTACGTTAATTTCTTGGAAAAGGATTAATTTGTCATATCCCTAGCGAGAAAAAATCGAACTAATTACTTGCCTCATAAAAATTTTTATCGGCCTAGACCATAACAAGGTATTTTTTTATCGAATGTTGACAACAATAAAGTTTAAATTATAGACGGCGTGGAGATAAACATTTTTTTTGCATGAATCGTTAGGGTCTCATAAGCTAATTTTTATACTTTTTTAATTCTAATTTTCTCGAAAAAGTTTAAAAAAATAAAATTATTAACAAAAAATGTAGGGGGCATCACTCACTACAATTTAGGACGAAAAATACAAAAAGTAGGTGGCGCTTAAGTTCCCACAATAGCGTTTAATAGCTTTTTGAAACACAATAGTATATTATGTATCAAGTTTGATAAACGCAATTTTATACACGAATTTAATTAATTAATGAAATTAATGAGTGTATAGAAAAGTTTATAAACGAGGTGCATACTATACTTTTTCTACGACAAATACTTATTATTATCTTAAAATGATTTAAATAAAAAATTTGTATAGAGCGCCATCTATGAAACAATAGGGGAATCTGTGTGTCACCGTCAAATGTCAAATTTTTATAGTTTATAAACACAGATTATAAAGGTTATAAATCGAAATGTATTTCTTGAAAATTGACAGTTTTTCACAGTGAAAGTAAAGAAAATGTTTTATGAGCACTTCTACAGTGGAGTCCGTGTCCGAATTTAAGTTTACTGCCGGCGAAATTAAAAGGTGAGTACAATGTTTATATAAACTTTTGAAATATTGGCGTTGAGAAACTATTTAATACTTTTGTATTTTTGTATTGAAATAATAAAATAATTTTCACATTTAGTATTATTTTACAAGAAAGGCACTTTATTTTAACGATTGTATGACATTTGACAACTGTCAACTAACTTAAAAGTAACTTGTTGCTAACTTCGGCCCGTGACTAAAGCGCCATAAAGCCACAACTTGTCAATGTGTATTTAAAAGGTCACTTAGTGTCATGGAAACATGTACGATAAAGGGCGTTTTGAAGGTAGGAGTAGAAAAAAGTTTTTTTCTACGACCACTATGTAAAAGTCACATTTCTTATTGGCATCGTTGCTTAGAAAATGAATATTTTCATTGGCAAGGCAAAACACAAATGTAAAGTGACATTTCTGTGTGAAAAGTGACAGGGCTGTGTGAAAAGAAATTGACAGCATCGTTTAACATTTGTTTCAAAATTTGAATTGTATTTGTATATGTATGTCTAAATATCATTTAGAACACAATTAATTGTGTTTGTATAATAAATTCTAGTTTTTAGTGCCTTTATTTAAATTGAAAAGGAAAGTTTATTGATTTTAAGTAACTTGTACCTTAAAAATTAAAAGAATAAGATGAAAGAATTTTAACAGCTGTAAAACACGTTTTTAGGTTATTTTGTTTTGTATTTGAATATAATAAAAAATAAAAGGGTCGTAGAAAAAACTTTCAAGCTCGTGTTAATGCACACTCGACGGCCTCGTGAGCAACTTGAACACTCGCATGAAAAAGTCGCTTTTCAACAGTTGTAAAACAAATGACTATTTTTTAACTAAGAAAGTTATATATCTTTAAAAAAAACTTCCATTCCCTTTGAGGTGATTTTCATCATACAAGTTTTCTAATAATGTAAACAAATTTAGGAAGTCGATTATAACCCACCTAACCGATTTATATGAAATTTAGCACACACTTTTGGTGCTTCTAAAAATACAATCTAGTATACTTAATGTTTGTTCAAAATGGCCGCTGCTCCAAGATGGTTTACCTTTTACCTACAAATCCTTGATGTGGATATCAAATAAATATTTTTATAAATCAAGTTTTAAACGGATCACGCCACTCATGTATTGAATTCTCTCATAGAAGAGAAAGAACTTTATTTAAATTTAAAAAGCATATGTCGTCTTGTGTGGCGAATTTTATTGAATAAACAATGATATATTGTAATATTTTTTCTTTTTTCTGTGATATTATATTATAATGATATGTTCCTATTTAGAATTAAAAATGTATTAATAAAATAAAATTAATTTAAATTTAAAAATTGTATTAAGAATTAAAAAATATATATTGAATTGTATGATTAGAGGTGTCCCTCTATAAACTGTATGTTTCTTGGGATGAAAGTAAAGTATTTTATTATTATTATTATTTATTAAATAAAAGTAGAAAGTAGAGTGACGTCATATTAAATCCAATATGGCGTCACCCCAAGATGGTGATTACTTTTAAAATTGGGCTATAATACTAAAAAAACAAAAAAGTGATTTTGAAAGCAACGCTCAACTTTGCACAGTGCGCATAGCAAAAGGGCACATCATATAGGTGCGCAATGGGGTTTAACGTGTGCCTTATTTAGTACATAATCAAAAGTATTAGAGGTCAAATTCTGAAAAAATGCACGGTTTTCCTTCTACAATCTTTGTTTCCTGGACTGTCATTTATTCTGAAAATTTACAAATTTTTACGGATACTATCCGTACACTGATATCCAGAAAAAAGTTAATTTTCGACACTGAATAAAATCATAATTTTATGATTTTATTTTAATTCATTAACATTTTTATTCTTCTAAAACTTACTGTTTTCGATAAAAATGAGATTCAAAACTTTTTAAGTGTTTACCAAAAACTCGTCGCGCTAACTTTGAAACATTTTGAAAAAAAGTTAGAAGAAATTTTATGGGTTCTTTAGAATGTAAACGATTTTTTAATTAGTGCAGCTGGTGTCAAAAAGCTATAAAACACTTTTTTCGGTACTTTAGCGCCATTTACTTTTTGTATTTTTTTCATCCTAGAGTATAGACCCAATAACATAAATTGTTCACATTTTCTACATTTTTTGTTCACAATTTCTTTTTCTAAAACTGTTCCCGTTTTCTAGAAAAATAAAAAAAAAACAAAACAAACTGAGTTATAAATGTCAAATTTATAAAAGTGTCTCGAAATGATTGAAAATAAAATATAATAAAACAAAGAGGTTTGCAAAGTCCAAACGTACCTTAATGTAAGCAGCCGGATATATTTTGTGTACGGCGTCGCCGGGTTGCCGTCCCGCCTCCCTGTCGAGATAGTAGCTCTGCACGAAGACGGAATGATCGCTCAGGCAGCGCAGCCAAACGTCGCCTTCGCCGCGCAGATCCAGTTGCACGCCTTTGCCGATGTGCAGCCGCGCCCTCTCGCTCTGATCGGTCCTGTGCACGTTGCTCAAAGCGCCCAGGCAGAATCTGTTGCCGCCCGACGGGTCGACGTAACCGTCGATCGTCACGTTCGGGCAGTTCGACGGCACCTTGAACGTCTCGCCCACCTGCGTGTCCAGCTCGAAGTAGGCCACGGAACACCAGTACTCGGGCGCAGGCTGCGAGGAAAGCAGCCCGGCTATGTTCACGTCAGTCGCGGTTCCGATCTGGTTCGGCGTGCTGCTACTGTGGTTCCCTGCAAACGCGAAAAATCAACATTTGGGAGGCCCGAGAAGAAAGAAATTTTTTTTTCGAGTCTCCTTTGAAAATTTGTAACGTAGTCAAAACTCTGCAAAATCAAAAGTTTCTCAGTTCAGCTCAATATATGAATTTTAAAGGTCTCTTTGAAAATATTTTAAGTCTTCAAGCCATTTTTAAATATTAAATTCAGACTTAATTCGTATTTCACTGATGTGTCAATATTTCTTGATCTTGTGGTTGGGGTTTTAAAGTGTCGAAAAACAAACCGGAAAAATTGGGGGAAAATACTGTTTTTACGAATTTTGCCCAGGCCTTGAAAAAATTTGCGTTTTTTGGGAAAAACTGATTTTTTTTAGAAAATATACACATTTTAAAAAAAAGTAGCAATCACCATCAAAATAAAACTATATACAACTAAATTGAATTTAATTAAATTGATAAATAAAATAAACATAAAGTAAACATATACTGTCGGTTGGATCTTTTTGCAAAAAGGACTTGAAAATATCCAATTACAAAATAATGAATGATTTACATATATATAAAGTTAAATAACAAAATTTGTAAATTTTCAGAAAAATATACTTTAATTATTTTAATAATTTTTATCTACTCCACCATTGATAAGCTGTGACTTTATGGCGTTTTAGTCACGGGCTGAAGTTATTAACAGTGGCTTTTGGGCATTTTAGTCACGGGCTGAAGTTAGCTTTATTATAAATTAGGGAAAAGTGAGGTTAAATCCGTTAAAAGTTGACAGATGTCAAAAGTTTAACAAATAAAATTGGCTTTAAATTCTTCTTCGTGTGCGTCGTAGATAAAGTATAGTATGCAACTCGTTTTATAAACTTCTCTAGACACTCGTTTTTATTAAACACTCGCTTGCAGGCTTCGCTCGTGCCTAATAAAACTCGTAACTAAAATGGCATTTATAAAACTTGATACATAATATAATATTCCCTACTTGTGGTGTATTTTTGTTCATTATCCTATAAACTAATTAAGTCTTTATATACTATAGTATATTATGTATCAAGTTTTATAAACACCATTTTAGTTACGAGTGTTTAATAAAAACGAATGTCTAGAGAAGTTTATAAAAACGAGTTGCATATCTACGACGAACAGAAATAAGAATTTAAAGCCAATTTTATTTGTTAAACTTTTGACATCTGTCAAATGTCAACGGAATTAACCTCACTTTTCTCCAATTTATAATAAAGCTAACTTCAGCCCGTGACTAAAATGCCCAAAAGCCACTATTGCTAACTTCAGCCCGTGACTAAAACGCCATAAAGTCACAGCTAGTCAATGTAGGAGCAGATAAATAAAATTAATATTTAAAAGTCTGTCGCTCAAAATCAACAATTTAAAAATTTCATATTTTGAGCTAAAACTTATTTATTTTCCATGTGCAAAAATTTACCCATAAAGAGCAACAAAATTCGAATTTTAAGTATTTTAGAAATTTTCAAAATTCGTAAGCGACATAGGGTTTTAAAATTTCCGGAAAAATTGAGCCGGTGGAAAAAAACCGTTTTTTACCGGAAAAATTGGAAAATTTTCAGAAAAATTTCCAAATTTTACTGATAATCCGTACACATATCCAGAAAAAAGTGAATTTATTCATTTTATTTTAATTCAGTAAGAATATTCTACCGGGCCGTAAAAAAACATTTTCGGTGCTTTTAATACATAACTTTCGTTTTATTTGACATTTATAAAATTATAATTTTGTAATTTAACTTTATAAATCATTCATTATTTTGTAATTGGAGATTTTCAATGGACTCCTTTTTGCAAAAAGACCTAACCGACAGTATATTTAACGTTTACGTTTATTTTCTTGAATCAATTTAATTTAATTCAATGTTTAGTTTAATTTTTTTTCTGTGGTAAAAGTTTTTTTTAAATTAAAATAATGTTAGGTTGTTGATTGCTACTTTTTTTCAAATGTGTATATTTTCCAAAACAAAAGCCAATTTTCCTGAAAAAAAAAGTTTTTTCCCAACCCTTTAAAACCCTACAGCGACACCTAAAAATGTTTAATCAAGCTGAATTTTGGGAAGCTTTTTAAACTTAAACATATTATTTTCAAAGGAAACAAAAAAAAATGGTCGCTAACCAAGATAAACATATGGAAAGACCCAACTAAAAAGTTATTTTGTTCGGTTTAGTTTGGTCTCGCCAATAGAAAAAAAAATGGCAAGAGTGTTATTAACTACGTCTACAATGCACTCCGCTTACAATAAGCAGTGTGATGGTTGTTCCTGTTGTCAGGCGGTTGCATACTTTGCGTGTAGGTCAACGTGTTCGAACCGGTCCATGTGCCGCCCGCGCCGGTAAACGTCTGTCCTTGCACTGCGACTGCGCCGCTAGGGGGCGCTGCGTTGCCTCCGCTCACCGCGCCGTTATTCGTGGCTACTACGCTGCCCGGCGAGCTGCTGAAGCCGTTTTGTTGCAAATGCGGAGACACTGGAGATTGATTCGCACCTAATGTCAATTTTATTAGCATTCAACGAAAAATAATGAGCAGAGATGGGATTTTAGGTTGCAAAATATATTAAAATAGGTCATGTTTTTTCTTGTTTTAGGTGAGAAAATAATTAAATTAGGTACGTACTTTAAGAAAATAAGCAATTTTTCGGTGGTAAAATAATTAAGTTTATTATTGTATAAAATTGTATTGAACAAGATTTTTATGATTTAAAAAATTTAAAAATAACTGACGAAAAATTTTGGTAAAATAAAATCACGCTTTTATTTTATTCTATTGCACCCAAAGTTATGATTAACACTAAAATCCCATCTCTAATAATGAGGTAAAGAGATTTTTTAAAAGGACCACTTCGCTTCTAATGATGCCAACATCGTTGGCGAAAAGTACTTTAAGCACTTTGTTATGGTGTTTGGAAATATTTTTAATATTTGGGTAATTTTCAAAATTCTTGTACATTTAAAGAAGAAAAAGTAAAAATAAAAACCTGTTTTTTCCAAATTTTGTTTATTTAGGGGTGTTATTTAACACCTAAAAGTGGGCAAAAAATGGTCCCCTGGGTCACAAATTTACTAACATTAAAAAAACTTATACAAAAATGTTTAATAATTTTGAAAATATATTTGTTTGTTAGTTAATAATCCTTTTAAGGTTTTATTTACACTAGGATTTGTTTAAAAGAAGAACATACATTTATTATTTATAAAAACTATGTTCTATTTCTCTACTTTCTTACATACATAAGTATTTTTAATATATTTTCTGTATTTAAAAAATGTCCATTAAAAAAACGTGACTTTCAGAAATTTTCTTTTAATGCGTATTAAAAACGTATTTTTTCGATTTTTTATCTGGGCCCAGCTTGTCCAATTTAACGAGCAATAAATTAATAAAAAGTTTTAGTTATTAGTAATATTAATAAAATATTAATAAAAAGTCAAAGTTTCATTGAACTACCAAACATTTATTTCCAGCTTCTTTGAGGCAAAATACATTGACTAGGAAGAACGTTATTTTAAAAAAGTTTTAAAAACTTTTCTTTAGTTTATTATTATTATAATTTATTTGTTTGGAATTGTCCCCTGGGTCACATAACTTTCCCCTAGGTCACACAATATGTGATCCAGGAGACGTGCGACCCAGGGTAAAAAATGTATGTTTTAAAGATAAAAAATTGTATTTTTACCCTTAAAATCATCCTTTTTGAGAATCAAACAAAGTCCCTTTACTACTTTTCATTACTGTGACACAGGAGAATGCACAGTTTTGCCACGCTGGTAAAAAAAATACAAAAAAAAAACGTGTTGTTGCTTCAAGATAGTTCAAAACACCATTTTCTACTAAAATCCGTTTCCAAATACATTGCCGCAAGGGAACAGCACCAAAAAATGTGTGCTTAATTCAAGAGGTCATTTATAAAAGCTGTGAACCAGGAGACGTGACCTAGAGGACCAAAATTAAGGGACAAACTTTAGGGGTTATTTTAACCATTTTTATTTTTAAATATTACCACAAATGGGCTTTTTCTGTAAAATTTGGAATATATTCTCAACTATATAAAAAAGGAGGATGTTATTTTACTCTAAGATGTTTTAATAGCATTAGGTAGTGAATATTATTATTATTAGTGGGACAGCTACTTTTCTGTAGTGTTGGGTAAAGTTTAATTTTTTTATAGGGTTAAATTTAAAATTTTCCAATTTTGCTAATAGTAGTAGTTCCAAATGGAACTTGTTATAAAATATTAAAGTTGAGGGACAGCAAATGTACAAGAAATTTGAAAATAACCTATTTGTTTGGGTAAAGATATTGCTTACCAATATTTTGGGGTATGGTGTCGGAGGTGGGTCGCTCCTGCGTCTGCGCGGTGTTGTAAAACTGCTGCGGCTGCGCGTGATTTTGCGGCGCCACTGGTTGCTGTTGCTGCTGCTGATTGTTGAGACTTCCGGTTTGTACGTTATTTTGATTGTTGTGTCCGGGAATATTGTGTTGGTGAACGGCTACTGGAGCTGTTATAATAAATTAGATAAAATAACTAAGCACTACATAGAACAAAATAATACAAAATAATATACGTAAATAAAAAAAATCTTACAATGCAAATGCATATGCGGCAACCAATTAGATCTTGAACATGCGTCCGGTCCCGCCTCAATTTTGGGCACAGCGCTTGGACCCAAAACAGCTCTATTTGATGTATTATACATTCCTGCAGGATCACCTACACAACAACAACGAGAAAAACATGCATTGCATAACTTAAACATTAAATCATCAACAGCCAAATCTTCTTTATTTTTCTCACCTCCACCCTTGCAACCAGTGTTGCCAGATTATCAAAGCGCTTCCCCCAAAATGATCCAAATGAAACTCGATTTCCCCATAGAATTCAGCGCTTTACCCCTAATTAATGGACTTCAAAATTTGAGTTTTTTTACAGTGTAAAGTTTGAAGTGCAATTTTCTCTACCACATTTTTTTTCATTTGAGGTGACAAAAACAATAAAAATGATCGTTTGTCCCTCATTACTTAAAATTGACAATAGTCTCTGTGCTATTGTCAACAGTTAAGGTTCTATTTTCAATATTATATTCTAGACCTCTGTGCATAGCACATGGTAGTATAATACTGATAAATTAAATTAAAATTTTAGTTAGTTAGTTAGTTACAGGCACTGAATTATAAATGCTTCAGTGTAAACAAATTGATTTATATCATTTTGTATTTGGATTCAATTTTTTTTTGTTATCATCAGTTTTTGACCAAGAAAAAACCCTGATCTAGCAACACTGCTTGCACTGCTCACATCAATAGAAATATAAGGAAATAGAGAAAATGCCAACTTAGTTATTATGTGGATCCCTTCCATTATTATAAAACATAAGCAATAAGAAATATATTAGTCCAGGAAACAAAGATTGTAGAAGGAAAACTCGATGGTAGTCGGGTTTTATATTTTCAGGGGTGCTAATAATGAATCAAGAATATTCCTCAAAAATTTCTTTCCGCGTCCCCTAATTTCATCCCCCGAAAGGAGAGTTTTTTTGCTTTTTGGCTCATAACTCGCTAACTGTGCATTTTTTTAGAATTTGACCTCTAATACTTTTCATTATGTACTAAATAAGGCACACGTTAAACCCCATTGCGCACCTATATGATGTGCCCTTTTGCTATGCGCACTGTGCAAAGTTGAGCGTTGCTTTCAAAATCACTTTTTGTTTTTTTTTATTATAGCCCAATTTTAAAAGTAATTGATCCCAAACCTTACGGTAATCAAACATAACCGAATGGACGATTTTTTGAGGTACTAGACTTTTTTCAAAAGTTACTGCTATTCAATGTACAGGGGGTTCTTTTATTAAAACTTTAATTTTTGTGGGGCACTTGCAATGAAAATAATTTTAAAAAAACTACGGATTCGTTACGAGGATAAGTGTACCTAAAAATCTAGGGTAGAATGAACTGGCTCATTAAAGCTGTTTGGGAAATAAAAAATGGGTTTAAAAAAAATAAAACCCGACTACCATCGAGTTTTTCTTCTACAACCTTTGTTTCCTGGACTATATGATGAAATAATGCTTGACTAAATTTTGTATATTATAGGTATGTGGTTTCAATAAAAACATTTCCTTATACTTCTATTCTTATGATGTGAAGAATAGCTTACAATGTAGCATGCGCAGTATCTAAAAAATAGCAACTGCGCATAATACTTGGAACTGGTTTCAATCAAAGCCAATGTCGTCATAACAAGGTATAAAATCCAAATCTTGTAATGACAACAAAATGCAAATAAAAATAAGTCAGATTGAAAGCATAAATACAAACATTTATGGATAAATAATAAAAAGACGTTTAAATAATTGAATTACTAAAAGACAACATCAACAATGTACATAAAGGTTTGGAAGGACAAAAATGAATGTGACTTACTTGCGGGGGTTGAAAGTAGGCCACCAGGGAGGGCGAAGTTCTGCTGCGGGGGGTGATGCTGTATGGTCTGTGAGACCCCCATGCCTATACCATCCCCATCGACCTCCATGCTGCTGCCAGAGACTGGACCGGCTGTATATTCATCCTTAACCAATCGTGGTGTGCCGGCTTGCAAAGTTAACCCTGACAAATCGATGCCTGGAGAAACGACCCTTTCGTAGTGATAGGGGTTTACGCATACCGAGTCGCATTTTAAATCGAACGCGAACTGACAGTACTTGACGTGTTTCAGCTCATTTTTATGCAGATCTGGCCATCGCCAAATACGCGCGTATATTACGTGCGGAAAGCCTTTTCTTCCGGCTACTTGCAGCCTGCCATCTAGGGTTCTTTGTATTGTGACGCATTTGCTTTGGTGGGCCCCCGAGGTGGTTATGGCGGTTATCAACGAGTCCAACTCGTCGCGCTTTTCTTTTAGCTTTTTCACCAGAGATTCAATGGCCCTTTTGGCGAAACCCTCACTTTCTCCACCCTGTCTGTGGCACATTAAGCTGTGCACAATGCTTAGGCAGGCGTCCGCAGATGATGGGGCATTTGTCGCAAGTCCTGACATTTCTCGAACTAAATTAAACAAAAAATCTAATAACACTGTTCTTTTCTTATTAGCAAGCACTTGCATGCACTACAACTATATAGTCACTCTTAATCATTAGAACTGTATTAGAATTATCAATAAAATTCTCTTTCAAATAGTGTTAAACGAGTGATGAGATGAGAAGCAATCAAAAGCAATAAAAATTCTATATAAAATTAAACGATTAAATATTAGTGGGTATTATTAATAGCACTATCAATAATAACAGCAAATAACTAGGCAGAAAGGTGGGTGTATGTGTAATAAATGTTGTACAGGTCATGATCAAAAAATCCTAAATGATGATATTTAATGTTACACTTTCATGAGACATTTATTTGAACAATGCGAAATCAAACTACAAAGCGATTAATTAAACAAATAAGCAATACTTGGGTTTATTAGCAGGTTTCATACCTTAAAATTTTACGACTTGACATAACCTTAATTTCGGTGTTCGTTAAAATTGTCCTAAAACCGTAAAATGACCATTAATTATTAGGTTTATCATAAATAATTTATTAATTAAACATCCAATAAACTACTTCTTAGTATACAAGTACAAGTATATCTCCCACCACAAGTATCAAAATGTCGCTTTTCAATCAATAATACAAGTATTATTTATTAATTACCTTCTTGAGAAGAAACGTTTGAAAAAATGTTATGATGTCCCACGGATATTCCTACCATTATCCTTTTATTTTCAATAAACAATACGGCGTACAAATAAGTTTCATCAAAATTTTAGCTTGGGTCTGACATTTTGATCTCGCACTTCAAACCAGTAAACTAACCTTAAAAAAGCAGATTTCTACTGTCAAAAAAATAGTCTGCAATGAAAACCGAGAGATGGCACAACCTACTAAAAAAGATTTATACGAAAAAAAACGTATACTTTCAAAAGAAATATACGAAAAGTCATAAAGAATCATAAAATTATAAATTATATAATAATTGTTTTAAACGTGGATTATATAATTATAAATTGGGGAATTTACTGAATGTAGGTATGCAACTAACTTTCCTTTAGTGTAACTGGGTTGCCTATGTCAAAGGGCTTAAAGTTGTCTCATTAACCTCAAAATATATGTTTAAAATTTAAATTTGAAATGTTTATATTAATAATATTATTTAACATAGTTAGACACTATTTCAAAGGTTTTAATAAACCAAAAACAAAATTGGTATATAAAAATAGTAATTTTTTAATAATCGACAAAGCATATGATTTAAAAATAAATAGTAATAACAAACTTGAGGTATGTAATTTTATGAGTGAATAAAAGTAATATTAATTAATAAATAAACTGTAGGAAACCCTTCAAACTTACCTTAAAAGAAATTTTACAAATTTAGCCAATAAAAACTTGAAGCATGAATATTATTTTGTTCATCGATTGGATTTTGCAACCAGTGGCATAATGTGCATTCCAAAAAACAAAAACGCTTGTAAAATAGTTGCTGAGGCGTTTTCGCAAAGATTAACCAAAAAATATTATTTGGCTTTGGTACGAGGAATTGTTTCTCAAGAAATTGTTGACATTAATAGAGCAATTGGACAAGATTTAAGATACAGAGATATTGAAAAAATGTGTACAATTAACACAAGTACGTGTTTAAAACCTAGAGAAGCTAGGACTGTGTTTATAGTACTGGAATATGGACTTTTTGGGAATTATCCTTGCACAAAAATTTTGATAAGGCCTATAACAGGGCGAAGGCACCAAATTAGAGTCCATTGCAGCCATTTGGGACATACAATTGTAGGCGATTATACTTACAGCAATAAGAAGGACGTGGAACCTTACAGAATGTTTTTAAATTCAACAAGGTATACTTAAAATAATTATCTCAAAAAATTTGGTATTAATTTTATTAAATATGGTAAAAAATCAATTGCAACCTTTTAGGCTGTGTTTTCCATTTAATGAAGAATCATATGATTTTTCAATGAAAGATGTGTTTAACAAAGACTGGCAAAATATTAAAACCCTGAATGTTTTTAATGATTGTGCTTTTAGAAAGCTGGATTCTGCATTAGGTATTTTGTAATCAGGTAAATGCTTTTGTTAACTTATTTATCCAATGTAAAAAAATACGGATTATCTGGGGTACCAAAAAGGTTTCCAGCTAAGACAATAGTTTCTTGGAAAGTAAAGCAATAAAACCTTTCTGGTATTACCTTAAAATGTTTTTGCAATTGTTATCTGAAACTACCTGGATGTATACATCTGTATAAAAGAAATGTTATCATAAAAATATTTAGTCATTTTAAAGTGGTTGTGGTGTACTGTACTATAGAAGGTATGTAGAAAAAACTATGTTTTAAATAAAATCCAATGTAAGCTTTATATGTTGCAGAAAATGGAATCGAAAATTTTGATAATATGCTCAGTGGTTGCTGTGGTGTCATCAGCTACGTTGGGAGAAGTTCATACGGAAAAACAATCAACAGCTTTAAGTGCGGATGGGTCGAATTGGTCTTTATACAACGTAGCAGCGCTGACCACCGCGGTAATAGCCGTAAGTGTCGGATTGGCGGGTCTGATATCTCTCTTCCTACCAGTGACTGCGTACAAATTATGTCTTATGTTGGGAGGATGTCAGGACACTATGGACCGCTACGTTGACCGCTTCATAGCCGATGGTTCTGGATACAATGCCAAAAGGGGAAAACGCTCGCTGGAATACGTCGCACCAATTCTCAACACCCTTGCCGCCGCCTACGACAAATACGCCGACAATGATCTAAAAAAAAAGTCCAACACACTCAGGTTTTAAACAAAATCGCCGTGTTGCTACAAATCACCCCAGTCACTATTAATATATTTAAAATGTTGTTTTTAATCGGACATGTTATTTCCCAGTTGTATGGACTATTTACCAATTTTATTGTTTTATTTAATAGGTTTTATATTTAAGCCTTGTATCTATATATAGAGGTTTTTAGAAAAATAAATAACATTATTTTCTTCTTTTGCGTTTTATTTGATGCAGAGTGATTTTATTATATTTACTCAGAGCCCCTTAATTAATTACTAATTGAGAAAAGATTTGCCGTGTCCAGTTTTTGTCCAAATTTACAATATAGCGTTGATTCTAACACCCTGTGTGTTACCATCATAAAAATCACTTAAATGCCTTTAAATTCAAAACTCTACCTGGAAATATATAACAATTATGTAGGTGTCACTACGTATAATAAATATTTATTTAGTTGATTTCAAGGAATAAGGTCATCTGTTTATAGCGGAGTTGGATGGTCCTTATGTCTCATGCACTGCTACTAGGTAACTAATTAGAAACGGCCACTTGGCATAACTAAAGAGAGTTCAAATAATGCAGAGTCCCCTCTTATTTGACAGCAAATATTCGCAAAATGCTGCTGCGGTATTTATGTGGAAAATGAAATGGTATTTTTTATTGAGCAATCGTTGTTCTCGTTTGTTTTCCACCCCCTCTTGTAGACAGTGGCAAGTGTGAAAGAGGGTTGTCAACAACAAGATATATTTCGGCTCATCTTTATGCAAGATCAGGATTTTGTAGGCATAATTTTTTAGCGTTGTTTACATTTTCGCAACAAAAATGCTTTGTCGCGATATGCGATTCGCTCGTCTGTATAACCTTTGTGTGTGGTTTTATTAATTTTTATTCGCGTGATTCATAATTCAAATTTTACGTTTCAAAGTGAGTCAGAATGCGGTTTTTTTAATGAGGATACTAGTGGGTAAAGGCAATCAAATAATTTGTTGAAACTTGCTTTGTTCAATAAAATGCAACATACTAAATATCGCAAGTATTTATTTTTATAAACAATAACATATAAAACAATCAACAACAAACAGTCTTAAACGTTCAAATTTTGAATGAAAGGAACAATAAAAGTTATGTGTCTGATGAGATTGCTAGAATTGAGAAAGTACGTTGTTGATAACAGTAGGTAGTATGGCTACCGTATTTTTGGTTTTTCTGAAGAAATCAGTCACTAAAATTCCTACAATACGACTACCTTATTCCTTATTCATTAACATTCATAACATTGTTAGGTAGGTAAAGCTAGTTTAACACACGTGCATGCGAAAATACCATTATGTATTTTAATTATCTTTGTCTGAAATCGGTTGGTTTGTTCTCTTTTGAGAAATGAGGTATGTTAGCCCGAGTATGGACATAAGAGCGACGTAAACCATGATGGAGTTGAGGGCGGCAAGTGCCCATGTGTTTTGCTGGTGATGGGCTAGTTTCATGTGGACCCATTCGTCGGAAACGTAGCCTTCGGGTTGGATGGCCGCTCTGGCGGTTCTCTGCAAAGTCGGCATCGGTTCGCATCCGGATTCTCTGACGTATTTAGCCCAGGTGCGGTTGCTGGCCGTTAATGTCCTTTGAGATTTGAGGAAAGGTTTCCTACCGGGCACTGTCTTGCTTATAACTATGGGCAATGGCTGCTTGACCGTGTCGTAGTGACAAGCCAGCAACTTCTTACGTTTGCTCTTGCCGACGGTAATGTGTTCGGCAGCAATGGTCGAGCCTTCGAGAATGGAGAGATCTCCTTTTATTAAGTGGGCCCAATCCCACAGTTCGGCAACGCTGCAATCACATTTCCAGGGATTGCCGATTAGTTTTAATTTTTCCACGTTCGGATTGAGGGATATTTGCTTGGGCGAGAAGGTCGTGAGATTGTTGTATCTTAAGTCAAGCATTTCGAGCTTCGGTAGAATTTCCAAAAATCGCAGATCGCTGGGATAGCTGAAATGATTGCCCATGAGTATAAGGTTGGTAATGTTCCTTGTCCAGTAGAACGCTTCCGCTGGCAAGAAAGTCAAGTTGCAGTTGCCGAGATCCAAAGTTTGCAGACGAGAAAGTTGTTTGGGAAGTAGGGGTCCTGTTGGCGACACCCTAAGCGGGTTGCCTGCAAGCCGAAGTTCCGTCAAGTCCGTGTAGGTAAAATTGTTGAAGAACAAAGTGGCATTGAGCGGCCGTCGCAGACCGCAAAAGTTCAACTCTAAACTTTCCAATCGGGTCAGGTCGCCGAACAGTCCCGCTTCCAAGCTATTTACATCGTTTCCCGACAATACCAGTCTTCGCATCGAAGTCATCTTCGAGAAGGAAGCGGGATGGATGTAGGACAAGTTGCTGTAGCCCATGTTCAAGTACTCCAAAGTTTCTAATGGGGCTAGCAGCTTAACGAACGCGTCGTTTAATGGATTGTGAGATATGTCCAACTCCTGAAGACTAAGAAACTTGTGGAAAGTATCGGGTAAGCGGCTGAGGCCGCAATTGCTCAAAGAAAGTTTATTCAAATTAGTGAGGGGGGCCAGCGCAACCAGTAAATCACTCGCGAACAGCGAATTGCCAGATAAATACAACGTTCTTATTTTGGTGGCGTTTGCGAACGCGTCTTCTGACAGCGGCAGCGTTAAATTACAATAAGACAAATCCAACACGTCGAGCTGCTGAAGATTTCCCAACGTACTGGCCACGTCTAAATTAATCAAATCGTTTTCCGCCAAAATCACCGTCCTTAAATACAAATTCATATCGAACATTGTCTCCGGCAGGTGCACGAGCCCCGATTTCCTTAAATCAAAACTCTCCAAACGAATTAAATTATTCAACACGGCCGACCAATCGGTTTTATATAAATTATTCCCGGACAATTCCAAAGTTTTCAACCTTCCCTGCTTGCTAAACGCATCATTAGAAATCCAACTTAGATTGCAGTGGCTTAATTTTAACGTTTCCAAACTTATTAACGGGTAAAAACCTTTATTGTCGTCGATTACGTTCAAAGGGTTCTCCGACAGATCTAGCGTGCTTAGCGACGTTATGTTGGAAAAAAAATTCTCGTTTAATCTTCTCAAGCTGCAATTGCTTATGTCAAGGTAGAGCAGCGACTTAATCGACAAGAACGGACCCTCCACCTCGGCCAATGGGTTGCTTTGCAACTCCAGCGTTATGAAACCAGGAGAATCACTGCAACCGGATAATGTTTATGTTAATTAACCAAATATTAGGAACTCGAAAAAGTTGTCGCCGATAGATGACTTGCAATTTGCACAACTCTGGTAATATATGTAAATCATGGGACTGTTTTGATTAAAAGTACAGCGTCTTGAATGGTTTGCTCGTTATCGTTGGATTTAAACCATTTGCATTTGGAAATATAGAAGAAGCTGGATACTTGTTTAAATTATTTGTAAAAATCGGCGATGACTTTTAAGAGTAACCAACATTTATAAGGACTACTTACTCGAAAGCGTCTGGATCTATCTTGGTGATTCTATTTCCTGAAAAGTCAGCATCAATCAAGTAGTTGAGACCGGCAAAGCTCTCCTTCTTCACCTCGGTCATCGAGTTATGGGCAAGTTGAATTCGACGCATTTTTATATCGGCCGGAAAGGGTTGGACATCGCTGATAAGATTGTCATTTAAATCGAGTACGTAAACATTTAAACTAAGTTCATCGTAAGGGATTTCGGTTAGGTTGCTATCGGAACAATCGGTCATCCAATTTACTCGAAAGTAATGGCAGTCGCAATCGTCCGGACATTCTAACTCGGCCAATTCGCCGTTAAAAGCCCATACGTTCGAGCACATTAATACTATTAATACTAGGTGAGGAATATGCCACATTTTTCTGAAAAAATCAAACGCGTTTTTCAATTCAGGCAAATCTTAGTTACTGCCATTTTACAGGACTTTTGTTAATATTAGTGTATTTAATTTACAAATTATTATTAATAAGCAGGTTTACAAATGGTGCCATATTTGCTCAAGCCGAATCAACAACATTTGCATATAAAATTTTATTAATAATTATTAAACGTTCGCCAAATTATGCAGGAAATCTACGTCAACTTGCTCTTTTTTTTGTCTTAACTGGTTTTTAATAACAAGAACACACCACATCGCGAACTGAGATGTATTTAATTTAATAATTTAAATATTATTTGAGAGAGTTGAAAATTTGCAGTCCTTGCATGTTGCCAACAACAAACACAAACAATAAAATGAGTGCTAATAAAATTATACAAAGGTTAATAGGATGGTTAAAAAAATAATCGCATGATTCTCATGAATAAATTCCATTACAAGGTACCTACCTAAGTAAATTTTGATCGGACATTGTTTATTATAATTATAATAATTATATTATGACTATGCTTGTTGGCCAATTTTGTTTGACTGTTATTTAATTAGCTACATAGGTATACGTGAATTTGCGGTTAACAATGGTTTTAATTGATTTTTTTAATTTACGCGGCGTCCCCCGTACGCATGTCACAAGCACAGCGAAATTCTGTTTTGTTGTTGGTCGCAGAGAAGCGTCAATAACACGACCTTATTGCGAATTAAAACAATTTAACGGTTAATGCTTAGTCCTAAAAATACTGCTTGCTTACCCCATGTTCAATCACACCGAATCACAGTTAAAATAAAACGCGTAAAAAGTAGAACGGAGGTTCTACATCATACAAGATAAACACCACTATTGAATAGTCAATACACCATAGTCCGGCTTGGCAAGCGCCGACTTTCGGCGCCTATCTTCGGTTAACATCGAGCATGCAATCTTTCGTTTAAAACAAACAAATTATGGTTAATTATTTCGCAATTTTATAAAGGAAGTACCACTTATTTTTACCACGGATAGTGCTAAATTCAATTGCTAAAATAAATGTACTATTTTACGGAGAAAAATTACTTCTTGATGTAAAAAAACTACTTACTTTTTGGTTAAATTTTCTGGAGCAATTTTGATTATAATTGGGGTTATTTAAATAAAACCCAGTTTAAATACTTATATATTTTAATTATTTATTTGTGTAGGTATTGTTAAACATTTGATAACATATGAGGAAATAATATCTATTAGTTAGGTAGGTAGGTATATTACGGGAACTTTTCCAGATAGCATTTGGAATTTTATGTGAGGCCGCGAGGCTCACTCGTTTAGTCAAAATACGCTCATTGTGCACTCACGAATGCAGGCATTGTGCCCGCACGGCGCATGCGCATTCGGCAAAAAATTCAAAGCATCATATAGTTGGTAAAATGAACTTCCAAATGATATCTGGGTGATTTAATTAATAGAATAGATACAATGAACAATTTATTATATAGACATGACAATATGTTAATAATTCTATAACAATTTTCTTTACAAATGTAAAATTTAATGGATGAACAATATACATGGTCCAGTATCTGATTTTGATGAATTCCAAGGAGGAAAAAAATGGTTTATTTACATTAGGTTGGTAAAGATTGAAAACTAACTAACTTGCTTATAAATAAATACGATTCTAATTAAAATCAAAACAAAAATTACTTTTTTGATAATTTCAAAAATATACATTGGTTTATGTTTTATAATTAATTATAAAGTATACAAAATACACACAAAGCGAGCCACATCTTCCATATTCTGGATAGCTACTAATATAAAGGAAAAGTGGCCCCCATTGTCCATAGGATTATACCACCTTATCGAAAATAAAACTACAGTATAATATACAAAAAATGCAATTTATTTGGCATTTGGGGTGTCCTATATAATCGACTAATTTTTATTAAATTTGCCCTTTTTGTATATTACCCAGTATCACTATTTTTTTATGCAATCCAATTGCAATAAATCTTATTGCTTTACATTTCTTAGCCTTGTACATAGTTTTGAATAAATTTGGCCGGCAAAATTACATTTTTCAGTATTCAGACAATGCAACAACTGATTTAAGGACAAATAAATTTAGATTACCTAGGTAGAAGACTTCATCCTACAAAATAAATTAATTTAAATAGAAAATATCACTCACAATATAAAATTTATATAAAATAGGTGAATAGCAAAAAAATTGGTTAATGTTAAGACAAATCTAGATAACAATTAAATTTGACGTGCGCAAGACATAGGTACTATATAAATGGATGATTTCAATTAAAAAGGGCATTTTGATTTGAAACAACTTTTTACAATTTTTCATAATAAAAAAAATGATAACGATGAACGATTAAACAGTTTGAAACTTAAATATTAGATTAGATATTAAAGCTTTTTGACACATAAAGCAACAAATGTACAAATATCGAAACGATCAGTCTTATTTAATAATAAAAGAAAAACTTAATAAAACGTACCTAGATGAGTTGAGCTGCACAGTAAGAAATTCATGTATTACTTATAGGTCGTATGTATAGGTAGGTATATGTTTAACAAAATATAGGTACACAGATAATACAGATACACTGTTTCGAATATTGAGGAAGAACCTTTTCTTAACATGTCTTATACGTAGACAATGTGCGGTCTGGGCTTGGTGTTCTCGTCCAGAGTCTCGTATATGTTCATGGTACTCTGGCAATGGCCGGCACCGTACGGGTCCCACGGTGGCAAAGATCGATACTCGTTCGGATGTAAAATGGCTGGCGGCATGATGCCTAACGATGATTTTTCGATGCGTGTCACCTCGTAGGGCTCCACCATCATCCCATTCATCGGACATGATGGAGGCCGGCGCAGCATCGTGTCCAAAGTGGACAGGTCCCCGTTCTTGTTTATTTGACCCTTCTTCTTGTTACTCTTGGATTTCCTGTTGGGCGCCCAGTAAACTACCCCACCGATAACTGCGAGAATAAAGAGGACGGTGACCGCCACGGAGACAGCGGCCATCCAGCCGACAGAGCAGTCCATTTGGTACTTGGAAGCCTCGGAAAGCAGATGGTCCTTCATGTCTTCCGGTCCATTACATCGGATATCGGCGACGTCAAGCATCAAATCGTGGTGGTGTTCCTGTTCAGCCTGTTCCTCCATAGAATTAACTGTGTTGTTGCCGAGTTTGGCCGATTTGCTTTTGCTTTTCTGAATCTTTATCAACTGCCACAACCAACTCAAAGAACAATTACACTGCAGTGGGTTGCCGCCCACTTTAAGCTCTCTCAACTGATCCAAGGGAAAGTGGGTGACTTCCAAACTTTCCAGTTTATTATAGCGGACCGATACGCACTTAAGTTTGGGATTTCCGTGAAATAACCTGGTGGGAAGCTTTTCCATTGCGATGTTAAAGTCCATGATCACTTTTTCCAAGTGAACGTTGTCAACAAAAGCCCTGGGATCGATCGTTTCGAGATTCTGAAGCCGATCCAACTTAACATACTTTAAATGGAAGAGTCCCCTGAAAGCTAGCGACGGTATGTTGTTAATAAAATTACCGCTAAATCTTAGCGTAGTTAAATTGGATAGTTTCGATATTGAATTAGTGGGCAGGGCGGTGAAATTGTTATCGCTTATATCGAGATGGTCAAGGGAGAGAAGTGGCGCGAGTGCCTTGGGGTTGATGTCGCTTATAACGTTGCCGTCTAGCTGAAGAGTGGACAGTTGGGAAAGTTGGGCCATCTCCCCTTCCGCGATCGACTCAATCAGATTGCGTGAGAGTGACAAATGTCGCAAAGTTTGTACATCAGAAAGCGCCGAACTGGGGACAACCAAAAATTGATTATCCTCCACCCATAATTCCTCTAAATGTTTCGTCGATTTAAATAGGCCGTCTTCGAAATGCATCAAACGGTTTCCGCGCAACTTCAAAATTAACAACGAATGTAATTCCCGGAATGCTATTGAAGTCAGTTTTTCCAATCGATTATAACTTATATCGAGCACCTTGAGCGCCTTAAGGCCCTTTAGCGAATCTTTGCTTAATTTTTCAATTTCATTGCTACTTAAGTTAAGATGTTTCAATGCTCTCTGATACTCGAAATTCGCTGAGCCCAAAGTGCTTATTTTGTTACTGGAAAGATCCAACTGCACAAGTTTATCGTAGAATGTAAAGGTAAAATGAAGGTTACTAATTTTGTTGTTCGACAGGTCGATGTTCTTGACTTCGGGATTCAGCTGGATGGGCACGAACTCGAGTGCCGCGTTCGCGCAAGAAGTGGTGAGGGCTTCCTCTTCGCACCGACACACGGCAGGGCAGAGGGCTCCGTCCGACCGACTTACCGACCCGATCATCGCCACCAACAACCAAAAACCAATTATATTTACGATACCGCGACTACTCAACATCGACTGCCACTTCTGACACCTTTTCCAATGGGATCCCGGGATCTTATCATCCTCCATTGCTAACTCGCCTCATCATCACCATCACCACCTGCAACAAAGATGCAATCAATACACGGAAAGAAATTTTTAATACGATTAATCCGCTAAGGTAGTATTACAATCAAATTTTTGATCAATATAGCGCCAATCCAAAATTAGACTAATATCAATAATTCATTCGATTAAATTGGTCAAAAAATTTTAGATTATACGCACCGTAAAAGAATACGAGCTTGTAGCTAAGTGAATCATAATTTATTCGCAAGACTGTACCCTGGAGACGATACCTTTACGTAATAGTTTCAAATATTTTCATAAGTTTTAATCCGGCAACGTCGCTTATGCTCAACCAATAGATATATTGGAGACTGAATCAGTGTTTGAATTTACTGCGGAAATAATATCTATACTCGCGTACAGCGTTGCCAAGTTGTTTTTATCTGACACTAGTGATGTATACTTTTTACAAATTGTTGAACTTTAAACGGTTATTTATAAACAATTGGACGGTCAAAAATTTTCAATTATTTTTTTTTTAAACTCAGCAAAAATACATTAAAAGACTGTTAGTTTTTTGAAAGCTTCTGACAGTTAGTTTTTTTTTATAACTAAGAATCTACAGAAAGCCTATACAATCCATGTTAATTATCCAATTTTTAATTGAATTTATCTCGGGTTATAGACGGTCAATCGACTTCAAATTTTAAGGATAATTGTATTGTCATGTCCTTAATATGTATACAAAAATTTAAAATTTTCTGATGGTATGCTTACAGCACGACAACTACCTTAAATGTATCAAACCGTGATAAATAGCAGCAAATTAGTTTTATAAATCACAACAAAATTTGGAATAATAAAAGTAAAAATTAAATTAAATTGGTCTACGATATTCTAGAATTTAAATAATATTTTCTTTAATTTACCAATTTTTGGATTCAATTAAGCTCTTTTTAGGTCAGTTTAATCTATTTTTTAAGTAGTACTTATCAAAAATTTGGCAAAATTAAGAATAATTAGGATAAAGTTTATCAGATCATTTGATTGATTTGTGCAAAATAGTTAGTAAAAAATATATTAAATTTATCAAATTTTTTAATATTTTAATCTAATAATTAAATAAAACTTGTTTGATGTGGTAATTATTTTATTCAATATTTGATTATTGACTGGAATATTTATTTTCGTAATAATCTGTGATAGTGGGGTAGGTAAAGTATACTAAATTTTGTGTCTATAAATACTTATTTATTTCAGTTTACAAACTTTCATAAAAAAAGAACTTAATATAATAATAATTTATAAGTAGGTACAAAATACAAAAAATAATAATGGTTTAACAATTGCTTTTTATGTTTAATTGACTAATATAATGTATAAGTTTTAAAATATTTGCGTTTAATTTAACGGCGGCAAATATATCAAAGATGATGGCCGGAGATATCTCACGTGGTGCGCACAACAGTCCCTATTTCGTTCGCATTCCAAAGAAATCGACGTCCACTTGACAGTCAAAATGCTCTGTAAAAATGAGGGTAGAAACCTATAAAAAATGGTTTATTTGTTACTTACCTTTAATATTCTCAATAATGACGATGGTTTAAACAAACTAAAACCGGACACGTACTCACATGATCGTTTACAACTCACTACACGCGAAGAGCAACTGCAAACTAAGACGCGTTAAAAACTAAAAATTGGCATGTTTGCTAAATTTGCTCCTTATATTGCAGATTTGGTCAAGATAATAGCTTGATTTTAGCGGACTTTTATTAATTCAATCAAATATTGGATAGTCGTATCAAAAATTGGATAGAATTAGTCTTATATTTGATTAATGTTAGTACATAATTTATAGGTCTTTTTCTAATATTCAGTAAATTTTTTAAATAATTTTATCCAGACAGGATTATTTTAATTTAGCATGTAGAGATATTAAGCAAATATTTTATTGATTTTATTCCAAATGTAGAGGGTGTTTACACGTTTACACGTTTTATACGTATATATAAATGGGACATCCCTCTAAAATCTTTATTTGAAGATAATATAATATATTATATATTATATTATATTATATTATATTATATTATATTATATTATATTATATTATATTATATTATATTATATTATATTATATTATATTATATTATATTATATTATATTATATTATATTATATTATATTATATTATATTAAAAAATCCAGCTTCAAGGGCTACAAAAGTAATTTTTTTGACAAAAATTACAAAACAAAAAAGCATTGGTAAAATAGATACCTATAACATTGTTTTTCTGAAGAAAAAACTATTTAAAAATATACATGGTGTTTCATTGAAAAAAAACAATGTCAATGCTATTTTATTAAATTTACCTATGCTTTTTTGTTCTTAAATTTTTGTAAAAAAATTACCCTTTTAAACCATGCAAGCTGGATTTTAAATTTTTTTGATATTTCTTTAAATAAAGATTTTATAGGGGTGTCCCATTTATAAGAAAACACCCTGTACTTACTTATACTATAAAAAATAAAGTTAAATCCATTTAGTTTTATTTATATAATATTTGATAAAATTAATCCAAATTGGAATATAATAATAAAATCCAAGAGTTGATCTGAGTATCTTTCCTAAGAAAATTAAGCTTAACGTTACATAAAGCCAATCTTAATGTTTGATTGGTTTAAGAAAAACTTTTTCTGTGACCAATTTAAAATTTTACTGTTCCTAGAAAAAAAATTATTAAATGTAGCACTTAAACGATTATGTCTATCTAATGATGTTAATTTTAATATGATGATATTAATCATTTGCGAAATGTACAGATTTATCGTAAAACACTAAGATTTGTCAGTTTTTTTCTTGATTTATTCTATTTTAGATTAAACTAATTTATTTAGGATAATTTTTGACTTTTCTTAAATTATTTGATTTATTTTAAGCATAATTAAAAACTTACAATTATTTTTATATGTTTATCCAGTATCTATTCATCTAGAGAGCTCTCTGAGTTCCTATACACAACAAGCAATGGATTGGACGGAGATTAGCTCTGGACAAAGAGACACCGACAACGTATCGTGCATCCAAAACTTCAAAACGTTATAATGCGTTTGAAACTAAATTTGTATTTTTGTATGGAAGTTTTTGAGCACTTAATAGATTAATAAACTTTGTAAGTATCTCGAAAACGAATGAATAGGATTTGACTATGTTTTGTTTCGTTTTCGTTGTATAGGAATTGAAGGAATTTCCGACACTGTATATTATTAATGTGTAATGTAAAATGAGATCGAGTGAGGGAGTAAAATTGCATTTGGTACATTCGCATGGGGAGGAACGTTAATAAGAATATCACTTAAATGATTTCTGTTGTAATTTGTTGTTGTTATGTAAGCGTATTCAGGTCCCCTACCTTGTCACTGTCAATTGCTGTTTGAAGGTAAGATAACGAAACTAATGGCGGCGCGGAGACGCAGCTTGAATGAATAAGCGTTTGTCTGATAAGTTTTTATGAAACCTGGTAAGAATTCTTCTCATCGAGGTTTTCCTCAATTGTCACGTAATGGCCTTAAAGTTGTCATAATAATGTTTGTTACCGATAGGAAAAATGTCCCTTTGATATATGTTCCTTCAATCGCTTTCCAAATGGGATCTAAATCGGTTTCCCCTCGAATTTCTTTTCAGAAACCACAGCTGAACAAATATCACTCAAATGCCGGCTGCCTGCCTCACATGACTATCAATTATAAATAATGTATCGATTTGTGTAGCTATTTAATCTTTCATCAAAAAGATATAAACCACTATTAGTGGTGAAATATGTCAAAGTCCTGAAATGACTGAACAATACATAAATTACAAGCGCATAGGGGACTGATTTTAATTAAATTTATCAGTATAGGTATGCAGATAGGCCCGGCTATATAGACCCAGCTGGAGAAAAGTTTGATAAACACGAATGGTACGATTGATGACAAGCTGGTTTCATAACTTTGTCAAACTTTTCATGCCAAAAAGTTAAAATCGCTTTATTTCCATATTAATTGAATACGGATATGTTGATCGAGATTATGATTCGTTTCCGCAAAGTTACAGTCAAGTTTAAGACGACTACGTCTAATATCCCTTCCTTAATTCGTCCCATCCCTGTCTCGGTCACGGGAATTAAGACAAATGACTACAAAAACCGAGAGATACTGCATACTTGATAAGGATTTGATGGAAGCGCATCTCCTATCAGCGAGATGCTAAGAAATTGATTATAAAGTCGCTAACGCTTTAACGTGTTCACTTTATTTTCAACTTTCAACTAAATTCTATGGAAAGCTCCCAATTACTAATTTCCCCTATATTTTCCCAATTAATTATATTCATCACAATTTGGCTTCATGAAAATATCAGCTATTAAAATCTTTGTTGGGTAGGTGAAGATGTCGTCGTATGTTAAAAGTGTCGAGGGTGCAGCCCAGGCCAGTACAGTTGAAGATTGAAAGAAAGTTGTTCGAAAGTGACGAGAAAATTGAGCTTGGGACGAGTTTTTGATCGCAAGCAATATTAGCCGCTAGAGAGCGATTCTTTTTATTCGGCTCATCACGTTTCTCTGTTTCCGACTGGAGGATTCCAAACTCGTACACAAACTGTTTTATTCAGTCTGTCCGACAAAAAAGGGACCGAAACACATATTACCTTGTGCCCTCCCAACTTATTAATTATAATTTCTTTATAAAGAACAGCAACCTTTGTGTTTACGTTTATTAAATGAAACATGAACAATTCAAACTTTCCATTTTAATATTCATTCGGAAAGAAGTTTCTTCCATTCCGTGTACTTTTGTATTATGTGTTATTGCTTAATGGTAAAGTTAAAAAGAGTTAATTGGACCGCATATTTAGGTTAAAATGACAAATTTTAACTTGGGAAATTGCTTTGCTCCGAAAAATGTCTCGAAGGCACCCAGCTTTTTATTCAATTTAAGTTTCGTTGTTTATACATTTTAATTGAACCAAAAGTAAAACTTCACCGACTTAATGAAGAATCGTTACGATATT